ATGCCGACGTCTCAGCTATGCGGTGGCCCGGTGGGGCTCTCTAACCAAAATTGGCAACGCAATACGTTATCGTATTAAATACGAGGGCGCTACTACAGAAGCGCTTCTCTGGCCCGTGCTCAACTTGCTCTCTAAACTCTACCTGCCTTTACCTAATCGAGACTGGCCAGCTGCGAAGAGCGTTGACATCAGGACTTAATGCAGCCTTGAACGGAGTTAACGGACCTGAGGCACTGGTGCAAAGATGCTTGCACTCTAAACTCCACCTGCATTCACCTAATCGAGGCTGGCCAACTACAGAGAGCTTTAACATTAGGACTTAATGCAGCCTCGAGTAAATAATGGAGTTAACGGACCTAAGGCACAATTAGGACGATCCTTTGTCACCTGTGTCCTTGGAGTCTGCTCGCGATCCTACTACAGCCACCTTGGAGAGATCGGATCTCAGTGGCAATAGATGCCTACTATCAAAGGTATAGTTTTTCAACAGTACGATTGACTTGGTCGTTGACTCTCCAGCCAATCTACGATGCTTGCCACGGAATATAACGTCTTTGGGAGGCTTAGAGTTATTTATATCTGATATTTTGGCTGATGCGTTCTTTAAGGGCCTCATTCTAGGTCGTGGCAGAAACCACAGCAATAGGAAAAACCATAGAGTGTCCCAGTATACATCTCTGAGGACTATCGGAGAACTGTATGCGGGGAATTCTAAGACGTGGCACCTCTCCCACTGTATAGAATGTGTGACAGAAACCCTCAGTGGTAAGTGCAGACTGGCTTATGAAATACTAAAGACATTACAGCCCTAAATTACGGCAATATAAAGTGTTATCAGCACCCAATTCATTAAGCCCTATAGCACTACTATAATGAAAACAGATACCTCTTCCCTGTTTCTTTCTCTCTACCTTAACTAATTGCCTCCCTGCCACTCTTTTAACAGGCCTTAGGGCATCTTCATGCCGTCTGCTACCGGCTGATATCCTTGCGCGTCATAGGCTGGGACCGTGCGGACTTTGACCTCCTTGTCCTGCTGAACGAGAGCGCAACAGAGACACCAAAAAGAGGTGCAACAGTCACCCATTCCACTTCCTTCAATTCCATACTTTTCACGGATTTCTCGGCGTTTCATCATGTTATAACTTTTGGCCAATTAAACATATTAGCATGAACATACATCTCGCTAATTCACCTAGAAGCGATAAGGCAGGGGAGGGAAAAGTTCTTACATCCAACCACAACCAGTAAAGGATTGAATAGCGCAGAAGATCGCGCAGTCAGAGTTGATGCTTTCAATCGGCCCAGAAGGGTTATCCAAACGCTGGGAAGTACGGCCAAAGACTGAGTGGTGGTTCATGTCAGCAACAGTTAGTGAACAAGCTCTTGACAACTTACTAATGCAAGGTAGACACGTGCTAAGCAAGCAGGAGTCAAGAGGTGAGCAACATCCACTAAGTCCATTCTGCCAATCCTGTGATTGCGACATGGTCAATTTGGAAAAGGAAAGGAGCGACAGAAAATAGTTCATAAAATGAAAGACTTAGAATAATAGATGCAGTAGTTTTAGCTTCTGATGTGTTTTTCTATCTGGTGGTAAAGCGAAATCGCGAGTATTAGTACTTATTGTCTGTGTGGTCAATGCTTTCAGGGACACAGCATGCTCTATACTGGCCATGAGTTGTGTCCACCAAGAAGTTAGTAAATGAAACATAGTATGTAGAAAAGATTGTGAAGACGAAATTTCCAAGGATCGTTTTGTCCACGGCCTGGTGGAAACCCTTTTGACTAAACCAATTCGAGAACAGTATCGACCTGTCTATTTATCGTATTCGATACGGGGAGGGATGAGGCGAGAAAGTGGATCCCATCAAGTATTCCAAGAGGCGGGGCCCTTCGTAGCTCATTTCTTCGTGGATTACGTAGTCTATTTCACCCTTGACTCGGCCTCCACGCCCTCCACATACACTCACTACACTCCTTAGTCTCGGCTTAATATATGCTTTCAACCTTAATGCGGCAGTGTCCTCCATATATCGTATTGGGTACGGATGTCAAGTACCATTCTGCTGCCGAAATGACGGACACTGGAGACCAAATCTCGAATTGAGTTTATTGAGAATACGTTTTTAATTACCTAAGAAATACTGGGCACTCTATTGTCGTCATCCAAAATTATGACAGCATAGTCATGTATTCTTTCTATATATAGGGACTGAAGCCAGGCTTTGTGTTGTGCTATAACCATCATTGTCTACTATTTTCAATACATGATGACTTCCATTTCCGCCATCGCGAGCCGCTGCGTGGCCTCTACTTTTGCGACCCCGACACTTGTTGGCGCTGAATTTCTGTCAATTGAAGCAAACGTCGTGCCAGACTATAGCTTTGACGTTCCGCATGGCTGGACGTACTCACAGCCAGCTTTGAATGTCAAAAACGTCACTTTCTGTAACGTCACCGTCACCTACACGCACCCGGGCCAGAATGATACTATCCACGCCGAAGCTTGGCTTCCCACTCAGGAGAACTACAACGGGAGACTGCAATCTCTCGGGGGCTCCGGGTGGACACCGGGTCGTTTCGTCTTGACTTATGCAGGAATGATCAATGCTGTGGCAAACGGGTTTGCCTCGATCACCACCGATGCAGGAATACCTACAGTCGCTAATCCTGTCGAATGGCTGCTGGCCAGTCCTGGCAACATCGACACAAATGCGCTGCAAAACTTTGGCCAGGTTTCTTTGAATGACGAGGTAAGATACTATTAGCAGAGAATACTCAAACTTATTGCTAAGTCGTGTTTTCACTTTAGGCTAGCATTGCAAAGCAGCTCATTAAAAGCTACTACGGCAAAGCTCCATCATATTCATACTGGAACAGTTGCTCCCAGGGAGGCCGCCAAGGACTGAAGCTGGCTCAGCAGTATCCTTCAGCCTACGATGGGATCATTGCAGGCGCTCCAGCTATCAACTGGGCCGAATTCTACATGAACACAATCTGGCCCACTTTCTACATGGAGTCTACCCAGCAATTTCCGCGCGACTGCGAGCTGAATGCTATTACCTCCCTCGCCGTCTCAACTTGTGATGAGCTGGATGGTGTTAAGGACGGTATCATCAGCGATGTTGATGGTTGCCGACGACAATTTGATCCCTTCAAGCAGGTTGGGAAGACCTTCAACTGTTCGACCATTGGTTCAGAAATGAAGATCAGTCATGCCGCTGCAGCGGTTGCCAATGCCTCATGGAGCGGGCCCCAGTTCTCTAATGGTAAATTCATGTACTATGGTTACGAGATCGGGAGTGATCTGTCCACAGTTGCTCCAACGACTTGCAATGGTACTATCTGCACAAGTGGAGGACAAGGCTCTATTCAATATGCTTACAGAGCTTATGTCAAGAAAGATATGACAGCCCAGTTGAAGAATGCGACCGGCCGAGACTTTGATACAATCTTCCGAAACGTGAAGCAGATCTTCGCTTCTAACCTTGAAACCAACGAGATCGACTTGCGCGACTTTAGGAATGCCGGAGGCAAGATAATAACTTATCATGGGCTTGTAAGCACAATGTATTCTCTGCCCTTCAAAGTCCTCTTTAACTGACAGTGGCCAGGCTGATCAAAGCATTTCCCCAGGAGGGACGCTCCATTACTACAATCAAGTGTCAGATTTTGTCGGTAACATCACCTCTTTTTACAAGTATTATCAGGTTCCTGCGCTTGGGCACTGCTGGGGTGGTAATGGTGGCCAACCAGAAGCATTATTTGATCAACTTCGAGCTTGGGTTGAGAATGGTACGGAACCTGAGTCCTCACCTGTGGTTATAACGAAACCAGACAACACGACTCAACAGCAAATTCTATGCCCGTATCCTCAGAAAGCTACGTTCAACACCCTTTGTGAAAGGAAGAATTCTACGGCGTGCTGGACCTGTGTTCAATAAGTGTTCTGATTTATATTAATTATCTGGAGTAGGAGGGAAATAAATAGATGCAGCTGGACGTACACCACAAGTCTACTCCAATAAACAAGGTGCCGGGCTCAGCAATACTGGGAAAGATTATTAGCATAAAGTCATGACGTCCTGCTCTGACCTTGCTTTTGAAGAGAAGGGGTGACCCTTTTTGTCTTGGGTTAGGTTGTATCAGTCTCACTACTCTATTACCTGGCCATTGTTCCTGTACTGCCAATTCTGCAATGCGAACACCATCTCGCTCTCCATTCCGTTACTAGTCGCAAAAGCTCCTGGCGAGTACTCTTGCTAGTATTAACAAGCACATGTCTAAGTGACACCAGATCTTACGTTCCGCACTGATGTCCTGTTCCACCGCCCCAGATTGCATTGCCCACCATTTTAATGACTGTGGGAACTGACCAATCTAGGGTCTCACAATTAGAAGGGCACGCTGGGGGCCAGTTCGAAGCATGGTCTGTCGCCTGAATGCGGAACCTAATATGGTGAATATTTTGCCAATTCGACCGGCAACCTCATGAAGTCAACGTGTTCCTAAGGTGGCTCTGTACCTTTGCCGTCAATCTGAAATTGGAGGAAAAGAAACTACTGTGAACAAACGAGTGGCTTCCAACATCGTCAACTGATCTAAGACTCAATCCAACGTTTCGTAACTTATTAACAAAAGCAGGCATACTGGCCTAGCTACCAGTAAGGATAAAAAACCTCAATACAGAGTATTGTAGTATCAAGTTTAACGTTTATATTACTATTATAGCTTTTACTATAGGTTAAATACCTACTAAGTTGAAACTTAAGTTATAATATACAGGGTAGGCTAGAGATATATTGGGATCATGTGACTAGCGACGTGGCTCGGAAGAACTTGTACCGGGAAAGTGGGGCAGTTTTCTGAAATTTACTCTATTTCTCCTATCATCAATCAAACTCCACGCTGTATTTACACAGATCTCACGTAATTGGAATACGGCCTTATCTATTGGTTCAGTCTTCTATCCAGCTGCCAGTCCCTTCTCAGTAATTATGGGTAGTGAACAAAACACTGCGTCGCACGTACAAGATCATACCTCATCACGATGTCCCTGTCGCCCTATGCAACGCCGGGCTCACCAGAAATCTCGCAACGGATGTCGCAATTGTAAACGTCGTAGAGTCAAGGTACGTTGTGTTGTATTCTCATATTCTCTGTTTATCTCAACCATGCCGTTCTCGCTTTTCTTTGACCGGGCTGAGTTGATAATTTTGACGTTATTGCCAGTGCGATGAGGGAAAACCGAGCTGTAGCAATTGTATCCGCTTTCCGTTGCCCTGCGACTTCAGTGTCGATCAGATTGCCTCAAACAACATCGTCCCAGAAGTTCCAAATGCCTTACCTGTCGTAACCACAACCCTCGCTCGAAGACGTGGCCGGCCTCTCAAGATTGATAAGTGGATTCTAAATTCCGAAGCCTCCGGCCACAGAACTATCGCGGAGCCAAGGCTTTATTTTCCGATGCCAAAAAAGATTGCGGATCCATCGCCGCCCCTGAACACCAAAGACCTGGAGCTATTACACCATTACATCACAAATACTTCGCTCACGCTCGGGGATGATATAGTCCTTTGGCGTGATAAAGTCCCGCGACTTGCTTTCGAGTACCCCTATGTCCTCCGACTCCTTCTCGCGATGTCTGCTCTGCATCAGACACGACTCCACGCTCATGATTCCCTTGTTAGCCAACAACTTGCCACTGCCCACCACAACATGGCCTTACGCGAAGTGACCGGGTTGCTTCCCGCCATCAGTGGCAAGGACTGCTCAGCATTGTACATCGCCACGGTGCTGATATGCAACTATCACTTTGCAAAACCACCAGTAATTGACAATGAATCAGACATGGTTGAGGAGATAGGTATTGCCTGGTGGTATGTCTTTCGAGGCGTGCGCTATGTTGTAGAGTCAATGGGAATGGAAGCTATATTTTCTGGCCATATCGGCCCGTTCCCTCCAGAAACATCTGGAGGAGGCCCAACTGATCCACTGAAGGAAATTGTCGACAATGGGTACATTCCATGGGAGAGACCATTGGCCAATCTGGCAGTCTTGTTCTCCAGTTCCAACACACTAGGCTCGGAGAGTTTGGTAGTGGCTTCAGAGGCGTTGATAGACTGCTACCGCGAGGTGTATGGCACCGCCGACAAGCCAGAATATCGAACGCATGGTAAAACACATGTTGTTATGCGTTGGCCGTGGGTTCTCGAAGATGACTTCGTAGGCAAAGTGCAAAACCTGGTACCGGAAGCCTTAATACTGCTTGCCTACTTTGCCGTTTTAGTACAAACGCTAGAACGCTTCTGGTATATGAAAGGATGGGCCCAACATATGATAATGGGCATTGAGAAGAAGCTTGATCCGGCCTACCTTCAATGGATACAGTGGCCTCGAAACCAAATAGGACTGGAACGTACAGTTTAGAGGTCAACCACGACATAATAGCGACGCACCGAGTTTACAGTATCGAAACCATGAAGACACATACCAGGTTTCTGGGTATCTATGATTGACCAATGTATTTGGATTGAGTATGAAAAATCTGTTTGACAGCTCTTTATCACCATATAATCAATATTAATAGTTAATCTAACTTATCATAAGCAATTGCATATATTTAAGTTTCCATTCTACATATGTGTTCTGTGATGTCAAGGTAGGGCAGTATCAACGTAGCTCCTAGAGTCAATGTTATAGATTGTTACATAGTTGCTTTGCTTGGAATACTGGGACTAATTGCAAGCTACTGACTGAGACTATGCTAGCATAGAAACACTCAGGAGCTCTGAATTTGTTTCATGACTTGATCGAGGTCAGGCACCTTTTTTACCACATCATGCTGAAAATTGGGTAATCCATATAATTTACCGAAATAGAAATCAACGAGACTGTGTCTCTGAATAAGGGAAGCCTTTATGTCGAAAGTAGAGGTTTTCATCTACCAGAAGCTCCAAAGGGTAAATGGGAAAGACTAAGTTTAGTGGCTTGAGCTAAGCTGGTATTGAATGTTTTTGTGATGACATTCAATCATGGCTTTCAACTTTGTGAACAATATTTATCTCAGTCTAAGTATAAAAACACGACGCTATGTGCCGAGAATAAGGACTTTGGCACGGAGATGGCAGCGAACTTTCGGACTCAGACTTTTGTTAATGGATGGTAGATGGGTAAATGGTGTGAGCTTAGATACTCTCATTACCCTCTAGGAAAGGAAAGTTTAAATGATTGACTAATTTTAAGTGAAAAATTTGGGCTCTCAATTCTGGTTCGTGCTGCCTGAAGGGACACTCAAGCACCATGGCCCCAACTATCTAGTTTTGACGATATGGCGCCTGGATATTTTTGGGGTGAAGTTTGGAAAAGCTTAATCAGAAGTCGATGCCGTTGTACAGTCAGGAAAGAGGGAAAAAAGACTGGTTGAAGGTAGGAATTTCAGCGACAGTCCATATGCTTACTAAAGACCTCCGTGACTCATACCGGTGACACCATCACCTGTGTCAGAAACCTCAACCTTAACCTTGTCGGCAGCGAGTAGTTTTTCAGCAAGGAAAAGTTACTTGCGCCTTTTAAAAGAATGCAGTCAAAGGCAAGACAGGCTAGGGGATGAAACGATACTCAGGACCTTGATCCTAAATGGCAAAAAGACCTAGGTAACTTAGCATAAGCTTAGGATACCTTTTGCTGAATTTATTTTGACAGTCCTAAGCTTTATTGCTCCCCGAGGCCAGTTTCGCACAAAAATTAGTGTTTATGCACCAAACTCTACAGTCATTGCCTATAAAGCAAGGACTTTTCAGGCCCACGTCCGGCTACGACAGAACTTCCAACTTCCACTTCACTAATCACTGCACAAACACAAGATCGTGTCGCTTGTCACTGAACAGCCATGGACCTCCTCGACGAACTCGAAGCCATGGCGCAGGCCGCATCAGGATTTCAGGACGACAACATCCTTCAATCAACTATCACTCGGTGGCAAAAGCTGTTTGGGTACTCGCCCGCAGTGGCCGAGAGAAAGATTACGGAGCACCGAAACGATCCCTTGCGTTTCACTGTTTCTGAAGATCACTGGACTGTTGTGCGAGACCGGATGGAGGCTGAGGGACACGACCGCGAGTCATACGAGCACTCATACAGTCGTACCTCAGGTGATATAGCCACCCAGAGCCAGGAGATGCCTATGGAGGAAAGGCGAAGGCTTCGAGCCGCTAACTTCTTGATCAAGCTCGAAGGCCCCTTGAACAGTGTCCAAGCCGTGATTCAAGCGGCGGGCCTGTGGTGTCCATCCTCGACTGAAATTCTTGCTGCCACCGACATATCTGGACGACCCTGTTCGTTCTTCAAGATCAACGGGATGGATAAGCTGGCCATTGAAGGATGGCTTAAAGAATATCCTCACCCCGGTTTTCGACCAACCATTATTAAAGATCCCTATGCACAAAAGGATCTCTCGCCCACTTCTTTGTACCCAACGTTGGGCATCGATACAACACTGCCCCAGTTTCGACCAGGACCAGCAGCGACACCTCGCCCTTTACAAAACGAATGTCCAGTCTGGTATTTCTTCTACGGGACGCTTACTGATCCATACTTTCTATCGAAGCTCTTTGGTTCCAACTTCCAGGCTGAATACCATGCAGCCACGATTCGAGGCGGAGTTTTGAAGACTTGGGCAAGGTATTATGCGTTGGTGGACGATCCAAGTCACACCAACTTCGTCCATGGAAAGGCTCTTCTCGTCGAGACTCGAGAGCAGGAGGAGCGTCTACGGGCGTACGAGACGAATGCTTATGAAGTGGTTCGATGCAGTATCGAGATAGGTTTGGAAGAGCCGATGAGTGGCCTGACATTTCGCTTCATCACAGATATCATGGATTAGTGGAACAATATGGCTGTGCTTTTTATTGTTACATTACGACATATTAATTGCGGCTTAAATGAGGAGTACATATTCATCGCTAGAGCTCAGAACATACGAGTCATAAGGTGTCTGTTAATTGCATCCCAAAGCGCTAACAAATAACCCTGCGAAGACGGCCCCTTTAATCAAGCAAGGTAAAAGAACCTGTACAGCATCCATTGTCCGCCTTTGCAATGAACACAATGAGGAATTGATCCCTCGGGACCTTCGCCAGAGCCGGATACTTATCGCCACGCTTAGGTCGAGTGAGGCGGCCTGTCCATACCCAGTTGCTTCCCGTCCAACTGACAGTGGAAGTTGGCTCACCATTAGCAAAAACATCTAAAGCGATTGAGGACTCATTTGAGCCTGCCAAGTGGCAAGTTCCCGTCACCTTGACTACCCGAACATCTGAGTCAGCTGAGTCCTCGCTGACAGATGTAATCGAAGCTATGTCGAGAGTTGGTGTCGCAATAGCAGGAGATGCAGGACTGGGGAGAGTAATGCGGATTTCATCTGAAGGCAGTGACGGAGCCAACGGGGGAATCTCCCGGCGATTCGTGGCTCTCTCGTAGGCAAAGGCATAGCTCAGTAGGTTGGAGTCGTCATACGCTTTGCCGCAGAAGTTGAGTCCCACAGGCATCTTCTCCTCAACAAGAGTCCCCATAGGTACCGTTATACAAGGAACTCCAAGATGCTTCAGTGATCGCCCGCCGTTTGCATACTTGACTCCATCACGTAGTGCAGACATCATCGACTCGTAGCTTTCATCCGAATCAGCCAGCGCAACATCTCCATTGGTCGGGAACACCACAGCGTCGTAGTTGTTCTCGACCATCCAATCCTCCAGGTACTTCTTTCGCATGGCCTCCAAAGCCTGGAGCGCCTCCCGACACCCAGGTAGGTCAGCGAGGCTCTTGTCCCCCCAGCTCTTCACTGCAGCGACCATGTCCTCGTAGCGGACCTGATTCTGGGACTCGCTGTGCTGAGACGGGTCATCCATTGGGGCAATGTGAGGGTGAATCTTGTCAAGCTCCACGCCAGTTGTGAAGTTTGGTATATCCTTATCACCATTGCTGCGGAGGAAGCTGTTCCAACTCAAGGCAATCATCTCACACCGCTCAATCGCTGGCCATTCCTCTGGTAGATTGGGAACATTCATGCTCTGACCAGGAAAATCCTGTCTGGTGTAGTTCTCGAAGAGGGGGAAATCCGTCTCAATGACGGTGGCACCCAGCTTCTCGATGTCTGCTCGAGCTCTATCCCATAGCGCTCGAACACCCGCCGAGCATGCGTTCTCCGGTTTGGCACCTTCAACCCCAATGAAGCATTGAGGGACAGCCACTCGTTTGTTTCGCAGGGCGTCTGGGTTGGCTAAGTTGAGATAGTCTGATGGGCGAATGTCGCTAATCTTTGGAAGTGGCACGTATGGCTGTGAACGCCAAAAGTCAGCGTCGCCGGTAGTGTCATCGTCCGCGACAATAACATTAAGAACGTGAAATAGGTCTTCCATAGTCCTCATATGAGGAACGACTTGGTCGCAAGTTGGGTACAAAGGCCATAATCCTCGGGGAGAAATAACACTGCGGGATGGGGCATACCCAACCAGTGCATTGTTGGATGCTGGCGAGCGACCTGAGGTCACGGATTCTCCAGCGAAGCCAAAAGCAGCCAGACTCGCGGCGGTAGAGACACCACAGCCGTAGGAGGAGCCAGATGCATAAGCAGTGGGCATATACTTCTGATTATATGGGCTCTCTGACCGTCCGTACAGTCCACGCTGACAGCCGCCGTCAGCCATCGGGGGCATGTTGGTCTTGCCAAGTACGACAGCGCCTGCTTTGCGAAGCAGCTCGACGATAGCGGCGTCAGAGGTAGCTTCGAGCTTTGCAAATGCCGGGGATGCAGCTGCGACTGTCATGCCTTTAACCTTGTAGCTGTCTTTGACAGTAAAGGGGATACCCTCTAGAGGTCGCGGCGGTTTTCCGGACGCACGGTAGTCATCCGAGGCCTGAGCTTCAGCAAAGACATCTGCGTTTATCAGAGTAACGGAGTTGAGACAAGGACCTCGACAGTCATATTTTCCAATGCGGTGCAGGTAAAGCGCGACAAGCTCAACACTTGTGAGGGCTCGAGTATCCAGCACCTGTTTGAGATCGCCAATGGTGGCGTCGAGTAGGTTAAGCGTGGTTTTGCTGGTCATTTTGGATGAATTGTATGAAGAGTAGGTAAAAGATGACAGATGATCAAGACTCAAGATCTTGGACGAGGACTGTGGTAATCCAGATGGAAGGCATCACTTATATACATGCAGCTGCAGTCTACCAACATACTTTCCGAGATTGATTTTACAGTTCTGGATCTGTCTCCGAGAATGAGTTTAGGGTCCTTCGGCATTATCTTCGGAGAAGGGCTGCTTAGCAAAAGAATGATTGGCTCCGAGCTTCATCTTCGGAACAGCTAAGCCCTATAGGGAAGGTCATGGCGATTCTCAAGCCCCCATGACTGCGGGGAATGTCCTACCCTCCAGCCAACATCCATAGATCAGTAATGTCTTCCGAAGTTGACACTTCAAGTGAGCCCTTCCATGTTCGGGAGCCACTCAGTTCGCGGTTCTCATCGCATCCGTGAGCTACAATGACAGGACCCGGAAAAGCCGCATGCTGCTGGACATGCAAAATTAGGCATGTCAAATGCGACGGGGCACCAGTCGCTTGTTTTCAATGCAGCAGCAGAGAGATTGAGTGCCACGGATATGGATCAGTTCCGATATGGATGGACGGAGGACCAAACGAAAGGCGTGAGAAGCAGCGCATCAAGCTGGCTGTAAAGAAGAACTTTAGAGAGAAAAAGAGCCTTCAGGCACGGCGACTAAGAGATCATAATCGGACCGCTAATCAAGGACAGAGCCTATCAAGCCATGCTGAACAAGGCAATCAACCTGGCAACGCTTCTCAACGTAAGTACTTTCTTATCACCATTTGAGTGCGATACTGAACTCATCAGCAAATGTCATCTCAAGAAACGAGCCATCTCCAATCTTGACTCCTCAATCTTTGCAGAGCCGGGTCCTCTCAGGACAGTCATTCGCCGAGCCACTTCACTACGATGAAGCCAGTCTCCTGATGCACTACCTAGACCATGTGTTTCCTTACCAATACCCTTTCTTTGATAAAGCAAGGCTGTCTCGAGGGTGGCTTCTATGGCTTCTCAGTAAAAACGGGCCTCTGTATCGAGCATCTATGGGTCTCGCAGCTTTGCATCAGCGATCATTACTAGGCGGGACAAACAATCATCATCTTGAACTAGAGTTCCATACCAAAGCGGTTAGACAGTTACAGGACTTTGTCTCATCTATCGATATCAATGAGCTGCGGCCCGAAAACGAGACTCTGGTCGAGATCATCACCTGTGGCATAACACTTATTAGCTTCGAGGTATGTGTGGATATGGGCAATAAGGGTACTCGTGAAGCTAGAGGATCAAACGCTGAAAGACAACAGGTCCTTCGAGGAAGTATCACAAACTGGCAACCGCATCTAACCGCCATGTCCTCAATCGCAGCCATGATGCATAATCAGCCTTCGGTTCTACAACCAGCGGATCAGCTTCCTATCCCGCTATTCGAGGGCAAAGCTGCCGCAGCCATGGCCTTTCATCTACCAGTCCTGCTTTGGATGGATTTGCTAGCCTGTGTAGCCACGCGGGAGGCACCGAAACTTCCATACGATGAATGGCTAGGACCTAACTGCACATTCCAGCTCGCACATATCATGGGCTGTCACAACTCAGTGATGAAAGGCATAGGGGACATCGCAACTTTGAGTCAGTGGAAGTCTGATGGTGCCGAAAAAGGCACTCTCGACCTTGAGAGTTTTCAGACGAAAAGACAACGGATCGAAGATGAACTGGAGAGCGTCATGGATACAACTCCTATGGCCTCAATGGGATCTCAAGGAATCTCTTCCATGATCCAATCATCAAGTCACATGAAGTCCGAGCAGCGGCCGGAGCAAGATTCTGTCACTCGCATATTTGCTGCCGCGGCATTGGCTCAGCTCGCTGCTTTGACTGTCGAAGTCTCAACTGACATCTCAATGACCGTAGTAAGGAGAAGCGTGAGCCGAGTGATTCTAGAGATCAAAATGGCACCCCAAATAGTGTCTCCTCGGCACCTGAGCTGGCCGATCTGCGTTGCTGGTTGTCTGGCGGATCAAGACCAACAGCCATTCTTTGAAGCCTTGCTGAGTACTGTTTTATCTGAGGGAACTGGTATGATAGGGAACTGTGGAACGGTTCGAGATATCTTGCGAGCCTGTTGGAGAAATAAGGCCGAGCAGCCGGATCAACAGTGCGACTGCAGTAGTGCTATGAAGCAGTTGGATATCTATGCCCTTCTTATATAAGGTCAAAAAGAGACTTCATGGCTTCACAAAACCTTTAGGGTTGCTCTACTATCACCAGGGTCGCATAGGTATATTAAGGTGATTAGAACTAGACTTCAAGCTGTCAACAACTGCTCATAAAATCCACCAAACCCAAGCTCCTTGTTATGCAAATGAATCTCAAGAATCCAGTGCCTCTTATTCCCATCCTTGCCAACCGTGTCCATAGAGTTGTTATTCCCTTCCGCGATGTAAAGGGTAATCTTGTCCTTGGGAATGCGTTCATGCGGAAAAGACCCAACAATATGTCCCGCAATCGGCGCACCAAACTCAAAACCCTCCTTCTCAGCAGCTTCCTTGGCAATATTGTAGAGTTGTTCTCCCGTCATATCTGGATTCTCGCAGTACTTGGCTTTGACGTCGATCCAGATTGGCTCGAGGGCGTCGCGCAGCTTGATCTTATTAGGGTCGTTTCCCAAAACAAAAGTGCGGCCAAAATCAGCCTCCCACTCTTCAAAGACAGGCCCAAGGTCGACGATGAGGATGTCATCTTGCTGAATAATCCTGTCGGGAGGGTTATCCTCGAATGGCCTCAATGTGTTGGGCCCACTGCGAATCACTCGTTTGTGCCAATGAGTCCTCACGCCATGACGCTCAGCACCGAGAGCATGGATTTCGTTGTTCAACTCTTTCTCGCTGATGCCAGGGCGGATCAGACTTTTCTCGATCTCGTTGAATAGCTCGACAGCCTTTTTCTCGGCATCTCGGAGTGAGGCCGCGCGTTGTTCTTCAGCGGACATTTGTGAACGTTTGACTGTATTTGATAGAATAGGATGGGACAGGACAATGAAGGTAATTGTGATGTGCTGGACCACTCATAGTGATGTTATTTGTAACCAGTAGAAAGCTGACATAACCAAAAATTATCGGCGGAATGATTATGCGGCTATCTGCCAATGGACAGGTTCCTGTAAATGCCATATTTAGGGTAGCGCTCTCCGCTGTCGGAGTGCCTCGTACTGTTTTTTGCGCCCTATGCGGGTTCCCGTGAGATATAGCTTGTCACGCTTGACGAGCTTCGCGAATGAGTTGCTGGGCATAAATGCTTCGTTTCACTATTGAATGACAATAGATACTTAAATCTCTAGCTGCGCTACCCCTCATTTTCAGCTCGAAAGCCATTATCGAAACTTTTGTTGGTAACTGAGATCTGAGTTGGTACCTAGAAACCTGATCTCTCAAGAGACAACAAAGACAGTTTAAAATGAAGATATGTATTGAAACTGCTTTCTAAATATCGAGGGAGGAGCCGTAGTTGTTGGTGCCTGTTAAGCGTCAGTAAGAACGGATAACATGATTGATGAAGGGAAATTGAGGATTAGAAAGAGCACCATCGAAAGGTCCTAAGTCAAAGCCAGTAACTGCAAAAAGCCCGTCTCTTCGTGTAAACCCCGAGCTTGAAACCATTGTGTCTCTCAACTGCATCTCGATGTGATAAAGAGTAAAGTATTGTGTATGGCTACCCTATCAGAGCAAAGCCCGTAGCCTGAACGAGTCTCATCTAGTATAATCTCAAAGGGGATCGTAATTTAACTTCATACCAAGGTTCGATAGAAGGAAGGTTTACGGAATATCACAAGTCCACCAGTCTCATGGTTTGAGGCCGGTTTCGATGTAACAAGGTGTATTTAATCCCCCTCATCCTCTAGTCAAACAGTATTCCGAATCTTCCCGCTGCTTTTCCAGACTTGAGTAAATCAATGACCTTGCTGATCTCGTTCAAATCCTTAAAGGATGTGATATGGGCTTTAACACCATGTTTATAGCTAAACTCGATAGCCTCTGGCATGTTCTTTGGTATTCCACTGCTACGACCAGCAACGCGGTATCTACCAAGGAGAATGTCAAGAGCACTGATACTTAATGGCTTTATGGGGATTCCAGCTACCATCATAAGACCGTTAATCCTACAGCAGATGATTAGTAGGTAGAAGCCTATCAGTAGTAACTCAGATGTCACTCACCGCAAGGTCTTGGGAGCGCTTTCATAAGCCACGTTGGAGGCGCTAAACACTGCTGCGGCGTGGCAGCCACCGTTTGTTAGCTTCTTGATCTTGGCCTCGTAGTCGGGCTCTTCTATCGTGTTGATAACGAAGTCAGCACCCAAGCTCTTGGCATCATCTAGTTGAGATTTACTGATGTCAATGCCGACGACTTTGAGCTTCATAGCTTTGGCGTATTGAACAGCTATTGGCTATGAGCGCAGGCAATGTCAGGACTATATCACTGGGACTTACCAAGATGCCCAAGACCTCCGCAGCCAATGATGGCGATCCACTGTCCTTCGACAAGCTCACACCCCTTTACAGCGTGGTAGGCTAGAACCTCGTCAGCATCAAGGCGTTTGTCGCAACTTATTTGCAGTCTTACCTGTAACACCTGCGCAAAACAAAGGTGCCGAAGTATCAGGGTCCATACCCTGAGGCAATACCATGGCATTGCGGGCATCAGAGACTGAGTACTCTGCAAAGTGGCCCGGGCACGTGAAACCATGCATCCGTCCTGTTCCCTCTTGGCAGAATAGATTATGGACTTGACAGCCCTCGCAGTCATCTGGTCCTGTTAATAAAGTCCCACCTAAAGGGCAATCGACATACAGCATGCATAACTACATCCAAGGCAACCGACAAGATCGCCTATCTTGAAACCGTTGACATCTTTTCCGATGCCGACGACATAACCAGTGTTCTCATGACCAATAGTGGTTCTGTCAGTCAGAGGTTCTTCACCTGTATGCCCCCAGAAAAGCATCTAAAATTGTGAGACAAAGCATCAATGCATTACCTGACTAACATACTAGGTCTGAATGGCATAAGGTAGCACTCCTTGTCTTGATGAGGATCTCATTGTTTCCATATTTTGGAATGTCTATTTCGTTGACCTCGACAGCGTTGGTAATCTGCGAGTCTCATTGATTAGCGAGTGAGTAGGACGGATGCCAGTTGAAGCTTGCCTTGTTATACTGGGCGGCAAGCATAGTGCCAGTTCCTTGAGAGCCCATAATGACGAAAATAGATTCCAGGGTAATAAGTTCAGGTTTTACTTAGAGCTAAATCATTTTCAAAGTAATTTGCATCCCATTTATGGTGCTAGCTATACACCGATGATAACGACAATCGCAGTGGGGCTTGACATAGCACGGGGTCACCATTGCAACTGCAGAAAGACGCGTAGTGGGACCAGCAAAATGAGTCAGTTTATGATAACAATCCCAGTTGTTGTAGTTCCTCTCTAGTGCAAATTGTGACTGGTCAGCATTAGTCTAGTTGAAGCTGGTGCAATTGTGGCAGGGGAGATACCCATCTCCACGGAATTGGTTCCCGGGGTCTCTCGATGCCTAATGGAACTGTTGTGCGGGGTTGCTATAGTCATTACAACTGGCACTAAGTTGACATGAGTCAGTCACGCCACAACGGGCATACGTATCGGCCCAGTGGAGTTGTGTTTAAGGTCAGCAACCATAATCTGGGGATTGGACTCATTGGAGATTCCGGGATCCGGGGATCTGGGGTTTGCCAGGGTCAAGCTCAGGGGAATGCATTGAGTATATCTTTCTACCTACTCCTTACGGATAGTATTGAGCTAAATTCTTGATAATATCATACTAAGAGCTCAGGTCTGTTTTAGAATCTCAACAGCTCGCAAACACAATATTTCTTGTTCAAAGTCGCGCTACAATCTCTGCGTCGAGATGTTGAGCAACTTACAGGGAAAGTACCTACAAGGTGCTATTACCTTCAGTGCTGGAAGTGCATACCTGCTTTTTGGATACGACCAGGCAAGTTTTCGAGATCATTCTTGTACAATCTATCAAGTACTTATGGAGCTACAGGGTGTTCTTGGCGGTCTTGTCACGCAGCCAAGTTTCCTCGACGCGATTGGCAATCCCAGCCCCAGTTTCCTCGGTCTGATCGTGGCGTTATACAACATTGGATGCTTGGCAGGGTGTATCGTGGCATCTCTACTTGGGAACAAATGGGGCAGACGGAAGATCATCATCTGGGGATGTGTCATTATGATTGTTGGTGGCATCATCCAATCAGCAACCTACGGGGCAGCCCAACTCATCGTGGGAAGACTCATTTCCGGCGTTGGGAATGGTGAGTCTGAATATGGCTGGCAATTCATTTCATCTTGACTGACATGATCAGGCATGAACACGAGTATAGTACCAGTTTATGTTTCTGAATGTACCCGTGCAAAGCGTCGTGGACGAGCCGTTGCGATGCAACTTTCCATTGTCATTGTAAGCAGATTTCTTTATGGTTGTACGGCTGTAACTGACCCATTTCTCAGTTCGGTACAGTTGTGGCCTATTGGCTAGACTACGGAACTATCAAGCATCTGAGTGGAGAGGTTGTTTGGAGATTTCCGATCGCTTTCCAGAATGTTTTTGCCCTCGTTACAGTTGCGACCCTCCCTTTTCTCCCGGAAACTCCGAGGTCGGTATTCACAGCAGCCCTCTCATATTATACACAGCATCGCTAACTTGTTATCGACCAGATGGCTCTATTCGCACGAGTTCCGCGACGAGGCAATCAGTGTCCTTGCTCGGTTATACGACTGCCAGGAAGATGACCCTGTCATACAATCGGTCACACAGGAGATTGAATCAGCCTTGAGACTTGAACATCAGACCACCAAGTTCTCTATCAAGGACCTCGTCAACGACAAGACACCTATCAAGAAGACACGTAGACTCGTTCTCTGCTTCATGATCCAATTTTGGCAACAATTCACCGGAATCAACGTGATTGCCTTCTACGTAACGATCGTTCTCGAGACCAACGTTGGTTTGTCAAAGAATACGAGCAGTCTTGTCGCCGGATGCATTCAGATCGCCTTTTGGCTTGCCACATTCCCTCCCATGTTCTTGCTCGACAGGGTCGGACGTCGGCCTATGCTTATGCTAGGTTCTGTAAGCCTCCTGACCGCTATGGCTGTCTTTACGGCTGGAATCGCGGTCAATACGTCTTCAACGTCTGCGATGGCTCTTGCATTTCTCTTCGTTTACGAGATTTCTTTCGGCATGTCTTGGAACGCCATTCCTTGGTTATATGCCCCAGAGATTACTCCCCTCGATATGCGTCACGTTGGTTCTTCCATTGCCGCATTTTCAGAGTGGTTATGGACTTTTGTGAGTTTACATGTTTCATGTTCTTTTCTTGCTACATACTCATGTCATATTAGGTCATTGCTCTCGTTACACCGTATGCCATCGACACTGCAGGTTGGAAGTTCTATCTCCTGTTCTGCATCATGATTCTTCTCAACATCCCATTTACTTTCTTTTTCCTACCAGAGGTAAGCTCAGGGCATGTTTTGATCTTATAAATCCATCACTAACTGTATATAGACGAGCGGAAAGACCCTGGAGGAGCTCAATTATGTCTTTTCGGAACAAGGATTCATCCCAAGCCAAAATCCTTCCCCTACAGCCACTATGCAGCCAGATAGCAAGGAAGATGTCTCAGGAGAATGCCGCCAAGTGGAGAAGAAGATTTGAGTTTGGGAATATTCAGTAGATGAAGCGGTACTGGATTCATACTAGAATCATAAGGTCTTAGAGCCATAGATCTCTTTTGCACCTTGTGTCGTTGCAATGTACACTTCAAGAAGCTTCTGTGATCTGAACAGCGCTCCTCAAGCATTCTTGAGAACGCGTTCACGAGATGTATGTTTTCACATCAGTCATTAAGACATAACTAGTCAATCAAATCATTTCACGTTGGGCTTGGCACTGAAGCTGTATTTACGTTGTTGTATTAACTCATTGGTGTGAATAGATAGCTGTAACCATGAGTGGGAAACGATCCTTGAATCCTTGAGACACCGTCCAGTTTTTGAGATCCCGAATGTGCTTTTCGAATATTGAATGAAGGGCCCCCTCCCCTTCCAGGTCTGATATCGCATCCAATCCGTCAAACTTCCAATTCACACTAACATTCTGGGAGTAGTAGTCTGAAAACAGCTGAAACGGGTACTCTGCTTGGTTATCTATGAGGATATCACGAACACCGGGCCTGAAGGGTCAGCTTAAGATTCATTCTTCATGACCATGTCGGGATGTATACTGACCATGGTATGTTATCGATCCAGGCGGCATGTGGTACGGCTATTTGTGTAACGGTTGGCCTTAACCATGAGGGCATATCGGTGTAGTGCTGTTTGGTGGGATGTATTTGCCACTATGATCATTAGTTCTGTTGTATTGTAAAGACAATCCATCCCTACCTTCATCGTATGGCACATGAGATAGAAGAACCCTAATTTCTCTGCTAAAGATACAGAAGGGAACGTCGATAGAACGCGGGACATGATGCCACTCAGAGGATGCACCGTATCAACCTGTTCGATGTTGACCATGGCCCGCGTCGACGGTTTTCGGGGGCCAACAACTGACTCAGGGCTCATGTTGTTGGAAATCATTTCTTTGCGAGATTTAAGAAACTCTAGAAGTATTAGGTCCAAGGGGCATGTTGACGGTCCATGCGAAGGTAGAATAGTATATACACCGTTGGATGGGGCATAATGTTCGAGACCGGCCGTCATATTGCCGGATGCTAAACATTGACCTATTGCCGCTTGATCTACCATATGGGAATCGGTTAACCCTATATGTGAGGGGCGGAACGCAGTATTGGACTCTGTGGTGGCGTGTTGGTAGCTCCCAGCAGGTGACAAGAGTCCTAAATTGGCAGATGGAGAGATGTGATAGGTTGTGTCTTGATCACGCATGGCATTCGATGTAGTATGAGGTTGATCTCGTATGAGAGCTGCGTTATCGCCGCAAGCTGGTGGGGGTTGACAAGATGCGACATCATTGTCAAAATGCTCCTCTGGGTCTGGTAGTATAACATCTTCAGCGTCTTGGTGCAGAGGTGAGGCGTCCTGGTGAGTTGTAGATGCTGTGTCCATCTCATTGTCTTGTGGTGGTTCAGGCGCTTCTACATGAAATTCACCGCTGCTCCCTTGGTCGGCATCCCTTTCCGCTGCCCAAGTTAGCTAGACGCGCTGTAGATGGACTGGTACGTGCTTACTAGCTTGAGTTTGCAATTGGCCGTGTTCCTGGCCTTGGTCATGGTCACTCTCTATTTGGTTCAGAGCCGCAGTGATGAGCTTGGAGACATGACGCAGGCATTCTTGTAAGGATTTGTTCTCCTGGCGCATGTTGTTGATCTGCATGTCTTTCTGGCTGCAACTTTCGCGCAATGCAGCACATGTCCCTTGAAGCTGTGAGAAGTGCTGCTCAAGATTATTGATGCAGTCTTTATTCCGCTGACGGAAAGCCCGCTGGGCCTTACGATCCACATTGCGCTTATGTTGGATCTGTTCCTTGGTAAGATCAGACACAGCCCTCGAACGCCTCCGTGAGGAAGATGGCCGTGCTGCGGTGTCTGGCTGTAACTCACTCATAGTCGTCTCACATGCAACAGTACAGACAGACAGTAAGGCAAGGGTATGGCAAGGAAAGCAAATAAAACTGCACTTTCCGGGCTAGGATCGAGGCACGGATCCTGGATTTGACGGAGGGAGCTACCGAGGTGAGAGCACGGAGACCCCGTGGGGTTGGGCTGCGGGGTAAATTCCACCAAGAGTCACAGGTTAGATGCAGCCGGAGTCTGAGTCGCGATGCCGAGTGTCTTTGCGTTACGATACGGATTGCTGAGATCAGGACTGTAGTGAGGGAACAAATCAAGAGGAGTAAAGCATGCATGGTCTGAGGTTAGATTGGCATGAGTAATGTCAGTCGACACAAAATCGACTAGGAAACTAAGTCTAAGCCGATTTAGGATAGGTGCACACTACTTGGTCGATCTGCATTAAGCTCTTCCCTCCCTCTGACGCGTTGTTGACTTTTTCTCTCGTCAATGACGCGCTAGGTCTGCAGCACGAGTTTACAGACGGCCCCATCGCCCTCTAGCATGCCATGTTGATCAGAATTGTCTTTGGCTCTGTATATGCTCTCAACGCGTGCTCTCCATTCTCTCGACCAAGTCCACTTTCCTTAGTTCCACCAAAAGGACACGAAAACGAGATGGTGCTGATGCAGTTGATCCCTACAACTCCAGAGTCAATCAGCGAGCTCAAACGAAGCGCGCGGCTGATATCCTGGGTGAAGACCCCGGCCATGAGTCCGTACTTGCTGTCGTTGGCTAACTCGAGGATCTCTTCCTCTGTGTCGAACTTGTTGATAACAGCGACCGGTCCAAAGATCTCTTCTTTGTAGATGAAGGATGTTTTGTCTGTCTCGGCGAAAACGGTGGGTTCGATAAAGTATCCCTACTTCGGTCAGCTCAGGTCGCATTTCAATTCTTCCTGCAACGACGTCACTCGCCTTTTCGCCCACCCGTTGCCCCCCGGTCAGCACTTTTCCGTCATTGTTTTCCTGGGCAGAAGATATGATACCCATGATGCGATCGTACTGGGCTTTGTCCACGACGGGTCCTATCTCGGTGCCGGGTGCCTCCGGGTCACCGAGAACCTCCTTCTTTGCCTTGAGACGCTCCACGTAAGCTGCCACGAATTTGTCATAGATCTTGGATTGCACAAAGACTCTGGTCGGAGCGAAGCATATTTGACCAGAATTGGTGACGAGTGCGTTGACAGCCCTAGTTTCTTCGTCAGCTGGGCCCGCTGCTGCCACAGATCAAATTTTCTCACCATTTGACCGCATTCTCAAGATTCGCATCGTCAAAGACCACAGCAGGACTCTTCCCTCCGAGCTCCAGCGTTACCCGTTTCAAGTTGCTTTGGGCTGCCAGAACCTGTACCATCTTTCCTGTCGGGATACTTCCTGTGAAGCTTACTTTTGCAACGCGCATATGCGAAGCGAGAGCTGCACCTGTCGATCCATCACCCGTCAAGACCTGGAAAACACCAGGAGGGAAGCCGGCCTCAAGCACAAGCTTTCCAAGCTCTGCGGCCATAAAAGGTGTCTTTTCGCTAGGCTTCAGGATGAAGACGTTGCCAGTGGCAAGGGCTGGGGCTGCTTTGAGGCCAACAGACGCCAATGGGCCATTCCATGGAATAATGCTAGCGACATGTTAGCTGACGTCCCTCCAGAGATCTGCAAAGAACTATGCTTCACCCTGCCACGACCCCAAGCGGCTCGTTTCGCACTATCTTGTAAAATCCATCATCTGCTGGGAAACTCTGGCCAGCATGCTTATCCACCCACCCGGCGTAATCTATGTTATCAGCCTGTTGATGCCGTAATACATCTAGGAAAGCCGGAGCAACTTACAGCGAAAACAACCGATAGCTGTTCCAATCTCAGACTTGCCAAATGGAAGGTATGGAGCTCCAAGTGTCAATCGAGTAAGGTAAGCAAGGCGCTCTTGGTTGGCCTCAAGTAGATCCGCGAATTTAAGCAAAATCTCCCTTCTCTCTGTGTGTGTCATTTGCCGCCATGGCGAGTTTGGCTTGAATGCCTCACTGGCGCAAGCAACAGCTTCGTCCACGTCTTTGTTGCCAGCGACAGGGATACGATCGCTTATTAGGTCTCCCGTGGCTGGATTGTATACAGCGATGCTTGGTGGCTGGTTAATTATTGTGAAGTACAATGGTAGACTCGGAAGTATTTACAATTTTGAATTGTGACAATCTACATACTTCTAACTGTCAGTTTATTCTCGGTAAAATAGTTTGATAGAATTCTTACTTTATTGTTAATGAATAATTGCGTCAAGTGCGGTTCGAGCTGCATGATGATTGAGTGTCATTCAAGGGTGTAGGGTAGTTGGAGAAGAGAAGTGTCATATGTGAGAGCTCAGGTTCGAGATTGGGCACTGATTTTTACAACATTTATGTCAATTGCAATGTCAGTCTCAACCATCCTTGATTCATTATGCCTGTATATCCCTAAAGAATGGCTCAATCCTAACATCGAAGGACTTTTGATCCCTGTAGTAGAACATAAACTGAGTAATGAGATAATCCCCACTATCAGGGATACAAGTCCAGCCGAAGCTGAGCTAGTCATGCACCTCGTCTTTTGCATGAGTAATGCCAGAGAGTGGCGCTAAGTCACATGAAGTCTAGTTGATCACGATCAGCCATGGCGTTGGAACTAGATTCCGGAACGCGGGGTCAATTGATGTGGCTTACAGTGAACACCAGGCATGTGATGGATATCTGGGTTGATGCATGCCGAACATGGTCGAGGTTTTGGGGATTGACTATTTTTGCTTAAGACCTACCTAGATGTTGAGAGTGCGCAGTTAAGCCAGTCAAAATGCAGTCTAAAGTCTGGATCGTGACGGGTTGTTCCAGTGGGCTTGGTAAATGTCTAGTCTCGGCCATTCTGGCACGAGGTGACAAGGTCATTGCTACAGCTCGACAGCTTAGTACAATGAAAGAGTTTGAGGGTCATGATGACATCAAGATACTTTCTCTTGACGTGACGTCGTCCCAGGATGTCCTCGACACAAAAGTTAAAGAGGCTGTCTCTTTCTTTGGGCGAATTGACATCCTGGTAAACAACGCAGGATACGTCGAGTCTGGGGTATGGGAAGAACTCAGGTATGTCTCTCATACTAGCAAGCATAACTTCCATTTCTCATCTCATAAACCTTCAGCCACGAAAACACTCTCAGAGGATTCGACACCAACTTCTTTGGGGCCATGAACATGACCCGATCTGTCCTCTCAACTATGCGTTCTCAAAAATCGGGCACAATAATGTTTATGGGAAGTATTGCTGCCTGGTATGGTGCCGCAGCAGGTGGACTGTATGCCTCCACTAAATGTTCACTGGAAGGTGAGTCGGCGCTTGATGCTCTTGGTCTTGCGGTCATGGACGTTAGGACTAAAACAGAGCACGATAGGCGCTGCCGAATCACTGTCTAGGGAAGTGTCTGAACTTGGCATCAATGTTCATGTCTTTGTCATAGGCCGTTTCAGGACAGGAATCCTTGGAGAGAAGAGTAAAAACGAAAAGTTGAGCACGCAAGGCGGCATTGCAGACTATGCCAACGCCAAGAACTCCCTCGCGCAGAGTCTGGCCGATTCACATGGCCGCCAGCCAGGTGATCCCATCAGAGCAGCAGAAAAGATCGTTGACATCGGGAAGAGGCAGAACCTCACTTCAGGCCAGGCGGCAAAGATACCATTGCGCATTCCACTCGGGGCAGAGGCAGTGGCGGTGATGAGACAAAAGTCTTTGGATACTCTTGCACTTCTTGATACATGGTCTCAGTTCGGTGGTGAGGCAGATTTCGAAGATGCTGAAGCATTGTCTACTTTTTATTCATAGCTAAGCCTACTCGAGTGCAATTCGTTTAACTAAACACTTGCCTCTTATTCTGTCTCGTACCAGACTTTTGTCAGACATGGAGTCAGATCTTCAAGCTTACGTGGGGAATACAGCTCCGTCATATGGATGTTTCCTAAGTGGCTTGGTGAGTGTCTCTTTATGACATGTCTAAACTGAACAGCTTGTGGAAGGAATATAATAAATAGAGGCGAAGCAATTCACCCCAAAACAAATGGTGCACTTATTGCAAGTCATTTGAACCTATTAACTGTACCAGTGCGGCAGAAAACAGCAGTTTCTAGAAAGTCAAAGTTTTTATATACGTTGTCACTTGATGCTATGAAGATTGCATAATTTATTACTTTTATTAAAAATACTGGGCATAACGAATACGGGGACAATGAATACACCACAATCCCACTTATAACCTCCCTCATCCAATCAAGGGACGAAAAAGGTTATCAAGCGGACGTGGAATTGCTACAAGCCCTTGAGACATCGCAAACCCTGTACCAGCAATCAGAGCCAGCCAGCTAAGGGGCGAAGTAGTCTTAAGATTTCTCCAAGCTTTGCGAAGCATCCAGAAGCTAGAGCCTCCCGTCCAAAGGAAGTGGCTCCATGTCGGAAAGTAAGTCGCTTTCCAGAAGGTCACAGCCTCGCCCGGCCAAGCAGCTGAGTTTCTTCCTGCCTTGTTGATATACCAGTTGCTACATCCCGCTGAGAAGACCGTCTCGCCGAGTATACGGTCTAAGTTCTCGACAAAGTCTTCTTCAGCATCCTGTTTGACCTCAACGACATGGGTATAACCGTCGACGATGGGCTTGACGAGGACAGATGTGATGTAGTCGACCTGCACCTCGATGGCGTAAATGACGGAGTTGAAAGCGGGGAATGTATTTGGTCCAAACCTACGAAAATTTAGTAATGTTCGTCATCGAAAGGGAATATGTGTCAATTTGGACTTACAAAATGGCAAAGTTAGGGTTGTTATGCACAAATGTTCCCATATATGCTTGGGCACCTCGTCGTTTTGACCACTGTTCCCGAAGTTCCTCACCAGTCTTGCCTATGATCTTCATAGGAGCCAAGAAAGACGAAACATCAAAGCCTGTAGCTAGAATGACGGCATCAAAGTCCTCAGGCTTGCCCTTCTCACTGATCAGACCCGTTTCTGTAAACTCTTGTATACCTTCGGGCAGTAGCTCTACGTTATCACGACGCAAAGCAGCCAGGTCGCCGGGGTCGTAGATCCGTCTCTTGCATCCAAGAGGAAAGTCTGGAACAATAAAGTGGTGATACTTTTTGGGTGCCTCGGAGAGAATGTAGCTTCTTGCTTCTGCTTCCGTTGCCAAACGCTTCTTGATCTGCTTCTCGTCTGGGCCGTATACACTAGCAAGATCGTCTGTTTGGAGGAAGAGATCGAGCCTATGATACCGCTGATACAAGGGTACGTAACGAAAGCAGAACTTTTCAAAAGAAGAGAACACCCGGTTTGGTCGAGGGTGATACCATTGCGGGCTGCGAGCGTATTGAACAAGCTTCTTTACTCCTGGTGCAATGGACGGCACAACTTGCGCAGCGCTACAGCCGTTGCCAATGACGGCCACTTTCTTGTCTCTCCAGTCAAAAGTATGATCCCACTCGGCGGTGTGAAAAGTTCTGCCTTTATACTTATCCATTCCTGGAAACTTGGCTTGTCGAGGGATAGAAAAGCCTCCTACGGCGGAGAGGAGGATGGTGCATTGTTTCGTGAACTCCTCCCCGGTGTACGTGTCGAGGAAGTGAACATGCCACGATCCATCTACCCACTCAGCTCCAGTGCACTCGACCTTGAAGCGGAAATGGCTGCGGAGGCTGAACTTGTCCACTGTGTTCTCAATGTCTGGACCAGCATGAGTTACTTTGTAAAACCTCAAACTACAGGGGAAGGGGTAAGATATAAGAGGACGAACGGAGCAGGTCACCTACATCGAAGAATCTCCTCTTGGTCGGCAAGTGCTTGAGTCCAATCGGGGTTGAGATTGAAGCTAAAAGAGTACAAGTGTATGGGAACGTCCGAGCCACTATAGTGAGCGTGTAAGCCATGATACTACACGATGGGATAGCAACAGGAAGCAAACTCACCATCCTGGGTAAGTATTGATTCTCCAAGTCCCTCCAAGCCCCTCCCGCTTCTCATATATCTCATGCGAGTCAGAGCCAGAAAGAATAAAAAGTGTCAGAAACTTGTACCTCAAAGTTGTTGAAACCAAGTTTGTGCTTCAGGGCGTGTGCCATGGCAATGGCAGCGGCCCCTCCGCCGATGATGATTACGTTGGGCGCTGGCATGTTGGTGGCTTTTGCTCATTCACAAGAATGGTAATGTAATCTGATCAACAAAGTATATTGACCAAGGTTTGGTAATTTGATTGTGACTATTAAATGGACATTGTCAGCTCTCTTGATAAATAATCAAGTCTCATGCTTGCCACAATTTGGTAGACATTGAATTGCGGCTATGGATGGGGGGGGGGGGGGGGGGGGAGGTGAGAAGCCCAGCTCCCTGCGCATCGTCAGTTTCCGCGGGTTTATATTCCGACAGTACCACCACATCGCTGGGGTAGGATTAATCCAGTTGTGCACCCTCGGCTTAACCATATAGGCCGCAGTCAAGCCGTAGGCTCTGTGACGGCAATGGGCTTTTGATTGGAGCCTCTTGCTCCTTTAAAAAAGAATCACCTGCTTTCCCGGCCATTCAAGCTTAAGAAACTCCTCACTGATTGAAAGGACTGTATGCTGTCTCAAGGAGACGGAGCGGTTGTTGCAAATGGCCGGGACTACCGACTGGTTGGACTCAAACCAAGCGGGGTTGGATGCTATCTCTTTGTGTAGCGTAGCGTAGCTAATGCCTCCCCATCCCCACTTGTGAAAATTCAAAGTGGCAATGATCAAGGGTACATAAATCAGGATTGCATTTGTCATGTTGGTCTTACCTTTTATGCTAGCAGACAGAATGCGGGGGCGGGCATGACCCGTGCCATCGTAGATCCAGTGACTAACTTCATCAAGAGTAGGACCTACGGAGACAGGAACATGGGGTTAGCTGCAGACTGCTCACCTTATGTCACAGTTCTTCTTTGAGGGGAGTTTCCCCAGGCGATCGGATATCTCCAGATTCCCTCCACATCATTGTCATTATCCCCTTGTTGCAACATTCCGCTCGGCAGAATGATGGGTCACAAATATGTCAAGAGCGCGTGTTTGAACTGCAGAAGACGGAAGGTCAAGGTACTAGATCCCCGTGCTATCTGAGGGTTCTGTTGATGTGGTCTTTCGTGTGCTAGGCTTATCGTATTGCAGTGCGATGGCAATGAGGTTTGCTCCAATTGTATAAACTCCAAGCTCGAATGCTCCTACAATGCTGATGGAGACATGAGAAGGTGCGTGACTGATAATGCGCCGTGAACAAATACCCCCTGGAGGATGGATCTGCGGGAGAAGATGAGCGTGGAAGCTTACTTACTGTGATTTACTGCAGACAATCAGCCAAGAAGGCAATCGTTGACCTTGAAGCGCGCATCGCCCAACTTGAAGGTGTCCTACGAGAACACAATATCGACCATCCCCAACCGTCACCGGAATCTCCAACCAGACATACTCCAATCTCCAAGCCTCGATCGACCGTATCGGAGGCACATTCAGGGACCGATGCCGACCAAAACCAGGCCGAAAGGCGTCGACCTGGAAAGAAAACCACTTCTGCACGAGCAGAGAGTCCTTCGACACACTTCATTAATACTGGGTCCTTTCAGCCCTTGGAGGCACCAGAGATTGCTCAAAGCTCCCAGGTAAATCGGGATTTAGCTGGAGATCTACCGAACACAGAGGACCACTTCGTCATGGTTGGAACTTCGAGTATCCCGAGTCCCCAGTCGACAAGTCTCGCACAAAGCGGAGTTCATGCGTCAGAAGATGGTGATAGTAGCATCACAGATATTCTATCAGCACGAATGGGTGCGCTCAGGATTGTAGAGGACGGACAGCTTCGATACTATGGACCGACGTCAAATCTTCACATGTATGCTGACGGACTTCAATCATTGTCGAGCCCATCCTTTCGCCGAGTATCGATCGAAGGAATGGATGTTCTTCGGCGACTCGGATTGGACCTGGACGTGTCATCGGACCTCGAAACGCATCTGGCAGGGCTCTACTTTGCCTGGGAAGATCCGGCAATTCACGTCGTTGATGAAGATGTCTTTTTCGCTGAAAAGAGACGCTGTCGATTACAGGAAATAAGCAGTCCCTACTATTCTGAAACACTGAACAATGCAACGTACGTCTCAAGCCCGCCACTGTACACTTAGTCTTGGACTGACGCGTCAAGATGCGCCATTGGAGCTTGTCTAGCCAACGGCGAAAAGCTCAAAGTCCCCGAACCCGCTGCAGAATTCTTCTCTGCTCGAGCAAAAGCACTTCTGGACGTCGAGATGGACAGCCCTACTGTGGCGACAGTTCAGGCACTTGTGATCATGAGTGCTACTGAAGCTGCATCTACTAGAGATGCTCGTGGCTGGCTCTACAGTGGCAAGTCCAGACCTCTATCTTTATGACGCGACACCACAGACTAACAAGAGAGCATCAGGCATGGCTACCCGGTTGAGCGCCGATCTGGGACTTCACTTGGACATCAGCAATCACATTAGCAACGGGCTTTTGACACAGCGTGACATGAAGATCCGACAAACAGCTTTCTGGGGGGTTTTCATCCATGAACAGTATGTTTGCCTCACGTACCCATGCAAAACACTACTAACCTAAGTTCCAGTATGTGGAACCTATATGCTGGCCGACCATGGGGGCTGGGGGTTCAAAACATTACGATCCCAATGCCAGAGACTGAGTCAAGTGAGAGCAACTGCAAAGAATGGAAGTCTTACCCACCTTCTGTCTGGCAGGCAAATGAACAGGAGAATACGGTTTTATTCCCTGTCGGTGCTTGCGCAGCAGCCAATGTTCAACTCTGCGAATACATGCGGCAGATCAACACCACTCTGTGAGACTTCCTTCCTACCTGAGAGCCGAGTGCAAGAGCTAACCCGACTATCAGATATGCTGGACGGACGCTGGGGTTGACCGACCTGGTCGAGTTCCTCCTCAACACCAAACAGTGCGTGAACGACTGGCATGAAGGTTTAACCTCGTTGATTGACGTGAAATACGCAAGCACTGATAAGATCTATCATCCTGCTGTATTACAACTCCAGTATGCCACCCTACCCAGAAAGTTCACCCGCGTGTTCGGATCTGACAATGACCAGTATGCAATATTTTGCCACCCTCATCTTTCTCTATCGACCGTACCTCTCTTATCAAATCGCTTCACAGAAATCAACATTAGACAAAGCAGAAAGCAGAGCAGCCATGTCAAGCGTGCCCAGTGACTGCGTCTCGGCAGCCCACCAAATAGCGGAGCTCCTCCGATGCTACCAACAACATCACTCTTTTCGGCGAGCAAATGTTCAGATTGTCCACATTATTCTCACCGCTTCTCTCATATTCATACATGACGTCTGCACTCGTAACTACAGTGAGTCCCGGTACTCTCTGAACGACTTGCAGCTTTGCTGTCATTCGCTTGGGGAGATCGGTCGCTGCTTCGGAAATGCAACCCGAGCGTTGGAAGTCATCATTCTCGTCAAGAGTGAATGGCAGAGAATAGCAACTTCTCGACTAGGTCAAAGGGCTGGAACTAAACGGCCGAGCTTTAGCATGTCCAAAGGCGCTGATGAGCGTGACGATAACAATGACGGAGGAAGGCCAAGACAAAGATATCGCACCTTGGATCGAGCCAGTTCCATTCTCCAGGCATCTGATATAGGTACACGCTCTGGCTTTCCCCAACAGAGACCGTTAGATCTTGACGGGATGAACCTAGACGAGTTCAGTTTGGAGAGCCAATATCAAGACATGTGGGCATTCTCAGCCGAGCACGAGTTTGATCTACACGAGGCTATTCCGCCCATTGATTGGTTCAACAATCAGCTGCTGGAGGGGTCTCACATATCAATGACGAACATGATGGGTCAAGTGATGAACAACGTCGATGCTCCTCAGGATGGAACTTCCAATAGCCCGCCGCGTAAATCTTGAGGCATGAGTGAGCGCAGCAGGGGCGCTCGCGTGCTGTCGGTTTTTGTACAATGGCATCGGGAATGTAACTCCGTGGCAAGGGACTTGACATGGACTTTGCAGGGAATTTTATTCCACAGTAGTAATGAGATACAAGCTCAGTCGATGAATATGGATGATGACTTATCCGATTGCATGTCGCACATTACAAGTTCGAATGTAATTGAGCATGAAAACACGGACTCGTGACACGGGTAGTGCTAGGGGCTAAGGCTCTATGGATAACATTGGAGGCAGTTTGCCTGTATCGCCCCGAGTCATTCCAGGACCCGCCATAGGCGATAACCCACGGAATTTAATCCCGCGATTTGAGACTTCCGTGGCTTAGTTAGGGCTAGCATCTCTGGAATGGTGGTGAAACGGGAGCTTTGGGGCTGGGATAGCAATGATATATGTGTTTCAACAACCAACAATGTTTACCTCGGATCAATAATCCATTTCACCGAGTTCCCGCAAACCGAGCGCCGCTGCAACACGCCTCGCCACGCTGCCATGAGAAGAATTTACAGGCGAAGAGCCACAAGGGCTTGTTTGAGCTGCCGAAGGCGCAAGGTCCGCTGTGATGTCACTCGGACTTCTACGCCTTGTAGTAACTGTCGCTTCAACTCGACTGAGTGTGTCGTAAACAGAGGCCCTCGAAAGCCTAGATGGTAACATTGTTCAGAACTATTGTAGTGACTTATCGCTGATAGGATATTATAGGGCCGATGAAGAATTGTCATTCAAACATTATTCCCCAGACTCGAGTCAGGACTCAGACAACTACCTGTCCTTTCAGCTGTTGAGCAATGCAGTGGAATCACCAGATCCATCACCTCATTGTATCCAAGTCCAAGCACCTTCTGCCACCAGAGGTTGTAGTTCCAGTATCCTCAACACAGCAAACCCTGTTGACAGTCACTCGGTGGATTCAAATGACACTACAACACAAAGCTCCGAGGACGAAGCAAACATTGGAAGAGACTTCCAGCCTCCAGCCGGCGCCATCGATATAGATCAGGCTCAGATTACCCGAGAAAGCGCTGGTACACCTCTAACCCTCACAGGTGATTGCTGGGACAGAGTAGAGATCGATCGCAATGTCGTGCATGATGCTTCCAGTCTCGATTCCGAGGGTTGCTTCGATATTCCGGTAGACCTTGTTACGAGACGATTCATCAGTCACTACTTTCTCTACGTTAATCCTCTGTTACCAATGCTAGACGAGGGTGACTTCTGGTATCTTCAGTGTGATTCGAATCCTGCAAATTACCGAAGCAATTGTCCTGATATTCTTCTTCTACAAGCAATGTTATTTGCTGCCTGTCAGGTAACCTCTTCATACATTCCATGATGATTGAATCGAGCTGGTACTAACTGTGGTTAGTTTATGTCTAAAGAGGAAGTAAAAGCCTTGGGCTTTCGGGACCTTCGCCAAGCAAAAGCGTGTTTCTACAAACGTGCAATGGTATGTGTAATTCCATGGCCGATTGGACCCGAGTCTGACACCAGGTAGCTTCTTTACAGCTCCCAGATCCAAACCAACCACAATGTAATGGCGCAGGCTGCACTGTTACTGACTCACTGGAGCTCTTCACTCAACTCGAGTGAGAAGCAACCAAACAGCATTTGGCTAAGCCGTGCCATCAGTCATGCAAAAGCACTAGGAGCAGACAAGTGCGCAGATGTGTCCAAAGCTGTAGGGCAAGCATCTATTCAACAGCGATTACATGACAACAGATTAAGGAGAATCTGGTGGTGTTGCATCATCCGGGATCGAATAATCTCCCTTTGCCTTCATCGACACCTACAGATCTCACGGGACCATCTCGACAATCATGCAACCACGACTATCTCGTACGATACCCTTTCGGGCGAGAAGTACCGGTCTCATGTTTATCACGTCGACACTGAAAGCTCTCTAATTACTCTGATGCTTACGATGACAGACCTATGTCTCTGTATATCCGATATATTGACAGTAGTGCATCCCGCCAAGGACTTCACTGTGTCTAATGCCCGCGACTCAACTCGGAGAATGTTGCAGATTTATGAGTGCAAGAAAGGCCTGGAGAACTGGTGCGCCAAGGCTGTAGCATCCTCATCAATAATGGCCATTACTCAGCACGGTGGCCATCGAGTCGATATGACAGAGAGCTCTGTCTTAATGTTCGCCAATATGATATGGATCTACTATCAGTAAGACGCCCAATACATGAACTACGTCTCTTCAATTTTGAAGCTTACTCTATAGTTCTGCCCGCGTCACTCTTTTCAACTTCGAGTTGTTACTAGGCATGACTGCCCATTCACCCGTCTCATACGAAAGCACGCAGCTCCAACTAGCAACTATTGAGAGAGTCCGGATTGGGTTGTGGGATGCATCGGAACATATTACAAACAAAATTGGACAACTTCTCGATCTCGAATTAGCACGCTATCTACCGAGCAGCGCAGTGTCATGTACGGCACTTCCACTGGCGCTACATATACTCGATGCCAAACTATCACCCTCAGTAGTCCCCCGAGAATCAGAAGACGAGCATTCCAGAAGATTCAAGAGGCAAACCCAGTTGAACATCCTTGTTGCCGCGATGAAAGAGCTCCAGCCAAGATATGAAGGGGTCGACTGGGTCACAAGGGCGATCAGGTATTTTATGGAGTGCACATACTGTGAATCAGAAATGATCAACCACATAGACGAGCATCAGGTAAGACATCCTTCGATGGATGTCATTACCCAAAATCCTGCACATTTCCTCAGACTGGCATTGACTCTTGATCTGAGTCTAAGCCAAGACCGGCTGCCTGTCGAGAGAGACTTTCCCCGTAAGCTGCAAGCCTTGATAAGCAAAACTGGATGTTTCATCCCATTACTGTTTTCACAAGATAGCGATCATGACGATGATAGGGCAGTTGAAGATATTGCTGCTGTTGCTAGACAGCAAATGAGTCCCGAGTTGGGACTAGACATGACAGGGTCCGCATCACCTCTATTCCAAGATTTTAGTGGATGGGTTGAGAATGATCGATCACTGTTCTTTGCTCAAGAAATGGGCATTGGTCTTTGAACTTGTAAAACCTTTTCTACTCCGGAGCGCAATATGGTATTAAACATGACAATAACGGTTTCTAAAAAGTATCTATTATACCTAGCGTCTGTTCCTCTTCTTGTTTATGTATCTCGTGGATGTCTAGAAGAGGAGGGCTAGAACAAGTATACTCTTGTTGAGTGATAAGATTCATATTTAGCGGCCTGTCTATTCGCGGTCCTGTTTGAACGGAAGCTGATGTAGCCCCCCCAGCAATAACTGGGACCTCGGAAACTAAATCCGCGGTACGTAAAACGTTTCTATAACAATGTGACCTGGACTGCTGTTGTCCGCTATATAATAAACCACGAATGATTCCCATAGGACTATCCTTCGAATACGTGTTGGACCACCCCTGTTCTATTCTTCGGTTGAACAAAACGCGTCAAGGACCATGTCATCACAGAAAATAGACTTGCCGAGGCAAGGGGCTACTTGCACGCTCTCGATCATTGACACGACATGTCATCTCACAGTTCCAGCAGACACTTTGGTCGAACCTACAATACCAGGACACGAACTGATGAACTTCCCCACGTTCTCATTCCTCATCAACCACGACACCACGGGGAAGCAGCTACTCTTCGACCTGGGATGCCGAAAGGACTTTTGGAATTTGCCAGATCCCATCGCAAAGACCATCGATAAGAGAGTTCCTGGGATCAAGGTCGATAACAACCTAGCCGATATTCTACGAGAAGGTGGCCTTGACCTCTCCAAAATTGACGCAGCAATAGTCAGCCACCACCATTACGATCACATTGGGGACCCAAGTACGTTTCCAGAGACCATGGATCTCATCATCGGTCCTGACTTCTCCCAGCATTTCCTTCCTGGCTACCCAGCAAACCCCAACTCACCAGTCCATGAGTCAGCCTTGAAAAATCGTGAGATCAGAGAGATAAGCTTTAATCAACATCTTCATGTGGCAGGATATCAGGCTATGGACTACTTTGGCGATGGAAGTATGTATCTTCTCAACACCCCTGGCCACGCCATTGGTCATCTCTCTTCCCTGGTCAGAACGACTAGCGACACATTCGTGTTTCTTGGAGGAGACATATGTCACTTTGGAGGGGCTTTCAGACCAACTGAGAAGACCAAAATGCCTAGAGAGCTCGCAAGGGACGAGGTTGGTCTGCCCTCTTCTGCACCAGAGGTTGTATCAAGCCAGCGATACTTATCATGCCATCCAAACCCGGCTGAGGCTAGCTACACTCCATACTACCAGCCATGCAGCCATGCCGACTCTTGGTACGTCAATCCGTCAGAGGCACATAAGAGCGTGAATACCCTCATGTCCTTGGATGCGATCGATAAGGTGTTGGTCCTGATCGCGCATGACCCATCCATCGTGGGAGTCCTCCCAATGTTTCCCACCGCGACCCTCAATAAATGGTATCAATTCGGATGGAAAGGACTACTGCGGTGGAGGTTCCTGGATCAGCTCCCAATAAACGGACAGCCTCGACCGTGTCTTGTTGATGGGACTTATATAGCTGGAACGCGTGTGAAGACACTGGATGGAACGAAAATTTAGTACATAGCGGTTCAAGACAATATAACTGTAGGCGAAAAGGATTCTACGTTGTGAATATTTGTGTTGGCTTTCAAGCCGTTTACTTCCTGGCGTTACATACCAGCCTCTGCGCCTTATCTCCGAACGGTCTAGGACTAAGTTTCATCATTTATCGTCGTCAGAACATCTCGGAGATGGCGGTGGAAGAGTCAATCAAGGCTCTGTATTTCACAATCTTGGAACACAGTATCTGTATCTCCTTAAGAGGAAGAAAGAAATTTGATACTCAATTACACATGACAATAAACCTGTCTAAATCTTGCTACGCAGCGGTAGTCGTTGTTGGAGTTTCTCGACTCGTGCGTATCCCCATGATGCATAAGCCAACGTCTGCCGCGCAAACTCTCTCGCCTTACTACCGCTGGCCTGGCCCCTTACAATTCTAGCAGCTATGCCCTGCATGACGACAGCCGTACGGAAGTTACTAAATGCAACACCCCAATCAAGATACCCTGCAGCATCCCAATCCACTCCGCCCCAATACCATTCCTGACACTGCTCCATGCTAGGAATCCCCGCGAGGTTGCACGGTAGGAACTTTGATTGAAGCTCCTTCAGCTCTGATGTCAAAGTCTCCGATGTAAGAAACGGCACTTGTTGTGGTTCCCAACTGAAAGGCATGAGCAAGTTGGCAAGGTCAGATAGCGGATGGCCTTCTGTTGCCATTTCCCAGTCCAAAATGCCAATCACTCTGGGCTCGGTCTTGTGAAACACCAAATTATCAAGTTTGAAGTCTCCATGCACCAGCCTCCTCACATCGGGCGGGTGGGTGTAGTTGTCTGTGAAGAAGCTGATGAGCTGGTCGTAATAAGGCAATCTTCCAACATTTTGTGCTCCTGGCTGACTTGAAGTGCTTGCCTGGGCCTCGGATGTTTTTGATAAGGCTTTGATCTGGCGCCTGTAAAAGCTAGTAGGACGTTTCCAGCTGTGCAACCCAATGCTTGTTAAATTAATTGAGTGTAGTTTCGCAAGCGTAAAGACTGCCTCCTTCCAGCTGATCTACACGTCAGCAATTCAAAAGCGACTTGAATCTTCCACAAAGTAACTTACATCAGAGTGCGCTCTTCAGGATCAAGGCCCGGAAGCCAAGGCTCTTCAAATATTCTGCCGTCGAGAAATGCCATGATGTAGAATGGCGTCCCAATGACAGAGATGTCTTCGCATAAACAATACAACTTGGGTACAGGAATATCAGTCGCCTCTAATGCTTTGATGATCTCAAACTCTCTCTCAATCGCGTGCGCGCTCTTGGAGAGGAGCTTTCTAGGGGGTTTCTTCCTCAAGACAAATTTGAGACCTGTTGCCGATGTAATTTGATATGTGGGATTGGACTGGCCATGGCCGAACTGGAAGGATTAAGCAAATTGACTGGGCGATCATCTCTAGAGAACATACCTGCTTCAAGCTAATAGGAAGAGAGATTTGATTCACATTTTGTTCAATGTACGCACTCAATCGCGCAACATCGATGGGTTGTCTGACTGCTCCCGCCATCTTGTCGCATGAACCAAGAACATTAAAAAGAAATATTTAGAAAATGCAAATGAACTCAACGATCATTCTAGACGATTGTTATTTGCCTCCATTTAATCCACTGCAAAGCGTTTTGTGGTCAACGCGCGAAACCGATCACGAGGTGTTTACCCATTAATCAGGGTTATTATGCCGAGGGAATTGTCTCGTCAATTCCGTGCCTGGTTCACCGACCCGGAATTGCAGGCCGGTTCCCGCGGCAAACTGTTGCTGGCAATTTACAGGGGGCTTCGTTATTATATGTAAATATACTCCATATACTTCTTAAGTTTACTGTACGTAAACTAATATAAATTAGACCTTTTAATAATTATTTACAGTAAATATGTTTTATTTGTTATAATGTAACTATTTTTAAAAATAAAGCTTTTTATAATTTACTAAAAATACACTACTGCTAACTAATGATTAAATTGCGGCTTTAAATTCCGGCTGTCTTGACTTAAACGGTTCCATGCCTTAGCTTTTCAGTTTCATATACCGGACCACAAAAGTATTAACAACAGATTTATCGACCATGTTTGGTAACCGATAAGGCTTGCATTATATACAATATAGTACCATTCGAACCCCAATTTGTATTATTCCTCTACAACAGAGATTTCCCGTGCGTCGACCGTTGTATATTCCATTGGCCGATTTCACTACCACTTAATATCAAGACCAATTGCTATCATCACCGCCATGGGACTTCCAGCATCAGCACGTATCCCTATTGCATTTTCTGAGTAAGTCAGCAAGAAAGCTCAGAAAACTCTGGACGAAGTCGAGCTTTTTGTCCAAGAGAGATGCATTCCAGCTGATACGATCTTCGCTCAAATGCTGGGTAACAAGCCCAGAGATCGTTTTGTTGCACATCCGCGGATTCTTGAGGACCTGAAGTACGAGGCAAGACGTAGAGGATTGTGGAATCTTTTCTTACCAAGGAGTCACTATGCAGAGGGCAGTGGCTATAGCAATCTTGAATACGCCTTGATGGCTGAGCAATTGGGGAAAAGCCAAATCGCAAGTGAGGTATGTTGACTCAGTATGTTGACTCAACTCTTGGCATCTCGCACAAACGAAGCTCATCATTTGACTCTACAGGCTATGAACTGCTCAGCTCCCGATTCGGGTAACGTGGAGGTCCTGGCCAAGTTTGGAAATGCTCCACAGAAAAAGGAATGGCTCGAGCCCCTCCTTGAGGGAAAGATTCGTTCAGCCTTTCTGATGACTGAGCCAGACATTGCTTCCAGCGACGCCACCAACATTCAATTCGAAATCAAACGCGATGGAGATTCGTACGTACTGAACGGAAGTGTAAGTACCGCCGCGGCCTGTGTATTCAAACTGTCGTCTGACTCTGTGTAGAAATGGTGGAGCAGTGGAACAGGCGATCCTAGATGTGAGCTGTACATTGTGATGGGCAAAACGGACCCCTCTAATCCAAATTCTCATCGCCAACAGTCTGTCTTGTTGGTACCTGCTCGTTCTGCTGGTATCACCGTACACCGCATGCTGTCGGTCTTTGGATACGATGATGCCCCTCATGGTCACGGTCACATCTCTTTTAATAACGTTCGTATTCCCGCAACTAATCTCGTCTTGGGAGAAGGTCGGGGTTTCGAGATCATCCAAGGAAGACTGGGTCCTGGCAGAATTCACCACACTATGCGATGCATCGGAGCGGTAAGAGATCGTCAGGCCTGCGTTAGTTCTATGCAGGAGAGATGCTAACTTGCACTTAAATCGAGGCTGAACGCGCTCTCGATCTGATCCTGGATCGTATTCATGACCCGTCGAAAACACCATTTGGCAAAATGCTTCATGAACATGGGCATGTCACTACCGAGGTAGCCAAAGCTCGCCTAGGCATAGATACATCTAGGCTGGTCGTCCTCAACGCAGCCGTTAAGATAGATAAGGCAGATGCCAAGCGCTCGGACTATGAGAATTGTTGATGGTCCTGATGAGGTTCGTATGCTACAACTAGGTAGAAGAGAGAGTCGACGGGCAGATTCCGTGAGGGCAAGAATACAGGCCCAAAAGGATTTAGAAGACAAGTTGTTCCAGATGTATGGTTTACAAAAGGCTGATCCTTTGCACATGGGTTGGACGAGCGAGACAAAACCAAAGCTATAGGGGCTACCACCAGTTTATATTCATCTGCTCTTGGTGGTAGCTATAGTATGTACAGAAATTATGCATGATTTATGCGGCGGCCTTACAGGGTCTGTTATGATCTGAGAAAAGATTAAGACGATGTTGCTATAGAGATAGTGAATGCCTCTCTATTCCTTTTAAACAAATCATATTTCACCGACTTAAAGTTATGTATGCCTGCAGTCGATGTTGTAGTTACTCATAGTGGCGATATTCAAGTGGCCCAGGAAAACATGTTAATAAGCTGCCGTGAAGTACCAAGTCGAGTTTGTGTCTTGCGCCAGTTAATGCAGAACAGTACGCAACCTCCCAAGTGGAAATGCACCCAAGTGCCCAGGAAGGGCGGCACTAAGCAAAATGAGTTTAAAACCCTTTGTCATGTCTGCACTCTTGGAGCTTGACCCCGCTTTATGTCGGAGGTTGGCCACGCTTGGAAGAAGTGGACATGACTCAGTCACAACTACCGAGGAATTGGCCCCTCCTGGAACAGAGGGAACACCTTACAATCCCGATTGGGATAGAGCGTAGGTTGCCTCGGACATGGAAACAAAGTCCACGGTGTATGACCAGCGAACCACTGAACCATCATGGCGATTATCATTCGACATTCTCTACATAAACAATGCCGTTTAGCGGTCCAGGGCGAACATTCTTCTTGCAGCACAGAATAATTATCATCAGATTCAAACCATGGGTTCCATTGCCGACAAGCTGCTACGAATTGCCTCAGCCTCTGGCTCAGTTACCGACCGGCGCCACGCGCTGGCTGACCTAGCCGAAAATGAGGACGTTGACTTTATCGTTGGCGATTGGCTTTCAGAGTACAACATGACCACAAGAGGGGGAGGCAAGGTTGACGGTGCAGGTTCTACAGATGAATTTGAGCTTTCGTTTCTCGAGGCTCTGGATCCCGCACTGCCTCATTTGGCGTCAAGCAAGGCCAGACTTGTGGTCAATGCTGGTGCCAGCGACACCAAGAAACTTCACGACGTTGTTGTAGAGAAGATTGCCGGCGCCGGTCTGAGTCTCAAGGTTGCTTGGATTGGCGGAGACGAGGTCTTTGACGTTGTCAAGAAGGCCATTGGCAGGGGCGATGCTTTCAAGAGTCTCACACATGGTAAGCCTTGGTCTCCCGCGTGTTTCTCAACTACCGCTCATCCATCATAGGAGGAAATCTCTCGGACTGGGGCTTGGAACCCATATATGCTCAGTGTTATCTCGGTGGCTGGGGCATTGTCGAGGCTCTCAAGCATGGAGCCGACATTGTCCTCTGCGGCCGGGTTGCGGATGCCTCGCCCACTATCGGATGCGCAGCCTACCATTTTGGCTGGAAAAGAGAAGATTACCAGCAACTCGCCTCGGCGTTTGTTGCTGGTCACTTCATCGAGTGCTCGACATACGTGACCGGTGGCAACTTTACCGGCTTCAAAGACTTGCCTGGTGAATCGACAAATCTCGCCTTTCCCATCGTCGAGATGCAAAGCAATGGTGACTTCTGTGTCACCAAGCAGAAGGATCGCGATGGATTAGTCACTGTCGATACCTGCAAGGCGCAGCTCCTTTACGAGATCCAGGGCCCTCTGTATTACAACTCCGACGTAGTAGCCAAGCTTGACAATATAAAGTTGGAACAAGTTGCAAAGGACAAAGTGTAAGCGTCAAACATCTTTTTATCGCTTTGAGCCATTTATTAACTACGACGATAGATTCGTACACAACGTGGGCGGTCTCAAGCCGCCTCCCACTACAAAGGTCGGAATTACCGCCAAAGGCGGTTACCAAGCCGAAGCACATTACTTCCTTTGCGGTTTAGATATTGAGGAAAAGGCCGCGCTGCTTGAGAGGCAAGTCCGAGCTATGCTCGATGAGTCCAAGTTCCACTGCCTCAAGTTTCGCGTCAACGGTCGATGTCCCGAGAACCCAAGGAGCCAAGATGCTGCTACTGTTGACCTGCGCATCTTTGCCCAGTCACGAACCGAACAGGCGCTCTCTACTGCAAACTTCTTGCGCCCGGTAACAGATATCATCATGCAATCGTACCCTGGTGCGACATTTGCAGTGGATGCCCGACAAGCGGTACCTAAGCCATACTACGAATACTTTGTTGCGCTCCTCCCGCAGAAAGACATTACACACGTCGCTCATATTCCTGAAAAGGGACTGGAGATTCCAATCGCAGCACCTAACGACACTCAGGACTTTTTATACGAGCAGTCAACATATGAGACCGCGTCTCCCGTCGATTTGTCTACTTTTGGACCTACCACGAGGGCTCCCCTTGGCTACATCGTCCATGCTCGCTCAGGCGACAAAGGATCAGATGCCAACGTCGGATTCTTCGTTAGAAACACTGACGAATGGGATTGGCTCCGAAGTGTCCTCACCGTAAACAAGATTCGAGAGCTGTTGGGTGACGACGACACTGGTAAACCAATCTTCCGTTTTGAACTCCCAAACATATCAGGCATGTGCCCTTGCTAAGCTTTAAATACCTTCACTAACATCTTCTTTCAGCTGTCCATTTCCTGCTTAAAGATCATCTCGATCGTGGTGTAGCTTCTAGCTCAACTTATGATGTGCTGGGAAAGAACATAGCAGAATATCTGAGATGTAAGCCGGTCGATATTCCTACTAGGTTTTTGGACCGTGGAAAGATTTGATCTCATAAATATATCAATCAACATAATGGGAAATTTTGCCCGCATCCAACTTCATGATTCACTGTCTGCCTGGATAGATATTTCAGTGTCTGCTCTTGACGGCAATTGGACCATGTTTTAAACGGCGTCAGGTGAAATTATCTTCCTTCTGGATTAGGATATCCGCAATGCAGGCCTCATCTAATTCTCCACCTCCTTGGATGACATGCCTCTAGATCAAAATCTGACATTCGTCCATACAGCAGCCTTGAGTCTTGACCCTCCCTGACCGGTCACTCTCCCCATGAGTATTCTCCAGATTCCGAATACGCTAAACTCATTTAATAATTTAAAGGAAATACAATTCCGTATTGTTATACGGCAAACTCCATTCGACTTGAGCAAAGCGATTCGAGGTTGATCAGCACCAGCCTCGGCGCAGTGACCAAAGGTTCCACGGAAACTTTGCCGGGTTCTAATTCCGTCGACCCCGCTGCAACTGTCTGCCGCACAAGTGGCTACGTAGTCGGTAACGTCATAACACTAACATAGAAGATGCTCATTCTGACATCAAACATTAACTATCACCTGTTCATCCAACAACCAAAAACTATTCATACTCACCGAGACCAACTCAACAATGCCTTGGCAAAAGATCAACCATGAGTTTACTCACCCTCAACTGGACTATAACTCCAAACCCAACTTCCAGCCCTGTATCAAAGTCTCCGTTTTCTTCAAGAAGATTGATTCAATCGACTACGATACGTTCTTCGGGCACTGGCAGACCGTCCATGCTGATTTAGCTGTTGCCACGCATGCTTTCCGAGACCACATCGTTCGATATGCACAAGTGAGTCTTAACAAAGTCTATAACATAGAAGCTGACAATCGTGCAGCACCATCAAACCCCGGAAATGAAGGACAGGGCCAAGAGCTTAGGAGAAGGATTGCTAGACTATGACGGTTGTGCGCAGCTTTGGGTCAAGACGTGGGATGACTGGCTGGCGTTTTACAACAGCAAAGAGTATGCTGCAGCATTGAGCGATGACTGCAACAGGCTCATGGCATTGCCCATGACATACATGATGGGCTATGAGAATTTAGTTGTAGGAGATGCGCCTCGGTCACTTGGTGGTAAGGATGGGATGGATATCAAGACTCTGAAATAGGGTAGTTACTGTAGCGCTAGTGAGGGTTTTACAATTATCATCGCATTCCTTCCTAATTCAGTGTAAAGCAAATTAATTTTACATTGTCCCTCTAGAACGGAAATACCAGGATTGCTTTTTCACAATAATTCATCGAGAGAAAGCAAGGAATGAGGGTCGGGTTGTGGAGCACTAAAGAGACACAAAGTGAACACCTAAGGATGCCAAAGTCCACGTTTCTACTATCATTACACACTGCTTTTCTAACGCTTACAGCATTAAAAGATTACAATGCCTAGGTAAGACAGGGCTCAACTAAACTTCTGGAGTACATATGAGATCGCATCTTCGAACTTCACTCATTTCTCACAGCGGCCTTTTCTCAAGGGCTCGTTAGAGATGGAAAAGGAGCATACGACATACATTTATGAACCAACTTTACTTAAAGATGACTTAAAACTACTACGGTTTGCTGAAATGGACGAAGTAAGTGAGATAAGGAATGATTCGGGATCGAAGGTTGCAAAGTTTGAATAATGGTGTCTTTGCCTTTAGGGACAGGCATCGAAGGAAAAACTAAGGGCGTGTTCAATTTGAAAAGGCAGGAGAGTTACCAAACGCCTACAAGAAGCTTATCTCTAAAAGCTCTTCTTGGCAGAGATTAAACACTTTGAGCATGCCATGAAGATGGGAATAGAATCTCCATAATGGTAAATACCAAGGATAAATGACCTCAAGATACCGTAATAGACAATGGGCTACGAGTTCTCAACGTGCGAAGATGTCATTTCCCCCTTTTCGGCTTTTTCATGGCTCTGCATCACAAGCGCTTCGGCCAAGATAGTGTGTTTGATCTCTTCCTTTGCAAAAAGCACATCAATCTCCTCCAGGGTCTTTCCAGTTGTCTGTTTTCTGTCAGCCATATCTCCATTAATGGAGTCGCACTGGAGCATACCTCAGGGCACATGAAATAGACAAAGAAGATGGCGGCAAAACAAGACAAGGCCATCCAGATCCAGATCTTCCAACCAACGTTCTGGAGGGCAATGCCGCCAGCAAACACCGTGATAAAAGAGAAGAGCCATTCACCGAACGCTCCCGCAGCAGCGCCAGCATGTCGAAGCTTGAGGGGCGCGATCTATACGAGTTGTTATTATACTGCCCACAGAGATGTCATACTCGGCTTGTAACGTACCTCTGGGCCATAGAGCCAACAGATTCCAATCCATCCATAACCAAAGACCATGTTATAGATAAAGATTGCACCAACAGCCGTCCACTGGGTAGCGAGGGTTCGGTTAGGCAGACCAATCATTGCGGTAAAGATCACCATGCAAATGGTCAAGACAACGGCGGACCACAGTAAAATGCTTCGCCGACCAAATTTCTCGACGGTGTAAACCAGCGGAATGGTACCAAGGGCAAAGGCGGTGTTCATGATGGCAGCCAGTAGCTGAGCCATGAATGGCGATAGGCCAACCTGTGCGAAGATGACGGTGCTGTAGTAGACAGAAAGGTTGATACCTGTTAACGCGAATGTCAGTTGTCTTCTTGGAACAAAGGAGACGTCATGGAGCAAAATACCCATCATCTGCTGAATTGCCAGGATAAGGAAAGAAATACGGATACGGCGTCCAACACGAAGGTCGCTGGAGTCCCAGAAAAGATCCAAGAGATTGAAGCCTTTCTCGTTCTGAGATTCAAAGGCGATGTTGGTAAGGATAGAGCTCTTCACATTCTGCACTCTCTCGTCGTGAATCTCGGCGTTGAAAATCTGGCACAGAGTCTTGTCTCCCTCAGCCTCTAACCCTCGGGCGTAGTACCATCGAGGAGTATCTGGGAGAAACAGCATGATACCACCAGCGACCAGGGCAAAAAGGACCTGAAACGCGATGGGAATGCGCTGTGAATGTGGTTAGCTCAATAACCAGAGGAGCAGTGCTTGATGAAGGTCTGCTTACCCAAGAGATCTGGTTATCCATGCGTGTGAATCCAAAGTCAATCCAGTACGCGAGAGCGGCACCTGCGACCAAGAAAACACATGTAACAGCGACAGCGGGTCCTCGCTCTTCTTGTTCCGTGCTCATTTCAGCTTGATAGGTAGGGATCGAACAGGAGATGAACTATTCGATTAGATTATTATACTGCGATGTTCAGTTTTCAAGGAGCCAGGGGAAACCTACACCAATGCCAATGCCCTGAAGGACTATTAGTTTGTATAAAATGACACCAGGATATCATGTACTCACACAAAGGATACGACCGACTATCATGTGAGGGACAGACCAAGCTGAAGCTTGGAGACTACCACCAACCACAACAAACGCGTTTCCAAGAAGGATGCACTTTCGTCGACCAAGGGGCATGCCAATGACAGTGACTGCGAGCGAGCAGACTGTAGCGGCAAGGGTATATGCTGAGGCTATCATGGGGATGACATAGGTTCCGGTAGGGTTCTAGGTCATTGATGATGAGAAAAACAGGCTTCATTTCGCTTGATACCGAATATTACTCACTCCCATGGCATGAAGAAAAGGTTTGGTCTCCTGGACTCCACCAAGGACTCCTGCATCGTAACCGTAGAGTAGGAAGGACTGTGACTTGTCAGAGGATACGATGACGAATATACTGGATATGGGCCATACAATAGCGCAGCTTGTTGACAGAAGTCGCTTGATTGTTCTTCCTTGGATCTTGGACTTGTAATTGGACAACATGTTGAAAGATTGAGGGAGGGATGATCTGAGGAATTCGTGTTGACAGGTGAGGCTGTCCTTGAGAATATTGGCAACACAGGAGGGGCGAGACTCGTCTACTTATCGTGTCACAATGAGTATCAATCTCTATCAATACAACAAGGCCTATCATCTCCAGATCTTTGAGGCACGGCAAGGGTTCCCCAGGAAACACGGTCTTTCTCCCCACAAATGCTATCCTTCCCCGCGTGACCGGGTTTACCCCAGATCTAGACTTTGAACGACTCTTTGCTGATCTAACCGCGATAAGAAAAGGCGCACGCCACATTTATCAATCGCTAACGAGCACGCGTCAGTTAACGGGATTTATTTCCGTGGCTTTTACATCTCGGCTGTCAATGAGTCAGGGCACATTAGCGTGCCAATGTTTGCTTCGGCAGCACGGATAGCATCCACGCCACGTCCTACCCGTATTCGGCAAGGGTCATTGGTCATGTCTGAGTTCCCGAAGCACGAACTTGGCATTTGTTTAGCCAAACCTTTCCAAGCAAATCCCAGGTTGGATATGGCCTATATATTGCTCCTAGAGTGAGATACAGTGTCTAATCAACCAAGGCCAATCTTTTATCCAACATTCGTCGCCCCCTGAACCATGGCAGCCGCCCCAATCACCACTCTCAATGATGGAAGTGAGACCAAGAGTCTAGCTGGGTCTAGGCTTTTCAGGCCAATCAAAATTGGCAATATTGCACTTCAGCACCGCATTGCCATGTGTCCTTTGACCCGTTATCGAGCATCAGATGACCATGTGCCTCAGCCTTCATTCCAAGACTACTATGGTCAGCGAGCATCGACACCTGGTACGCTATTGATATCAGAGGGAACATTTATCGCCCCGGACCATGGCGGCTATGCCAATGCTCCTGGCATCTACAATGATGAACAAATTAAGGCCTGGCGCCTAGTTACAGATGCCGTCCACGAAAAGGGTAGTTACATCTTTTGTCAGCTTTGGGCATTAGGTCGTACTGCTTCTCCTGAAGTTGCAGAGAAGGAGGGCGTGGCCTTCCGTAGCTCCGGCGATATTCTTGTTGATTCAGACCACCCTAAGCCTAAACCTCTCTCCATCTCCGAGATCCATGAAACAGCTCAATCATATGCTCAAGCCGCCAAGAACGCCATCGAGGCTGGCTTTGACGGCGTCGAGCTCCATGGGGCAAACGGATACCTTATCGATCAATTCATTCAAGACAAGTGCAACAACCGTACTGATATCTATGGCGGTAGCATCGAGAATCGCTCTCGATTTGCGATGGAGGTAGTCCAGGCGGTTTGCTATGCTGTCGGCTCGGAACGCACAGGCATACGTTTCAGCCCTTGGAGTGTTTTTAACGACATGCGAATGGACAATCCGATCCCTCAGTTCAAGGATGTTATCGAGAAGCTGAAGCCGTTCAAGCTTGCTTATCTCCATCTGATAGAGTCTAGAATTGCCGGCGCCCAAGATGTCGAGGGTGTCGACCAGCTGACGTTTGCCATCGAAGCTTGGGATCGACCTCTTTTGATTGCTGGAGGATTCACTCCCGAGTCAGCACGAACTCTGGTGGATGAGGACTACCCAAGTAAGGACATTATCGTCTCGTTCGGTAGATACTTTCTCTCTACACCAGATCTGCCATTCCGAATCAAGCAAGGATTGGAGCTCAACAAATACAACCGTGAGACCTTCTATACGCCCATGGCATCGGAAGGCTATACGGATTATCCTTTTAGTGATCAATTTCTCGACTACATCAAAAGGGAAAGGGTAGTGGGAAAGGCTTGATAACAGACGCTGCAATGTAACTAGCTCAATGTGAATCTGTGCGTTGGAAACAGAATATAAATAGCAAGTCGAAGAAATGAGCCATGCCATATTCAAGATCAGTTCTTGAAAAGTTACAATCAGACCTCTGTAAATCCTTCAAGGCGCCCCAAATAATGGTCAGAAGATGCCTCTAGCTAAAATCATAAGACTATCAGTCCACCAGTGGCCGATGCCTGTGCTATTTGTGATGGTTTACGACACGGCGCTCAGTCTTCATCGAGGTATTGGCGCTGTGTGTTGGCAGACGTAAACAACCGGTCTAGCAATAGTATTGAGTGGAACTTTCCGCGTAAACGGCTGCGGAAATAGATTCCGTGGAAGACCCAAACTGCGAGGCGTCTGTGAACCTTTGGGGTTACTCATCGAAGCTACTCGGCCCCAGAATTTCCCCGCGCTCTCGAATTCCGGCTTCATGTTGATCAATCTAGCTACCGTCAGTCCGTATGAAATCCCAAATAAAGTCCAACCAACAATAAACTATCTTTGGCTTTTTTTGCCGACAAGCTATTCAAACTTCTTCCTTCTGCGGTTAATCTGTTACTTCCCAGACACCTAAGTATGGCTGCCCAAAAAGTCGCAATCATTACAGGAGGTGCTTCGGGCATGGGCCTTGCCACTGCCATATCCCTGTCTGCCGCTGGTTGGAAAGTTCATATCCTGGACCTCAACAAGTCTGCTGGTGCAGAAGCTACCCGCCAAAACTCGGACTTGATCTTCACTCAAACTGATGTGAATTCATATCAATCTTTGTCTTCTGCCTTCGACAGGACTTTTACATCTGAAAGGAGACTCGATTTTGTCTTTGCTAATGCCGGCATTCTCGGGCTCGACAACTTTTATGACAAGGCAGACTCGCTTCCACCACCGGAGCCACGGCAGTTGAGTATTGATATCAATTTGAAAGCTGCTGTGGCTACCACATATCTTGCGAGGCAATATTTCCTAGCCTCGGACAATCCTTGCCATGATCCAGTTATAGTGATAACCGCCAGTATTGCAAGCTTTGTATGAACCATCTCCCACCCGCAAAGGAAAGACACACTAGGCTGACATCAGAAAGTATGCACAAGAGTTCAATCCACTATACACTGCCTCAAAGGCTGGTGTGCTTGGTTTTATGCGTTCCGTGGCCTACCCATTCTTTACTGAGGGGATTCGAATACACGCCATCTGCCCGGGCACAATTCGCACAAATCTGCTTACAAATGAGATGATGAACTCTTTTCCAGAAGAACATCTGACCCCAGTGGAAGCTGTGGTATCAACTGTTGAATGTCTTATCAAAGGCGGGAGCTTTACTGACTCGACAGGGAAACATGTGTCTGGAGCTGAGAACTATGGATTGGCTGTTTAGATTTTTGGCTCCAGTATCTTTTTCAGGGACCAGTTAGAGTACAGTAGTAGTGGTCTGAGGGAGCTATGTGAAGCTGCAAGCCTAAAGAATCAAGAGGCCAATTTAGCTAGCATGGTCAAATAAATGTACCTGAGTTGGGAAATCGAAGTTGCACCAGTAAAATCCAGAAGACGCAAGCGAAGAAGCATAATTACCATCAGCAGCAAGAATATAGTAATCAAGGATAATATATTTGTAAAAGAGCTCTAAAAAGACGATATAAGATCTTATATGATCATTTCAGGATATTAACCCTGTGCATGCCTTTGTCATGGAGCTATGAAGTTTAATAAAGAAGATGTTGCTTTAATGGTTGCCATGACACATCTGAGGCCATATGCTGGTTTGGGTCACCCTTTTGGTGGAATTTGAAACATTTCGGCGGCCACAAAGTAAACTTAGGGCATGCGAAGCACGATATGCGCATTTACTGGCTTTCATTCTCGCATGGACAAAACTGATCAGCCACGATGGGCCCATCAGTCCCACTGAGCTTCGAGTACCTTATATTCAGGCTCCCACTGGTTTATGGCGTCGTCGTTGGGGTATCCGACGTACTGGACGAAGTATTCAGTCCCCTGTCCGTTCTCCCTGCGGCGGTGAGCATGCAGGATTCGCAGGGGACAGGTCTCCCTGATGCCTTGTGTATCTCTTCCGCCAACTTTCTGCCAGTAGGCCAGGAGCTTTCCTTCATCGCGTTCATGGACAAATCTCTCGTCAACCCAACCCTCCCATCGGGCCCTTGACTTCGAGCCCTTGATGAACAAGGCCACGAAAGGGCCATCCTTGTCGCCGACGGTATCGACCTTGTGCTTAAGAATTAAAAAGTTGGGATGGACGGATTCCATTGCTGTCTTATGTTAGACTCTCTATACATTATCTAGAACAGAGGATTGGGACTTACGACTACGGGTGATAGTCCAAGAATTGGGAGAGGAAATGTGATGAGCCATTTCAGATGTGTGAGAAGTGAGGGAGTTGCTGTTGTTGTCGAGAATAGTAAGGGAAATTAATTGCGATCGACGGTTGGTATTGATGGTTATAGTATGCCGAGGTGAATAGGGTTGGGGATTCTGAGAAATGTAAAGACAAATGTTGTTGATGATGATGTTTGTGTTATTCTGGGCACTTTCAGACCAGATCGTTGAGAAGAAATGTAAAGTTCTGAAGAATGGTGAGAATGAAAAGGAAGATGAAATTCGTCAGGACTCGGGGACAAGGCGAGCTTTTATAGCTGTTGTTGCCAACCTTTGCTCGTGACTGGGCTCATTGCCACCCCACAGACTTCTGTTATTGAAGTTATCTGCGAGATCACACGAAGGTATCGAAGTTAAATGTTGGGCAGCACCATACAGAGCAAAGAGGCAGGGATTTCTTAACTCGCAAGACCGAAAGTTTAAATCGCAGACTGGCCAAGAAGCCTTGACATCTTTGTCTTCATTGGACATCTATCAAAAAGCGATTGTAGCTCTATTCTCAGAGTTGAGGCATTGTATGCATCGTGATCGTCCCATTGGCCAGAGCTCAGTAAGACTTTTCGGTTGCGAGAGTCTCCCATGTCGATTTAAGTTTTCATAGAGCTTATTTCAAGAACTTCTATGTTAACAACTACCAAACATGGTCGTGTCACAAAGCTTACCTCATAATCAGTGTTCATGCAGTTCCAGAACAAAATTATATACGCAGGGTCGCCTGGTACACACAGCATCCCATACATAAGCTTCAGGGGTCAAGCCAATAGATATTTTGTCACAACCAATTTCTTAGATGACTGGTAGCTGTGTTGCATCGTGCCGTGACTATTTAAAATTCCCTAAAGTCCTGCCTTGCGACTCGCTTGGTTTGCAGTATTCACAGTGGAAGCTGAGCCTGAAGACATGGGTCTGTCATGGGAGTCAGTCTGGGAAGCGTTTCCGCTATCCGCGAGCCATTACCAGCATCGATAAACTAAACGCTAACAAGACTGAGCTCGTAGCCAATAGTTGCATGTATGAGAACAACAATGCTCGATGTTTAGGTTCTCGCTGGCTTGCGGGTTGATCTTGTCAAAACTCAAACCAAGTCTCCGTTCAAACTTTCGATACTGAAGGCTCGGGATTCCCCTGGAGGACGATGGCTATGACAATTTAAGCTGGTCCCAGGTCATGTTGAGTCTAGAAAGGCAACGCAAATATAGACGAGAACTCTGGCCATCCTCGGAATTGAGTAGTTGCGCCTCTTCTTTTGAGCTCTTAGCTTCGGAATTCTCGGAGCCTACATGGCTAGCTAGCATGGATTAAGCCCTGGTAAGACTAGCTTTCGCTCGATGCCGAAAACTTTCTAAGCTAAGGTTGTTCCGGTATTATTTTAATTCCGAACCAGGATGTATTTATCATCTTTTCATTGACTGAGGGGCTTGCTGTCCACAGCCGCGCGCCCTTTACTAATCTGCATGCTAGGGATCGGCTTTATTCTATACTCCGACCTGCCAATGCTTCACTGTCATGTGTACCGCGCAAGTATATAATAGTCTCAAGACCATCTGAAATACTTCTCAACATTCATCATCTATCGCTCTCATTGATTGTGTCGGGATCGATAAACATACACCCTTATTAAAACAAGAAGCGAACGAGCGCAATACGAAGACCATGGCCATCATTGCTGTCGCTGGAGGCGCCGGAAAACTCGGCCGTGCGATCGTTGAAGCGATCGTTGAGCAGGGTCAGCATACCGTGGTAGTCCTGGCTCGAGAGGTAAACTACGTCTGAATACGAAACTTGGCAGGAATACATCTAACACATCTTCCAGGCTAAGGATGCACCAGGGGCCAAGGTTATCGCCGTGGACTATACCAACGCCGATGAGCTTGCAGCCACTCTTGAGGTCAATAACATCGAGACTGTCATATCCACCATCAACGCTATGGACGACGTGTCGGCTGAGCTGAGCTTGATCAAAGCAGCTGAAAAGTCAGCATCTACCAAACGATATATCCCTAGTATTTGGGGCATAAAATACACCGAAGAGTTAGTGCGCTGTCGTGCTCCCAACACTTTGGAATAACAACACTAAACTCCAAGGACAGGATAGCATCGTATTTCCCCATCGGCGGGGCCAAGCTTAAAGTTCTTGCTGCATTGGAAGCAACCTCCAGCCTCAAATATACTGCCGTGTACAACGGCTACTTTGCTGACTACTGGGTACTCCCCAAGGTCAAGTCTTACCAAGCCCCTCTCGCTATAGTAGTCGATATTGCGAACGATTTTGCTGCTGTTCCTGGGACTGGTAACGAGCTTGTGGCTTTTACGCATACCTTTGACATCGCTCGCTTTGTCACGGCGCTTGTCGGGGCATCTAAGTGGGACAAGGAGTCCTACATCATTGGGGACAAGGTGTCGTGGAATCAGTTCGTGCAGTACGCTGAAGAAGCCAAGGGTGTCAAGTTCACGATCACGCATGACTCGATCGAGGACCTCAAAGCTGGTAAAATCACGGAACTGCCGTCTCACCCGCACATGTACCCCTTCTTCCCCAAGCCTATGCTGCAGGGCCTTTTGGCTGCTTTTGGCCGGATGTTTGTTGAAGGAGTGTTTGACTTCAAGCCTGAGCGCACGCTCAATGAGGAGTTCCCTGAGGTCAAGGCTCGAAAGATCAAGGATCTTCTCTTTGAGGCTTGGAGACAGTAGCTTCGGCAGTAGTTATCAATTGAGCCCTGGTTGACAGGATGAAATTTGTGGAGAACAAACATTCCTTATCCGTGATTACTAAGTGATCTGATCGGATGTATTTTAATTCCGACGCTACCGACGCTTGACAAATCAAGTGGATCTATTTCAGAAACCACGTCAACTCTAAAACAAGCACTAAGGGCTTGGTTTTTCATTCTATGATACTTGCTGTCGATAATTTCAGCTTTCGAACACGAGAAGCGGAATGGAGATTCAACATATGCGGGCTGTTAATGATGGAGCAAGTAAACGAACTGGGAACGTAAGCCTCCCCGCAATCTAACATCCTACCCTGCAGGCCTAAGTCCAATAGGCTTGTGTTCCGTGCAGAAGCAGCAAGGTACGATGTGACGGCAAATTACCAAGCTGCCAAAGATGCCTCAATCGAAGGACAATATGTCACTATGGTGAGCGGAAAGGAAGAGGGCGTGGCAAAAGGTGCGTTTCCGCTATGATATTAAAGACTTGAGGTTTAATCATCAACAGCAAACAGTACATCCAGACACTCGAGGAACGACTAAAGAGCGTTGAAGTTGCACTAAATGCCTCCCTTCCAGTCAATCAAGGTTCATGTCAGGTTTCTGCAGACCCTGGATATTTTTATGAGACATCTAATAGCAGTGAGACAGCACCAGACAAATTTCTCTCTGCCGCTTTAAGCTCTCAGCCATCGGGATGGCCAGAAGAGATCACCAGAAACATAATTCATGCTCAGAAGAACAACAGTAACCTCGAACGAACAGTTTTCGTCCCACTCCCCCCAAAAGAGCACATGATACACTTTATACCCTATGCCCTAGAAGATATGTACGAAGCACAGTCTCTCTTCAGCACCGACAATGTTCTGAAGCTTGTCAATGATCAGTATTCGGCCGGGCTATCGAATTGTCACGCCAATCCAACTCGCTGGGCAACGGTGAATGCTCTCATTGCCACGGGAATTCATTGGAAGGCCGACAACAAGGCGATAGAAGAACTGTTCCCCATGTCGTGGGCATACTTTAAGAATGCCTTTGCAATTTTCCCAGAGATCGTCATGAACGGCGACGGCATCGACTCTTGTCAAGCGATGATTGCTATGGCTTTGTTCATGAGGGGAACCGCTGACGCCCGCGCATTTACTGCACTGTTATCCGCGGCAGCGCACGCTATCCACTGTAATGGCCTGCACTTGGAAGACCTTCATGCATCGAGTGACTTGATCGATATGGAAAGGCGTAAGCGGTTCTTTTGGGTGGTCTACGTGCTTCAATGCAATGCGTCGCTCAGCTTTGGCCTTCCCGCCCCATCTAATCAAGTTGGTGTCGAGCTCCCATCACAGGGCCTTGTACCAGATGCTAGTTGCAGCCCACATCTACTGGAGTATATGTCAATGTTAGCACTTATCCAGTCGAGAATAAGTCGATGTTTTTGCCCTGGTTCAGCACTCTCCAGGAATAGTGATAACATGATGCAGGATCTTGTTGAATTGGATACTGACCTCGAAGCATGGAGGACAGCCCTGCCTGCAGAAGTTCAACCTACAGTATTGGCCCAAGAGGACAACCTCGGCATCATACAGCTTCAGTTTGCTTACTATGCCTCGACTTGGAAAATCTATACGGCTATCAGCAGGCTCTATAATGTCCCTCTCACATTGGTCAAACGAGAGCAGTCAAATATACGTCTGAGTACACTTCTACCCGTATGTAGCGCGAGAGCCACAATCTCTTTGCTACCACGTCTATCTCAACGACCGTTGGCCTCTCTATGGTACGAAAGCCCACCTGCTTATTTCTCTTGTATACTAATATCACAGGCAAATCATTTGCTATCCGACGTGCGCTGTTCTGATTCTTTTAACAGCCGTGCTTCAAAATCCTGCAGATCCAGAAGTGACTTCGAACGTCGAATCGATTGGGAAATTTGTCATATTTCTGCAAACCTTCCAAGACCGAGAGGAATGTGATCTGCATGGCCTTATTGAGTTTTGCTCCGAGCTTTATGATATTGCATCGGTTGCGCAACGCAATTCAACAGATCTGATGAACGAGAGTGAAGATGACAAAGAAGGGTTAGTGAGGCAGTATATAGTAAGTATCAATCTCACTAAAAGCCAACTTTGCTGACCCCTTAGGACTTGCGTATCCGCTTTTCAGGTTCTCAAGACCCCATGCTACTCGCGCAGGGCCTCCTTACCAATATGCCGCTTCTGGGCGCGAAGGCAACGGAAGTGTTCTCCGGCACAGTAGCAGAGGCCAGGGACGATGGGTTCACGCGGCTTGTGCCCAATGTACTCAAACCCAGGTCATTCAACTTCTTTGCCAAGCAATAGACAATCAGCGCATCAGCATCAGCCACGTTTTAGGCATCTGTCCAACCCAAACATATCTTTTGGCGCTCAGGCCCGTTAAATATAAACCATTTGCTGAACTTGATCCCACTCCCTGCTTATAGTACCCAACTTGTACTTTAGTAATCGCTTCGCCCATCACTCCCATCCACTGATAGAGAGGGTGTGACGGTAAGTAAGACAGTCCGGACCCAGATAGCCTCGACTGATAATTATTTTTATAATAGAAGCTTATATCTTAATAAGTATTTCTAATAATACTTAGTTAAAAAGCTATAATAGTAAATTAAGGCAGCTATTTTATCTTTTAGAAAATATATTTAAAGTTCTCTTTATATATTAAATATCCCCAGTTTAACTTACTGCTTCTTTATTAATATTGCTTTATTTACTCTTAAATATAAGGTTAATTAGTTATATACCTTAATATATATAATTAATTAATAGATCTAGTTATTATTAACTTTAGGTTAATTTAGCTTTTACTAACTAACTTATATAAAAGTTAATTTAATTCCTTTAAACCTTTAAACCCTGCTATTATTTTATATTTATCCTTAACCCTTATATAAGTAAGAAAAAGCTAAGTATATATTTAGCCTTAATAATTATATTTTATAGCCACTCTTTATAGCCAGTTAAGTTTAGGCCTAAAAAGGCAGCTAAAAAGGTAGCCTAGTTAGTTATTAAGGTCTTGCCTTACCTTATAGCTTTTTTTAAGTCTTTTAATTATAATAGCTTTTTAGCTAATTAGTTTAGAGATATTATATAATTTAAGATATTTAAATTTATATAATTAATTATATTAATTAAAATATAATTAAAAATAGCTATTTTAATTAAACTAGATTAATTCTTTAATAAGAAGTTCTTCTTAATAGCTATAGCTATTATATAAAGCTTGCAGTATTTATAGCCTATAGCTTCTGCTAGTACTAATTTAATTATATTAATAAAGTTATAGTTAGTTATATAATAGGCCTGATTGGCCTGCAGGCTGTTATGTATAGGCATCGTGATGGTGGCTATGATCGATATTAGCAACTGTGACCAATAGTGGAAGTGTAATAGACTTAGCCCGGTATGCTGAAAAGGTCGATCTAAGATCTTTTAGGTAGGGTAAAGGAAGAAGGCTAATACAGCTGCCAAGGGGTAATAGACCTGCAGGCAGTATTAATACTGCTTGGTTAAGGCAGCAATTATGCCATTAAGGCAGATAAACCTTATATAATTTTAACCTTTAAGATATAGGCCTATTATAGGGGCCTTATTATTTAAGGCTTTAAATAGAAAGTTAGAAGCTTAATAGCCTTATTAGGCTAATAGTAAGGAAAATATATATATATATATATATATTAAATATAATTATTATTAAATAGGTAAAGCTTATTTTAAGTAATTATATTAAGTAATTAATATACTGCCTGAATTAATTTTAGTTAAAGTATTATTTTAAGTTAATAGACCTTACAGCTAATAGCTTATATTACGCGCCTTACACGCTCCTATCCACGTTATCGCCCTCTTATGGTATTGTAGGTAATAAACGCCGGCCGCGTGATTGGTGTCATTTCTCAGAACTGGTTGATGACAATAACACTTTGTATCTAATGCTCTCAATAACTGTCTTCCTTTATTGACTTTAGATCTCGAAGGTCTGATTTAGTAACTCTGAGAACCAAACCCTTGTCACGAAACATCATATAGGAGTCAAACTGCATTGCCTGATGTGGCTCAGCCAGCTGGAAGTCGAAATGGCGAAAGAGCTAGACTTCTCATTAGCGTCATTACAGTTGTATTGGTCAAGTCCGTACCTCGAAGAAAATCTTGTTTAGCTCCATCAAAGCAATCGGCTTCCCCAAACAACTCCATCTCCCAAGCCCAAAGGTCAATTCAACATCTCGCTTTAGCTTAGCACTTGTTTTATCATCAACCTCCGTGAATCTCTCTGGTCTGAAGATGTGGGCATCCTTGCCAAACAAGGTCTCTGAGCGGAGGAGTCCTGAGAAATTCATTCCTATGTTGGTGCCTGCAGGGAGAAACGTTCCGTTATGGAATTCACCGCCTGTTGGAACCTCCTTGAAACTCATGTTCGTCGAGATAGAGCGGATTCGAAGACATTCATATACAACAGCCTGTTGATATCTTTAGTTATGCTTCAACTGATAATTAATATCACTAACCTGTATATATGGTAGAAACAGCGATTCTGCGTTGCTGACTGGTCTCGAAGCCCATCCTTCACGAATGGCGTTTGCGATTTCGTGCTTCAACGCCGTATAGACGTGGGGTGTGGCAAGGATGTGAAGCATCCCTGCTCTGAGAACAGATGCCGTGGTATCTGAACCTGCGACGAACATGAATATTGACTCGATCTCGCATTCGTCTTTGTTCAGCCCGTGCTTCTTGAATGAACTCTTGAGGGAGTATTAGTAGAGCTCTGAAAGCCCCAAATTGGTAGATAAAGGAGACTCACAAGCATATCCCGCTTGACTTGACCGTCGCCATGGTAAAACTCCTCAACTACCTTATTGGTAAGGCCCATCAGCTTCCCTATACCTTTTTTGTCTTTAATGCTCGGACCAAACAGCCAGAGGAAGAGAGGAGAGAAGACTATATTCCGAAGCCACGGAACGTCTGTTGTTAACGAAATAACAGGCAGATAATCGTTCAACGTGTCGAAGAAACAGTGCATGTCCTCGTCTTTATTCAAACAGCCAAATTCTTGGCCTAGCGCAAGGCGAGAGATGACGTCTAAAGTAAAGAGGCCTGCGGTCTTGGACCATACAAGCGGACGGAACTCTTTGGGTTTAGATATATATTTATCCTGTATCAGATGGATAAGATTCATAATCTGCTCATCAATAGCAACTTCCGGGCCCATTGTTTCTTTTCCACTGTAACCATAGATAAGCTTTGCCTTCATTTTGTCATGGGCTATCGGGTCCCTCATCATGAAAAGGGACTCATGCCAGGGGTTCAATCGGGAACCGCTGTACGAAGCTCCTTTAGCATATGAGCTTTTTGTGCCGTTGATTCTGCGTAATAGCTCCAGATCATCTGTAAAAACCTCGTAGGGACCGACCCTGACTATAGGGCCATATTTCTTATTGAGCTCAAGATGAGCCTGGTATTGTTTGCCACTGAGCGCTAATCGGGCAAGCCAAAGATATGAAAACTTGGCTAAGAATGGCCCGGGTATATGACGTAGACGATACCATGCTACAATGGAAGAGGCGATGTACCAAGCAATGATGACCAGAGCGGCAGCCCACCAATTGTTGGATGTCAAGTGCTCAAGAAGCATATTGATGTTGTATTCGGTTTGATAAGGAACAGAGGAGATTGAACAACGTGGAGAATTGGTAGGGCTGGAATTATATGCCCAGAGGCATGGTTTAAATCCCTCTCGGTGGCGGCGATAATCCCAGTTTCGGCGGCCGGTAGTATGCAAGCTGACCTTGGCTTTGATGCGGCAGTGATATATTACTGGAGTGTTTCAGAATGTTATGGGTCGTTGTGACTGTTCTGGTCTACCTGCATATCTAGCGCTGTGGCAACGAGATATTTCCTTAAACTCGCTCCGTTATCTACCCCTCCCGAGTGAGGCCATCCATACTGAATCGGGAAATTGTATCAGGCAGTTCAAGCTGAGTAGTCATCATCAAGGCAAGCTCCATGTTTTGTTTCAAATTTTATTTAACACGAATATCCGAAATACGCGTCCTACTCATCTCGCAGGGCAGCCGAGATTGCCTTCATGCCTCCTTCAAGCTCCTCCCGAGTAGGCCATCCATAGCCAAGCCTAAAAAAGCAATCAGACATTTCAAACCAATGACCAGGTCCAACATATGTCGCATGCTTATTAAGGAGCCTCTCGTAGAATGCCGAAAATCCCCCCTTAGGTTCCTTCTTAATACGAGGAAAGCAGACGACGCCACCAGTCGGCTTGACCCATTCCAACAGTTCCTCGCCTTCAATCCAAGACTCTACCATCTGAAGTCGAACCCTCATCTCATTCGTTGTGTGGCTCAAAATCTTCTCACGCCGGGATAAGACATCGATTGCGATCCACTCGTTGATGACGCTGCCACTAATACTGATCTGTTCCTTTGCAGCAACGAACGTTTCCTGGAGGATCTTGTTTGTGGTGATGAGCCAGCCAATGCGGACTCCAGGCATGCCGAAGGACTTTGAGAGTGAGCAGACGCTCAGAACATGATCGCCTAGAGAGGCGGCGACAGGGAGCTTCTCGGCAAAAGCAATGTCCCGATAGGTCTCATCGACAAGTAGCAGAACACCCTTTTTCTTTGTTATAGCAACAAGTCTATCGAGTGCCTCCCGAGACAGTGTGGAGCCGGTAGGGTTATGTGGGCATGTCACCGAGACCAGCCGAGTGTTGGACTTGATAGCAGCCTCGACGTGGTCGATGTTGGGCTGGAAGCCATTCTCAAAAGTTACATCGATGTATGAAATCTCGCATCCAACAGCCTTGGGAGTTTCCAGGTTGGTTGCGTAGTTGGGACGCACCACGACAAGATGATTACGCTCTGAGTCGGGGGTGCTACCTAATTGAGAAGTCGTGATTATGAACAGCGCGCCAGCAGCCCCAGAGGTAATGAGAACGTCGTCTGCACTCACGCCAGCGTCGTCTGCGATGAGCTTTCGCAGTTTGATCTCGCCGCGATGTTCATTGTACAGGAGAGTAAGATTCGGGATCTTGATGTCCAGTGACTTCAGGGTCTGGTCGGTAATGGAGCTTTCGGAGAGATTGTACTTGATCTTGTCGTAGCCGTACTCCTCGGGCGACTCGATCTCGATGGGCATGCGCTCGAACTTCATGTTTGTATTGTTCTTGAGGTGATGCAGGATAGCTGATTTGTGTTGAAAGGTTGAGTAACAGATCGCTTGAACTACCTGATGGTTGTAAAAGATGGAGGACAGATTGTTGGCGAGGGCTGATAGCCTTAGGATATATATAAGAGTTTATGTCAATTTATCAAAGATGAAGTGTAATAACACTGGGAGATTCATGACCATGGGCTGGCCAGCAAGTATTCCCAAGCTTTGTGAAGCTACTGGCGCTTCGACTTGCCTTCCCAGGACGGCTGCTATTGAGCCGACTGTATCCGCGCAAGGGATCTCCCGTGGACTTGGTGTCAGTGGGGCTTGTTAAACTCCCAGTCTGCTTTCCACGATAACAAAATTTCGGGAGTAATGATTACCCATGCTTCTTATACAGATTTGGGAAGACTCATCTTGACAATAGAGCTCTCACCAAAGAGGTCCTCACTCCGTGTATTTCATATGGCACGCTCACAGTCACATGCCTACTTATGAAAGGACTCCAAATCAAATTTGTCATTGAAGCGTCTTTGCTTCCAAGGGAAGGCCCTAGGTAAGCAACACATTGCCTCCTGTTTGGAACACCAATTCCAGCCCATCATCATTACGAATAGGCGGGGCGGCCCAACGGCTCTTCAGGAGTTTAATGACAGTACCACTATTTCCAAACCCTCCACTCTCTTCCCGAATTCTACATAGAAGTGACTCGAAAAAATCCTGCAGGTTAGCCTCGGCCATGCATCCAATAATGTAAAGTGGCCAGACAAGTCCCCGGAGAGGAACGGATTGGGGCCAGTTCCTCAGCACGTCGACTGACGCTAAAACCGCGTCCTTGACTTCGGGAAGAGATGCCCAGGGACCCGAGACTATTGTGCTCGACAAAACTAATGATGCAAGTGCGAAAATATGCGAGACGTAGGGAGCCGGTGAAACATTGCCTCGAATATCGCCTCCTGCCTATTCATTTTGACTTGTTAGTTATGCAGCCTGATGATCCTATCAAGACTCACCTTTGCAGCTCGTTTCAGTTCGGCGATGCCGTCTTGTAGTTCCTTCTCTATTTTTTGACCCCTCCTCACTAAGTCCGGCACGCTCAAGGTCCCTTTCTGCTTCATATCCTTTTTCCAGGCATTGAGATGTGCCAAATCTCCAATTGCAATCATGACCCAGTTGTAACAGCCCATCAGGTCAACCATTACGATACTTGAGCCTTCTAGCCATTGCCGATAAGGGATTCGTGGGACACGCCCCGTTGTTGCACACGCCAATATGTCATGCCATAACGCTTCAGCCACGAGAAAGTTGAAATCTGCTTGCAATTCAGGATCATCATCAACCGAGGTATTGATCGGAGAAGGCAAATCATTTTCTGGTAAAGATGAAGGCCGAAGCAAGGCGCCCGGTGAATGCATAGCGAGGACAGCCGTGACGGCGTCGAGATGCGGAACCCAATCGTACTCAGCTCCATTGAACACCTATCAGATACGAGAATGAGTTATGCAGCAAGATGAAATTAATTAAATGACCTACCTCGAAGCTAATCAATGTCAAACTCGCTGCTATAAACTCCGCAAGCTTAGCCGGATCGTTAAGAAGTGTCTCGGTCTCAGTATGTTGCGAGAGATTACGCAGCTCTCTCAGGGCCTTTGAATGAAACTCAAATGCTTCCTGGTTATAAGAGCACCTCTTCTGTGAAGCATCTCGATGCAAGGTGGACAGTGCAAGCGCAGCGTGCGACAGCGAGCCGCCGTTGCTGAGACATGTGAGAAGCCAGCCTCTGTTGCCCAAGCAAGACCGGAGCTGGTAGTAGGGGAACTGCCATATAAACACATGGTCGAGATAGTACATGATTAGAGATGCCAACCTGGGTGAAAAGACGCAAGGCGGATGGGGTTCCTGTGGTGCCAAGGATGGTTGTGTCACTTCTGACTCCTGAATTGGGTTTCGCGTTGGTGGAAGGTCACTCCCGGCTTCGACAAGCGTTTCTGGGGATTCAAAGTTATCATATCCATGATGTAAAGCTCGCTCTGGTACCGACGGACTTGAAAGTTCAGTCGCACATGGAGCTGGCGGTGTCTGGACCAGGGTCCGTCGCTCAGGCGATGATCGGACTGTTGCACCTCGTCTAAGGCTATCGTTCCTATGACCCCTCCGGAGCTTCTTAAGATACAGTTTGACAGCTTTTTTTGTTCGCTCAAGCTCTTGTTGCTCGGCAGCTGATCCGTCCATCCAGGCAGGCTTGTGGCCGTAGCCATGGCACGGAAGGCGTCGATCAGTGCACTCCCTACACACAGGGATTCGGAGGTCGCATTTCCGATGTCTGAGTTTGCATGTCCAGCATCCACTGGGGGATGATCTCATGATTGCTGATAGAGAGGGAGAAAAACGATGTACTTGGAGCAACTCGGAGTTTGTGGAGCTTTTTGGAGGTCATGCCTCTCCACTATCTTTTTAGCAGACAAATCACAGCATGTTCCGGGCTCGAGACTCGGAGGCGCTTCGACCTGCCCTCCTAGGAAACTCTTTCTAAGCCTAGCGTGGCCAGGTTAAGTGCATGGCTTGGAGCAGCAGCCAAATCTAGAATCTGTCAGTCAACAGAATTGCAAGCACGATTTAGCCCAGCCGATGCAAGCTTTTGACCCATTCCAGCCCGTGGCTTTCTCAAGATTCTGCTTAGATACAGTGAGCCATGTCATGTCGAGTCCAAAGTTAAAAAGCAAGCTCACATAATCACAACATCAACTGGATGGTTTGTTATACAAATACATTATTTACTGGCTAGCTATAGATTGCGTGATATTCTGGGTCCCGTAAATCGTTGTAGTTCAAGGATGAGCTATAATTTGGAGAGGTGCTACAATTTCCAAATCCCCCTTCTTGAACCCAAGACGCAAGCACACATCATAAGTCCTAGAAACGAGACAGGAATGAAACGTCGGCAAAAAGGTCTTGTTACCGACCGAGACAGACAATGGTAGCTGCAGCGTAGAACTGTAAAACTCCACAGACGACCTCCCTGGAGTTTTGTCCTCTAGTGCATGATTACCATGTCGTGCCCATGATATTTGTGGACAGTCGACGGCCAACGCAATGGTCGCAACGAATGGTTGCTTGAGGCTGGGCTTTTCATCCTGATCGGGGAATGCTTGGTATGGGTCGGCTTGATGCCAAGTGTAGGATCGGAGGGAAAGAGATGTGCTGTCCAGTTTCGGGGGCGTGATCCCATCCATGCCAGGATTAAAAGTCAATGTGACATCAATGACCGTGGGTGCAATGACGGTCCCATACGCTTGGAGATGAAGTGGTTCAGGCTGCATCGCCGCGGCGCTGATGGTTCCAAACGGACGCTTGAGCGAATTACCCCGAAGAGATTTCGTGCCTCGCAGCTTATATCGCGGGCTTGTCAGCGATACAAGGAGAGGCGGGCTCTCGCTTAATCTTGGAATGAAGCGTATGGTTCTCTTGGCTGTAAAGACTTGACTGTTACCCGTATTCAGGGACGAGTTCGATGTAACGCAGGCATTGATTCCATATTCAACCTTGACGACCCCAGGACTCATGTCATCTCGATCCCAATCTATTCCTACTGCTGGAGGGAGCAATAAATGCGTGTCCGTGACAGTCGTTGATATAGCATCGTGTGAGCACGCCGTCGAGTCCAGTTGATCGGGTAAAGTGAACTGAAAAGGTATTTCATACGAGCCATTTTTCTTGAGCGTTGTTCCGACCAAGTCAAGAATATCGGAGGAAATCAAGTCCATCTTCAGAAAGCGGTGTGTCGTCGTAGTTGTCAACTTTTGTCCGACTGTGCGAATAGTCGTGACGCCATCAAGGGAGATGGTGATGGAGGAAGCGCAGATATCAGCAGTCGGTGAAATAGCTAGATAACCTTGCACAACAGATCCAGAAGAGTAGATTTTGGCAAGATAATAATCCGCGAGTTTTATCTCGAGCTTGCAGGATCTCCACCATTTGAGGACTTTTGACGCTGCCTTGGAAATGCCCAGCTCTTCCATTTGGTGGCTCTGCCGAAGAGACATCATTGAGGATTGGGTCTGTATCGATAATGGACTCTTGATATAAGTGATTGATCGATTTCCTTTACGAGTGGAGGGCTTTTCTGTAATAAGGTAGATAGGCTAAAAGAGACTCCAGCCCCGAAGCACAAAAGCAAAAAAGACCAATGAACACACACGGGGAGGGCTTCTCTATAAGTATAGAAACTATTTCTCCGATGCTTCTCCTTGCGATTTAACTTTACATAATAATTTTACTAAACCAATAAGTGCCCTGGTAATGCTGACTTGCTACTGACGCGCCTAAATAACTCGCGAATTATTGAGATTAGCAATAAGAGAGCGGTATCCTCCACTACACAGATATATACAGATTCTACATTTAAGAGGCTTTAATAATACTATGTACAACAGCAGGTTTACACCAAGACCTTATCAATATAAGTTCCGAGCTCCTTCAAACCATCAACCAACACATCCGTCTCACAGACGTAGCCCATACGAACATAACCCTTAAAGTCTGTATCACCTCCAAAACAGCGAGATCCCGCAACAAAGAGGAGCTCAGCCTTCTCCAACAAATCAAGACAAAGCTTGACATCATCCACAGGATCCCCATTCTTGTCATTAAAGCGGATGAATGCCGTCGTGCCGGCCTTGGGCTCTACCCATGAACAAACAGACTTGTACCGTTCCATGAATTCCTTGAGGATGGCTGCATTTGTCCTGGCGAGGCCGATATTCCGCTGTACCAAGGCGGGCTTGACCTCGGGTGACAGGGCAAACCTGGCAATTTGATCGTCGATCTGGGAGACGCTGATGGTGGTGTAGTCGCGTGCGAGCATGATGGCGGAGATGATGGATTGGTCTCGGCTGGCGATCCATCCAACGCGGATGCCTGCTAGGGCATAGCCCTTGGACATTGATCCTGTTGCAATGGTCTTGTGGTACCCTAGTGTCGTCACTGGCTTGGGCACTTCAGTGTGATCGCCGCCAGATGCACCGCCGTGGAAGAGCGGTCGGTACACCTCGTCAGAGAAGAGGATGATACCTTTATCCTCTGCAATCTTGGCGATCCGGTCGATGACACTGCTTGGGATTGGTGCGCCAGTTGGGTTGTTGGGATTGTTAATGATGATCATCTAACCATGTCAGTATCTAGGGTCGAACGTAAAAACAGTGGGCAGTCAACCGTACCTTTGTGTTTGGCTTGATCAAACCAGCTAGTTCATCCACATCAGGCACAAAGCCATTCTCCTTCTTCAGCTTCCAAAGAGTCACTTCTGCCCCGAGACTGCGTGGAGTGTCATAGAGCTGCTGATACGTCGGATAGACACAGATGACATGGTCACCAGGACCTATCAGCGTATACAGGGCCAAGAAATTAGCACCTATAGCGCCCTGAGTGACGATGACATCCTCGGGCGCCAACTGCACGCCCTCGGTGCTGCAGTGGGCAGCGATACGCTCGCGAAGGGTCTGAGATCCTGGGATCGCGCCATACGTGAGCTTGATGCTCGTGTCGATGGGGCTCTTGGCGGGGCCGCTGGACATGGCGACCAAGTCGTCGATGGAGACGGAGGCGGCGCATGTCTCGGCAACGTTGAGGACGCCTGGAGTGGTTTCATAGGCGTCCATCCATTGCTCCACGGCGAAGGGGGTGATGCGAACCATGATGAATGCTTAGATGACACGTGTATGGATGTTCTGGTGCGTGTTTACTTGTTTGGTCTGCTGGTCGAGTTGAAGGCTCTAGAAGGGATGTTTAAATATCCGATTCTATCGCTAGACTGGATAGTGGTCTACGCCCTTGATGTGATGGATGTCAAGATCGAGCAGGGTCCAGACGTTCGACGGATTGTCTATTGGTCAATGGCCACTAAGTCAGCCGGCGGCGTCTGTCGAGGCCCACTCGCGTCCTCGGCATGTGCCGGGATGATCTATAGACCCACGTCGATGATGCCAAAGACAGGTAGCGCCGCTTACTTTGCTTTCTTTGGCTTAGGCTAGTCCCCAGCTTTTGCATCTCGGAGTTTCTAAGCATCTCCACTCCAGGGTAGTGGAGCCAGCGAAGACGGACATGACTGATAATAGCTCCAGTTTGCAATTTCGCCGCGTAAAATACTGTAATCAGGCATGTATCCCATCCAAGATGTAAAAGCGGAGGTGCCACTGCGAATTATATAATCTCAATATCTTGTGAAATTTTGTGAATCTTAACTAAAAGAAAACCCAAGTTTGACGAGCCTGCTCTACCACTCAAGAACTCTTCCCAAGTTTTCCATTCATTCTGGCCTCCTACGCTTCATCATGCCCAACTTTCAACCAGTTTACACGGCTGACGCTTGTGCGCCTCTCCCTCAGTTCTCCCAAGCCGTCAAATACAATGGCATGGTCTACTGCAGCGGTTCTATCGGCATTGATCCCGCAACCGACGATCTGGTCCCCGGTTCTGTTACGGACCGAGCTCGCATGGCGCTCAAGAATCTCCAGGTCGTGCTCGAAGCTGCTGGCAGTAGTCTCGACCGAGTGGTGAAGGCCAATGTCTTCTTGGCTGACATGAAGGATTTCGGCGCCTTTAATGTCGCGTGGGATGAGTTCTTCCCCAATGAACCCAAGCCTGTCAGTGATATTTCGATCCAAAGCTGAGAGTTAACTGACATTCACGTCTACAGTGCCGAACGTGCGTCGCTGCCCACCAGCTACCTTTGGACACTGATGTTGAGATCGAGATGACAGCTAGCTATGAGTTATAGTAGTGTAGATAGTTCCGAATACATTGCCGAGGCTTCTCCTTCATCCACTAGCCCGGCTTCTCACACTATTTCTGAGGTGCGGAAGTCATCATGAATGGTGCATACCATTCCGATGACTCGTAAATGGCATTATACATTGCCTTCTGAGAAATCGTTCGAGCTACAAATGTCTTGATATTTATTCATCATTAGGCTCGCGATGGTCAAATGCAGAGGAGACGTGATCAGCTTTGAAATAATATACAATCTGCCTCAATTAAGAACACTAATAGTAGTGTTCATCCCCTTAATCTTCCTCTTCAAGCTCAGACTTCTTCACGGGCATGGGCTTTTGCCACCACCATAAACAAATTGGGCTCTCGTTCTCCGTGATGGCATAACTATGCATGGTAAACCCCTTCGCTTCTTTCAACATTCTTTCATGAGCCTCGGGTGTGACTGAAATTCCGATCACAAATACAGCTGTGATACCTGCAGAAACTTTGAGTCCAGCTACCTTTTCCTGGTCCTCTTGGAGTCCGGTAACAAGCTGTCCAGCTGAACTTTTCTTGGTCGTCTTGTCCTCCTTCTGTTGACCCGGGTTCTGGGTATCATTCACCATTCGAGGACCTCTCTCGCATTTCAGCTCAAACACCACACCGCCTGGCCCGGAGATTTCAAGATCGGCTTTGAGCGAGTCCTCTTCGAACAGGTGGGACTCTCGGCTGATGAGTATATTGGAGCCCTGGTCGTACTTGTAGGTATGGTCACGAGTTAGGACCCATGCCAGCTCGACTTGCGACCAGCCTTCCCATCCGCCGTTGGTTGAGCGGGCGTATTCGATCTCATCGCTTTTGGCAAGAATCCAGTTTGAGATGGAAGTGAGAATAGGGTTGGACTCTCTCAGCCCATCTTGCGTCGCACCGTTGCCTTCCATGGCTCTGGAAAGACAAGTTGTACCTGTAAAGGTCAGTAAAGGATAGAAGCAATATTTCTTTATGTGCATACGGAGTATAAGTGTGTTGGCCTTTTAGACCAGTGGCTAGAGATAAAAGCTGGTTCTTTTGTGGTGCTGTAGTATTATAAAAGAATATGGGTTGTAAAAGAACGAGAATGATGATTAAACTTAATGATTTTTGCCTGAGAACATGAATCCTAAGTGAGTATTACAGATTTATATGAAAACTTTACTCTTGAATACAATATTGCCTGACTAGGTACCGAAAACATATCCACAGCGGCAGGAATCCAGACCACTGCAGATAACAGCTGAATATCAGCCCAGTTGTTTCAGTTCAACATTCCCGAGAACTTGATCTGTCCAGTAAACCGCACACAAAGAAATCAGTTGACTTTCTCCAAGGGGGCCATGTCCGATAACAGGCAATAGCTTCAGTTGTGGCTACCCTGCGGCACGTGGGGACGGCCCGGGCGGGACAGCCCATTCAGGTCCAGACCAAGAATGGCTGGCTGGGGCTACTTTTGGGTTTAGCATAATCGATAGTGTCTCAACATCCAGGGTCAATATTGATCAGCCTGGCTGGTTGATGTCTCTGATAATATCAGCTCATGGACCAGGACTGATCAGACATGAACACATTCTTCGCCGTATTACTCGCTAATATACGGAAAAGTATTCGGTAGCATTGGACTAACGAAGCCTTGTTCGATATCTCCGTTGACTACTGCCAATAGTCCATTTTTGCGTCCATTCCACTGTCAGACTGTACTCTAGCGTCTCAGGTAATGTTTAATGAGAAAGTCCCATGTTCACTGCTGAAGCGACATCATTGGATGACGGATCAAGACACTTCCTATACGGCAGCTCACTGTCTGAACGGCGAGTCAGCCGCTCGAACCTCGGTTGGCTATCCTACATCCTAATTTGAAACCCGTATCCTTCATCTCATTGGGTATATAATCACTGTAGTTGCATCTGTCCAATTTAGTATCATTCTGTTCACTCAAGTTACGAATTATCATCATTCTAAATATCATATACCAGTGTCAAGATGTCTGCTGCCCAAAAAGAAGAAGCAAAGCTTCATGGCGAGGCAATGTCCTCGATCTCTAGCGTGAGCACTCTTTTGCGGCAGGCCATTGAGGCTGCTATGCCGGTCGCACCAGAACAGTACATGACCATTGCCGTTCCCGGTACCGTTATCGACCTTGAAGACTACGAGAACGGAGGAGAGTTTGTCTATGACCTTTCCAAGCATGCCTTGCCACCAACAAGCGTTCGCCAGGCTGAGGGTCGCTTGGTGGATAGTATGATGCCTATTGCCAATATCATGGTGAGTCTTTGTTCGTCGCATATCCCAGCATTGTTGATCGCTAATCTTTTAGATTGGCAACACTGGCAAAAGCGTTGCCCGGAGCTACTCTCGAGCCTTGGATGCCCTACTGCCTGCCAAGGCAACAATCTCCAGCGGCAACGGCGCACGAAGTCCCGGGGAAAGCCACTATGATGCTGCCATGAAGTTTTTAAGACAGAGAGACTCGACTGGCAAGACTGCGGTGGATCTCTATCGCGAGAAACAACAGGCTTGGTGTCAAGCTCAGGCAGCCTGGGATAAGGCCAAGATTCAAGCACAAGGTAAGGAGTTCTCGCATCATGACGACCATATCACGTAGCTGACGGAGGGCAACGCAGAGGATGCCGAGAAAAAGTACCCACCAACTGCAGGTGATGACTTTCTCGCAAAACAAAAGCAGTACATCGCCGACTGGACCCAGATGAACTACATGATGTTCAGAACCGAGACGCAAGGCGCTTGGATGGACTGGGTAGTCAACGGCCAGAAGTACAACGTCGACTTTAACTTTGGTGTTGTCGATGTTGATTCCATCATGAGCCAGATCGAAGACAGCAAGGAATCTCTCCGAAATTCGACCCTGCCTGACGAAACAGGTGCAAGCGATGTTTATGGAGTCAGCCTAACCCCAGCCCGTTGGGCAACCTACTGCAAGCGAAAGGCTGAGGGATGGTATGACCGCAACGGAACATACACGCTTGGCGAGCTGGATTCCGAGATTGCACGCCTCACCATCTTAGCATCCTCATACACCGCCGCCCAGGAACTCATCAAGGATCACAAGTATCCTGCAGATACTTCGACTACGCCTGCCGCTATAAAATCGCCTACAGTGGCGAAAGTGCCTGACGCGGATACAGCTTTGGCAGCCAGCTTGTCTACACTTTATACTGCCGAAGGCAACTCAGGCGGAGTTCAGCCACCACCTGCTCCGACAGGTCAAACGGAAGCAGATAACACCAGCACTGGACTCACGCCGGCTCAGAAAACATTAGCCGCTGCTAGGGCAGCTCTCTTCAAGTCGCAGCAGGCCCGCGACCAGTCTGCGGCTGAATGGGACAGCTATGATATGGCGACTATGCAAGGTGATGCTGCCACGCAGGTAGCGACTTGGATCACAGCGAAGCAAAATGTCATCACAAAACAACTAGCTGCACTTACAACCCTTCGTGCTACGAAGGCTGCGAGTTGTCCTCCCACCGTTTCTATCATAACAGGAGCAACGGCCCCAGACGCTAGTGATCCAACATCAGTAGGTTCAACAACTGTTGCGCCCCAAGGTTCAGAATATGCCAACCCGGTCTTTGGTATCAACCGCGACGGTACCTTGGATACAGATAAGCCAGCCACCTCCAACAGCAAGACACAGGGCGAGAATGATGCGACGGACTCTGATCCCTGGACTACAATCTCCTTCTCCTTCTCTGCAGCTGATCGAAACAAGGTGGCCAACTCTAAGAACAGTGGGTTCAGTACAGGCGGTTCATTCGGCTTTGCTCTCTGGGGTGCCGGTGGTTCCTACTCACACGACTCGGCACATTCAGAGATGCAGGACGATATGGCGTCCTGTGATGTAAGCGTGTCCTTCTCAGCCCTTGTTGTCGACATTGACCGTCCTTGGCTGCAGGCTGAGATCTTCAGCGACGCCGACCTCGATATAGCTGAGGATGTGCTCCTCAGTCCTGGTGCGTCTCGTCTCAAGGCGGCCATCGCAAAGCAGGAGACAAAGCTGAATCCTGAGTTTCCTGCATATCCAACTTCGTTCGTCCTCGCTGCAGACACAACCATTGACTTTTCTGGGTCGACCAGGCACATCCAGGAATACTTCAATTCCAAGGCGACGTCGAGCGATACATCTGTTGGTTGGGGGCCTTTCAGCACTCATGTCAGCTCTCACCACGCAAGCTCTCACAGGCACGTTCAATGCCAAACTACTGCGACTGGCTGTAAACTCTCTTTTGGTGCTCCTCAGATTATTGCTTGGGTCAGTGAAATTCTTCCTGAGCTGCCACGGGCCAAGTATTCAAACCCCCTCTGGCAGGGAGCAGGTGTTGCGATTTCGGCATAAGGCAAGGGTCTTTACATATAATCTTACACTCTAGGTCTATAAGTAATAGTAAAAATAGGCTTTAGTTTTAATCCTTAACTGATATTTGCAAATACCGTGCCAAACTTATGTTGTTATGTATCGGCTACCCTAAGATATAGACATTGAGATTGAGACACAGGTAGCTATCAAGGATAGCGTAGTCAGGTAGTGCCAAAGAGGTAGCTTAGCTTCCCAGCCATTTAAAATGATCCACCAGTGACGGCTCTTAATGAGAATGTCCTGAACCACAGCAGCTTCCACTCATTGCCTCCCTCGCCAACTTAGCACGACTCAAAGGTCGTGCAGCAGGAAGCAGATCTCTTCCCATCAAGTCTGGCAGTGGCTTTCGCGCATTCATCTTATGCGTAGAACGAGTCGCAATCTTGGCAGAGTAGATGCTGTTCAGCCAATGAGCCAGGCGGTAACCGCCCTTGGCAATCTGCAACTCAATGGTTGGGATGACAGAGTTGTAATATGTCGGGTAGAGATCGCCTGTCTGCAAGGCTGCAGCACCATTGGGCATGACAACGGTGCAGACATAAGCATTAGCATCTGAAGCCCAGGCTGTAGCTGATGCGATGGGATCAGTCACGTCGCTGTCTGCGATCCAAGAAGCAGCTTTGGACTTGTAAGAGCCAGACACGATATCAGAGATGAGTGTGTTGGCCCACGACTGCGCATCGGTCAGGGCGTGGCCACCAATCAGCTTCTCGGGCATGTAGGTGTCCCAGTCTGAATGTAGATTATCACCAGAGTACCCGTTAAAGGTGACCTTGATATCGTTTCCGCCAACTTCGTAGGCCTCATCGTGCAGTGGCTGGGTGATATCACCCAAAAAGTGGACGAGGAACTTGAGAGCCTCAGCCTTGTTTGCTTTTGTCAGACGACTATCTCCTACACGTTGAGTGTAGTTGGCAACAGCGGAGATGGAGCATCCAGAACTTCCGCAGTCACGGTCATAGTCAACGTTGCAGTTTGTTGGTGGGCTATCCTCTGCATCAATAAAGTGTAGAGGGGCAGACCATTTCCCAGCTGCCGTTGTGCGGTAGGTATCAGCCCATGAGGCGATGCTGGCAAGATATGAGTCTGAGGTGTCTCCCAGAACACCCTGTGCCCTATTTTGATATCAGTACATGTGAACTAGATAGCGCAGTAGTAAACGCTCACCAGGTGGCAACCTCATCGTCGAGGAAGTGCTGGGCAATGTAGGCAACAGTAGCATGACCTAGAACACCCCAACCATGAACAGCGCGGATGGCTCCGGAGGCCAACAGAAGAGATTTGAGCATCATGTTTAGATCAGACGAGATTTGAACAGATCCTATCACTATAATTGTGAAAGACTTGGACTGTCGCTATATACATAATCCGCAATTGTATAGTCGGCAATATTGCTTAGTTGAGCCACCGACATATGGGATCAATTGACTTAATCTGGTCTTACAGCCGAATTGTTTGACGTGACAGACAAAGGTCCTTTGATAAATGCTGTTAAGCGCTACTGCTCGGCACATAATTGCCGGCACGTTTTGCAGATAGCCCATTGATAGGTAAATACCAGAAGGTCTGAAACACCTAGTTAGGGAGGTAGGTATCTGATTTGAAGATCACAAGTTGAGTGACATTATTTACCTGCCCAAAGAAGTATAATTCACCTCTAAATTATAGTGCGGAGTGCTCCGTACTCCGCAAGTTCAGTGCAATAAGAAAGGGTCTTTATCTTATCTTCTGATAGTTATCTACAAACTTGACTGGCCGGCTAATCGGCATGTCGATAGCAGGGATAATCGCAAGTAGTTGCAGATCTCTTTTCATTATCGCAAAGTCATTGGATATCGATCTCAGAAGCCGAGGCCATAGTGCCCAATCCCAGAGCAGGAATCAACAAGCTATTCCGCCCATAAAACAGTGCATTGAATTTCCACGTTCAACCTCTCATTCGGCAAAGCCGCAACCTGTATACAGGTCCTCGCAGGCGCCTTGGTCTTGTCCGGCCATACCTTATTCCACTCCTTGTTCATGCCAGCATAATCTTTCATGTCGGTCAAGAAAACAGTAGCGTTGACCACATTCTGCAGTCCACATGCGCCGTTTGTTGCACCGTCAATAATGGCTCCGATGTTCTGCAGCACTGCTTCTGTCTGCAGGGAAATGTCAAGGTGGTGCGTTCCGTCGGCGTCTGTAGTGCAGCCGACGACTGTGTTATCGCCGCGACGCGATGAGGTACCAGAAACGAAAATGGTCTTGGCTGATTGCTGTATTATTCGAGCGTGGGGATAGTTGGCGAGCGATTGAGCCCTTTCAGCGGGGAGAAAGAAAGGTTCGCCGTTCCGTGATGCCATCTTGAATGCCTTTGTTGGTCGATACAAAACTATGTCAGAGATTCAATCACTGATATGCACTCTGAGGAAGTAGAGGTTTGATAAGAAACAGGAGCGCGAGAATTATTGTTCATTGTAGCCAGTCAAAACTCCGCGGGGCTGCCAGGCAATGTACTTTAGTGGTGGCTACCCGCTTGCCGACGCTATTTTGACTGACCCGGGATTCGGGCCGCGACCTTCTTCCGTGACCATGACATCGATCGTCGGCGGTTGAACCGGTGTCGATACCGGTTTTCACTATCTTGAATATGATAATTTTCGATCTGTGATTAAATATACTGCAACACTTTTTACCCGTACCTGGCCAACCAACAAGCAGAGCAAGCACAGAACCAACCGCACAAATGCCAGACTCTCCCATTGAAACTGCCTGGCGATTCCAGACCTTGGAGTCTGCCGAGCGCTTCATCTCCTCAGACAGCGTGTCAGCGCAACTTTGTCTACAGAACTATGTCTCTAATGAATTCGATACATCTTTCGCAGCGAATTACGTTGATTCCATAAATCCCAAGACCGGCAAATCTTTTGCCAGGGTCCCGATCAGCAGCACTGCTCAGGTTGACCACGCGCTGCAGGCCGCTACTGATGCGTTCAAGACATGGTCCAAAACGACAGAAGCCTTCAGGTCCAGCCTGCTTGAGCGCGTGGCATGCTTGATAGAAGAGAATAAGGAACTACTTGCTGTTTGGGAGAGCATAGATCAGGGCAAAACTCTGGCCAGGGCGAGAGTCGAAGTAGATCGGGCTGCGACAAATTTCAGGTAGATAAATACCCACGGAACACTGAAAAATAGATCTCACTAACTCGGGTATTGTTTAGATATTTCTCGACTTTTATTCTGCATCAAGAGAACGCCGTGAGGATGATTGATGGAGTCGCTCTCACCTACGAGCACCGCTCACCGACTGGCGTGTTTGCGCTCATCTCTCCATGGAACATGCCCTTGTACTTGCTGACCTGGAAGATTGCACCTTGTCTGGCCTTTGGCTGCACAGCAGTCGCCAAGCCTTCAGAGTTCACCTCCATGTCTGCATTTCTACTCTGCGAGATATTTCGGCTCGCGGAGATTCCACCTGGTGTTATCAACATAGTCTTCGGCGATGGGGCTACTACAGGCTCGCGACTTGTACAGAGCCCGCTTGTCAAGGGCGTCTCTTTCACTGGAAGTACGGCAACGGGGATCAAGATCCGTAGAGATACGGCGGACCAGATCTACAAGCACATTTCCCTTGAGCTGGGTGGGAAGAACCCAACCTTGGTCTTTGATGACGTGGATCTCGACAAGGCAGTCCAAACAGCCGCAACAGCTGCATTTGAGAATCAAGGAGAGGTAAGACCTTTCAATGTATGTCTGCTTGGGATTCTCATTACTAACCTCATCAGATTTGCTTATGCGGCTCTCGCATCTACGTCCAATCCCGTATTTACGATTCCTTCGTCGCTTCACTCAAAGCATATGTCGAGGCAAATTACAAATGTGGCGATCGCACTGGCGCTGTAGCCTCATTACAGCATTATAACAAGATCGTATCGTATCTCGCACTAGCAAAAGAGGAAAATGCAACTTTTATCACGGGATCTGTGCCGCCACTCGAGCCCAGCAGCGGCTACTGGGTAGAGCCAGTAGTCTTAACCGACGTCAGTACATCATCGCGAATCATGCAAGAGGAAATATTCGGCCCCGTCGTCACTATCTCCAGGTTCGAAACCGAAGAAGAGTGTGTCCAGCTGGCGAATGATAGTGCGTATGGACTCGCTGCCGTTCTCTTGACCAAGGATGGTTCACGGATGAGACGTGTCGGCGAGCAGCTTGATGCGGGACTTGTTTGGGTCAATTGCTGGTTGGTCAGGGAGCTCAGTACACCTTTTGGTGGGATGAAGAACTCCGGTACGGGGCGAGAGGGAGGAAACTACAGTCGAGATGTTTTTACTGTCGTGAGGACTCTCCACCTACCAATGTAGGGCCTGTCCCAGTTAATGGGCTACTTTAGATCTGGTATGTCATTATCAGAGAAAGTGATATCTTCATGGTAGATGATGAGTCTGCGATTATCCCGGTTGTATAACTTGCCATGATAATCAAGTTCGGGAGGAATGACTGCATTCCTTCGCCTAGCCCATACTTCCAATCCTTTATCGCGCACTTCAAACACCCATCTTCATGGCAACGGGAGGGCTAACTAACAGCTTGGTCTGTTTACGCTCGTATTGTGCAAAGGAATGATTCAGACAGAGCAACTGATTATGTGTCAACCCCAGGAAATACGCATATTCTATTACCGTATATAATAAATATGAAATACGGCAATTGAATAGAATTTCTATTGAATCGGAGATTTCCTAGAGTATAGGTAATGTGACTTCGGCAATCGGCCCGCTTCGTTGGGGGGAATCGGATAAGGATAAACTCTATTAGCTCGGCATTGATGATCCTTCGTAACAGACCTATATAACTACTTGAAGAAGCTCTAAATCCTCCGTTAGCAGACATCTACCGATGTAATCTCGCGAGAGTGATTGGCCATGTTCGGAGTTTACGTTGCAGTCGGCCGGAATGTATCCAGCGTGCATTGGCTGGCGTAGGAGTTAGATCATGGTTCCATCCCAACCTATACATCCGCGGGCCGCCCGTCGGATAATGAACCGTCTAGTCTCTGCGGTGAATAGCCACGCAGTCAGTAGTTAAGCCTTTCCGAAATGATATAACATATCAAAAATGCCAAATATGCATGTCCAAAGAGATATCGGGGCAGTACACCAGACTTGGCTACCACTTCAAGATCATTTTCACACCTTTTCACAATGGCGATTGACCCACTGACAATGACCACGCATTGCAAGGGGTGCCTCAATGGCATCAAACCTGAAGGCAAGCACTCATCTGGGACGACCGACAGTAAATTCTATCGCATTGACCTACATACCCATGTTATGCCACGGACCTTGCCACAGCTATCTGATTCTGAACAAAATGGCACACAATCCAACTCATGGATTGAACTGAGGCCATCACGGGTGGATGGAGAATCAGTTGATATCTATGTCGATTCCAAGCATTTCCGAACCGTTCAAGACAACTGTTTTGATCCGAAAGTACGCCTGAGGGATATGGACCAGTCTGGTGTCCACGTCCAGGTATTAAGCACAGTTCCGATCTTATTTTTCTACGACAAGCCAGGGAAATTGGTTGCCCAACTAGCCCGGGCACTCAATGATCACCTGTCGCAGGTGTGCACAGAATACCCGACCAGATTTGTTGGTCTAGCGACGGTTCCGCTCCAGGACGTGCAAGCATCTGTTGAAGAGCTCAAGAGAGCAAAATATACCCTCGGACTCAAGGGCGTCGAGATTGGAACTATGATTGGTGACATGAATCTCGACGACTCTAGGCTAGAACCATTTTGGGCTGCCTGCCAAGAGTTGGATATGCCTGTCTTTGTTCATCCGCTGGGCTACTCTCTGCTCAAAGAGAATGAACATCGATGGGGTCAGTATTGGTCTTCGTGGCTAATCGGAATGTATGTCATTATCCTTTCAATGGGTGTGTATTCCAAGCAAAGGCTAACTGATTTATTACTAGGCCCTGTGAGACCGCCCTATCAATGCTGGCCTTGACATCTTCCGGTCTCCTCCTACGATACCCACGATTGCGCTTCTGCTTTGCTCACGCGGGAGGTACGTTTCCAACCCTGATGGGAAGAATTGAACACGGATACAATTGCAGGCCAGACTTGGTCGCTTCAAGAGCGGGTGGCCGAAGTCCTTCAGATCACCTTAGCTCAGGTGACAATCTCTGGATAGACAGCCTGGTCCATGACCCAGATCTCCTTGCATATCTCTGCAAGAAGATAAGAGTGGATCGCATTCTCATGGGAAGCGACTATCCTTTCCCACTTGGCGAAGTCCCTGAAGCAGGCAAGATGTTGACTTCTGACGGATCACTCTCTGAGTTTCTGTCAACGGAGCAACGTGCAATGATCCTAGCTGGAAATGCCATTGACTTTCTGAAGTTGGATGCACGATTCCAGAATGCCTATAAAGATAGCTTGAGAGACCTCTTAAACAGAGACTGTAATAGTATAGCTAATTAACTTATATATCAAGTTTAAATTTTACAACATATTCTAGAGTTTTAAAATACCTTTAGCTTTAAGTATCTCCCCTAACACGTGGAGCTTCACTGGTTTCGAAAGAAACATATTAAATCCACTTCCGCGTGCCTCTTTTTGTGCCTCTTCTGTAGCTAGGCCAGATATTGCAAACATCAAAACACCCTCTTTAATTCCCTGACGGCTCTCAAAAGCCCTGATTAATCTCGCCGCCTCAAACCCGTTCATTACTGGCATTGAGATGTCTGACAGAATACAGTCAAAGTCTCCTGGTGACTGTGTGTATTTCTCCACTGCCTCCTTTCCATTGATGGCTTTTTCGTATCTGATCTTGAGTTTTTTCAGGTATGCGGCGAGGATCTTCAGGTTTATGTGATTATCTTCGACTAACAGTATTTTCGGGGTGTCATCAGGAGCGATCGGCTCTTGTTCTGTCGACGCTTCCACGGCCGTACTACTAGCAGCGCCTTCATTTGCAACCGTACCGCTAAGAGGCTCTGGGATTGGTACTGCACGACTGGTGTCGTCCGGGTTTGCTTGTCGAGGAAACGAATAGCTCGCATTTCGACCGGGCGCCGGGCGCTGAGTCATCATTGGCGTGCTACTGCCGGGGACGGGCGGAGTGGCGTGAGGCTCCTCATCCGATGTCCAACGACTGTAGGCGAGTGACAAGGTCTTTGCAAGTTTTCTTGGACCGAGCCTACGTGTTATGATTGTTAGTTTTGAACAGTGCATACATGCCGAGCCAATGATCAACTTACGGCTGCGATACAAACTCGAAAACACCTTTCCAGCCGGCCGCATGCGAATCCATCATTCTTTCGTAGGCGGCGAGGGCATCCTGGCATATAACCACATTTGGAATCAGAGCAAGGGAATCCGTGTACTGTGTTATAGCCGGCAAAGCATCCTGGGTCCAGAGTATGAGATCTGGGTTCCTCGAGTTGTCATCTTCCGCTATAAGCTCAAGCTTCAGCCATTCTCTGCAGGTATGATCCAAAGTATCTCGCAGGGCAGAGCTGTGATTGGGGCTAGATACGATTCGCACACAAAGTCCTGCCAGATCCTGGACTTGATCCTTGAACCTGGTTTGAGCCCCCGAGAAATCAGATGGAACTCTGGGCGATTTGGGTCTCTCGAGGGGAAGCAGAACAGTAACTGTTGTACCGACACCAACTTGGCTTTCAATCGCTATCTGGCCTCGGAATTGCTTGACAATTTGTTTGACAAGGCTCAGCCCAATGCCGGTCCCTGGGGACAGATCATTCTCTTGACTGAAGGGCTTGAAAATTCGCCTCTGGAGATAGTCTTGGCCAATACCTTTGCCTGTATCTTTGACCATGAAACAAACAACCTGTTCCGGCCTGCGACGCCTGACAGTAGAGACCTGCTGAGTGAGCGAGATGGTGATAGTCCCCTCAGGTGTATACTTCAACGCGTTGCCAACAATGTTCATGACAATGCGACGGATAGCTCCCACATGGAAACGGAATAGCCAGTCACACCCCGAGTCGAGGGAGAGGATAACGGTGATCTTTCCAAAACTAAAAGTCGTCCCAGTTGGCCGAGTGGCTCCAGAGCTGAGCTGGTCCATAGCTTCAAGATAGTCTGACGCCGTATTGGCCGCATTGTCTGCATGGTGTGAGGTGCTGCCTCGGGGCGGCAGTTGCTGTTGATGAGAAACATGCTGACTGATGGATTTGTGTTGGAAATTGAACCCAGCAAAGACACTCTCAACCACATCTTCTACCAGATCGTCGACTAAATAATCGCTCACAAGAACCTTTTTGCCCAGATGCTCTGAGCCGGGAATATTGAAATGGCTCGTTGGCTGACCACCCGTAACTTTGTCGTTTGAATCTGAGAAATTATTGACTCTGGAATAATCAAGAAGATGATCTATCGTATCGAGTAACGTTCGCGAGCACGTCTCAATGGTGTGAGCGATGTTGGTCTGAAAGACGTCGAGCTTGGTATCGGCCATGAGCTCCGTGCTCAGCAGCACGCCGTGCAGAGGAGACCGTAATTCGTGAGAGAGTGATCCAAGGGCATCTGCTTTGATCTTTGCAGACTGCAGCGCTTCAAGCCGCGCAATCTCAACTGCAGCAAGAGTTCCAAAGCCGCGCAGGTAGCTTAGTTCCCCCTCGACGGTGAAAGTGCGCGTAGGAGCGTTGGTGTAAACCAGCCCGCTGGCACACCATCGTTCTTTCGTGGGGTCCCAGACAGGAAAGAATGCTACGCTGCGGGCGCCTGGAAATGCAGCCGAGATGATTCGACCTTCGCGTAGGCGCGACAAAGGCTTCCGTTGCAGTTGTCTGTCTGGCGAGGACGACGGGCTTTCTGGGCCACTTTCTGCCCGTCGCATCCCGGAGGACGGATCATCCGACGATGAGTCGGACGTTTGAAGCTCTCCATCGACATTGAACAAGAAGACCTTGCCTCGAGGATATTGGGCCAGCATTTTCTTCATGAACCTTTCGCTCAGCGCTACCGAGCTCACGGGACTTTGAGCATGGTCGATGCTAGAGGTTCTAGAAGTAGAATAGCCCTTAATTTCGCAAATGTGGTCTTTTTTGCCGTCCTCTCGGGGATGAACACTATCATCGCTACTTGTTGAGGAGGATTGCCCTACAGACCCGGGCTTGCCTCCAGCAGTTCTAGCCCTGTGTACCCGATAGCTCGCCATGGTGGCGTCAAGAAAAATGCAGCCCTCGACCTCGACAGACTCTCTGATGATATTGGCAGCCCTTGAAAAGACGTTGGCTAGGCTTCGGTTCTCCGACATAATGTCCTTTGTGCGTTCAGCTGGAGTTATCGGGGCTCTAGTATGAGTATGACGGGCTTGTCTTGGCCGTTCATCGTCTTCCAATTGAGGACCATCAGACGTGACACTCTCCATGTCGCTCTCCAAAGTCTGTTGGTTTGAATTGAGGTTCCCTTCAGCCGATGTAACAAGATCCTCAAAGGCGGTGGGGTTTGATCCCTGACGCCAGCCGGTGAGTGTCGAACCACCCTCGATAAAGGATCCTATGCCTCTGCTCATTCGGGCGTTCCTCCTGTTGACAGCCTTTAGGCTTTCGGTCTCGAGATGGTCGGAGATGGCACGAGAAATGTCGCGCAATCGATCACTGTTGACATGGGTCCACTCTCGTGTAGTCGTATTGACGACATGGTACACGCCGATATTTATGCCTCGTTTGGTGCGGATCGGGATAGCGGCGTAGAAAGTGGCATGGGAAGGTCCTAACATTGGAATAGCTCGGGCTGCGAATCTGTCGTCGCCTACCAAGTTTGGTACAACGGTGACAGGGAGCTCCCCATTATCCTGATAGTTAGGGTCGTTGGCCGACTTGTTCAAGATAGTATAATCGCATGCATCGTCGCCTCGACGAGCAGCCGTTCCGCAAAGTCGAAATGCCTCGTTGTATTCGTGGTTGGGTACCGAAGGACGTAGATAGGTGCCAGAAGTCGCTTCAGCGATAAAGTACTGATACTCGGAATCGAAGAGAGAAACAAAGGCGCGCTCTGCGCCGACGTGGTATATGCCAAGCTGAGTGAGGGCCGTCAAGATGGTGCTGATAGACGACAGGCGATCGGTCCCTTGGGCTGGTCGCAGGAAGTCTTGCACGACGTGAGCAAGCTGGAATGGAAGCCAGTACCTAACAGCTATCTGTCAGCTTTGCTTATCGGCTATGATGAACAGGAGGAGAAGTAAAGCTCATCAATTAAATAGGGTGGGAAGAGAGGGGGTAAGATCCAATTCTCACCTGAAGGTCTCCCTCTCCCGAACAGATTCAGATACATCCTTGTGAGGGGTTGCATTCATAGGGTTCGAGTGAATAGTCATGACTGATTCGACAACAACCCAAACCGCATGATGAAATTACGTGCAGGCAGAAAAGAGAAGCATTAAAAATAAGAATAATAAAAGAAACATGTGTTGTTTAGGCTTTAGATTGGCGATAAGGGAAATTCGTGGGGCTTTTGGTCTAGACTCCAGATCAATCGCCACCCTATGGAACCTTTGCCACCGACCTAACTAAAGCGGTGATAGCGCTAGATCCATACGTACATACGCAAGGTTTTTTCATCGAGATTTCTTACCGTAATCGAGATTTGCATGTTTTAACAATCGGATTCTGATTAACTGATTGTCAGTAAGGGATGACTTATTAACTAAGGGTCTTTCCCTCATTCCCTGCTTTCTGTCACCCTGTCGATGACAACTTTGATGAGTAGCCAGTAAGAAGAAAGACCGTATTATCGCCAATCGGATCCCCTACATTATTAGCCGCAGGACAACGGAAAGCAAGGGATGACGGAAAGACATTTAGTTAACATATTTCTAATACGTATAATAACTTATTTCTTTTAATTATTTTCATCACACTATAAATTATAGAGTCTAGCTCCGGGCACTGAATCTTAATTTAATGTTATTATTAAAGTGCATATCACCGAGACCCGCATCGCGGTAGAGGACTCAGAGTCTCTTCGCCGGATCCGCCACAAATAAGCCAAATACTATCTCTTGCTTACACTGCAGTTATCTTCAAGTCCTCTGGTTCTATGTCTGGTAAAGGTGAGTGGAAGCCTGTATGCTGTCCCCGTGATCGTGGACGAAAAGAATGCACCTGGCGCGCGGTGGCGAGGCGGGAGATGCTTGTAATGGGCTATCTCACGAGGGAGACTTGGTATTCACATTTGACCGAAGCGGAGACGGTGAGTACGTGGTATCACGTGTGTGTGTTCACCAATACTGACCAAAATTGTACGTCTGGTGAGCGGCCTTTGTGTTATATATCTGGCCAGTATAAGGATTCCACTGAAGGATGGAAGTGGGAGGCTGCAAGGGAGATTGTCCCGCTGAAACTCACGAGATTGCAAAGCAGACCTGCGGCGGAGCGTTCCTTTCCAGCAGGGCCCCATGGTGATGCCAGCGGAAGATCAAGAGTTATCACTGGGTAGGAACGAGCTGACCTGGCCAGAACAACTGCGACAAGAAAGTCTATTGCTGTGTCGAGCTAAGCGCTGCGGGCTACTGACATCTCCAGTCCCGACGTGCAGCTTGCGAGGAGCGAGCGCGGTGATGACAAATAGGGTTGGAACCTCGGTGGCTAGAAAAAGTCCCTCTGCTGCAATGGCCCAAGCACGATAACTCTCATGTAGAGCTTGTCGGTTGCTCTGAGGTCAGCTCCCAGGAAGCCAATTTATCAGGGTATTTTCTTCTAACGACAGCGAAGAGAGTGGCTGCTACGATATGCTTGAAGGCGGAACTCGGGGCGAATGGATTGGTCGTAAATACGACGATGCCCCTCCGATCGTACAGCTACTTATCATATTATAGAAATATGGGCGGATCTGGGATGAGACTCCAAGGCACCGAAATACTGTAGTCTTGCTGACAGCCCATCTGAAACTGATCCCATGATGGGAGACTTGTATCTGTTAGTGGGTTACAAATTTGGGCTGTGTCCTCAACATAGAACGAGCCCGGTGGGAGTCCTGAGTGAACGTATGCATCTGGTAATAGACTGCTCGAGTCAATTTGCGCTGGAAGAACACCAAGGTCGAAATTTGAAGGATAGTCGTGGACGGTGGGGAATTCTGTATGGGAGTCTACGACAACTGGAGTATATGCTTCGTGATAAGGCAGTGTCTCGTAACAAGCTGAGAGGCCGTGGGGTGCCAGGGTCTTATCGCTAACGTCTGTAGTTAGGCTTCGACTGCCGGGGCTGCAAGCCTGATCTGAAGCGTCGGCACATCCCAGATCGATAACGACTTCGCCTTTCCGGGGTGACGTTTTCCCATCACAGCCGAGGCCAGAAATTGTTTCGATCATTGTAACTACTGTTCGTCCGACTGCCCACACCTGCGCTAAATCTTTCAGGGATTCCAAGCAGGTGCTGACTCGTCGACGGGCAAGTCGCCTAGTAGTTGGACTCGGCGTATTCGACACGTGTAAGTGTACAACAATGGCTGAAAAGAGGCTATGGACGATGAATGGAGGACAGCGACGTAGCTGCTGTTTGTCTCTGAGTGCTTCAACAATGGACGTAATCATGTTGGCGGCGCCAACTGTACCATCTCGTGATCCATAGGATTGTTTTGTATCCTGCAAAGTCTTTCTGTTTCGAGGCGAACTTGCCCGATGTAGCAGACAGCAAGCGCTGAAGTAGTGCAAGTATAGTATCGCAGACCAAAAATGGTGTTTTGATCGCTCCCAGCGCATGGGAGCAGGGCACTCCTGGTTCCATTTGGAAAGGGATGTAGCAATAGAGTTGATACCATCCCAGTCTTGACCACCTCTGGATATGTTGGAATATTTTGATGCGACAAGTCCTATGAGCTTACACAGCTTCACGTACTGAACGAAGAATCCCACCTGAGTAGAATCTGGTGGGTATTCGTCAATATCATTCCCATCATGCTCGATGAAGTCATCATCGGCGATCATATCGACATCGCAATCGTCGAGATTGATGGATACCGACTGCCCCAGGCCAACGGCTAAAGCGCGATCTCGAGTAAATAGCGTCCACCAGATGCGCTTACGGAGCCTCTTTTCACTTATTGACAATGCCGAGTTTTCCATGCTGCGATGAAGACCGAGATTCTGAGCGACAGCTATGGCAGATTGACTCCAATAGAACATGTTCTTGGATATGTCATCAGGGCCAGCCCAGTACCATCCCATTAGAAGCATTGACTGCACCAAGGTAATTCCATCACGCTCATAATCGGCATCATAAAGGGCTTTGGCGCGTCGATAGAATGTCGCAACTGCTGTTGAAGCTGATCCATCAACCATTAATTGGGGGTTTGTGCTGATTCGGGCGCCGGCCAGCAAGATGCATTGGATGAGGAGCATCGAGGGGGGGTTTTTGGGATCTCGATATTGTGACATGAATTTTGTACGGTTGATGACGGGTACGATCGGGTGAACCCAAGCAAAGAAAGTCTCTATCAGGTCGTCGCAAAGCGTTTTCGGAGGTAGTACAAAGGCCCCTCTGCGCTGTAGGATCCGTGTTTCGAGGGGGTCTAGTCCAGCACGTATCGACAGCGCAAGAGTATCCCGAGGCATAGGGAAATGCACTACCGGGCCTTGACTTCCACTGAGGAGGAGGTTAAAACCCGCAGATTCGCCCATATAGATAACATGGCCTGCGGATGTAACAGGCAGAACATTGAATTTGGTTGGTGACACAACTCCATCTTGCTGGGAGCCTTCTAGATATGCCTGAGTATTTGAGGTAATTGTATTGAGGCAATCGCTTGAGGAATTTCTCTGTGCTCTAGTCCTGGTCAGCACGTCAGATCATGAAACGGAGCATTGGAACTCATACGTAACGTGCTCCCCTTTCCCACGATCAGCAAGAATCCTTGCTCGGTCTTTCGCTATTCCTGGAACTTGACAGTTGATATTAAATGCGGCGCAATTGGTGCAAGGCATCCCTTTGCTCAGAGCATCGCATCGGGTTTTTCGCGAATGACATGTCCAAAGAATATGTGAGTTTTAGTACAAGACGAGTGTGACGCGACGCAACTTACCACGCAGGCTCGGAATGATCGAATCTTAATGAATCTGAATTTGTTAATTCCAACAATTGTACAGAGGACACCAGAGTGTACACGCATACCTTCTTTGTCGCGGTGGTTGAATTGATGTAGCCATGGTTGGTAAATAAAAAAATATATTACTATCGAATGTGAACAAGCCAAGTGATTTTTAACCAAAAGTGGAACATGTGAAGCCGACCTTTATTTTCTAAATGCACACTAAGCGGCATTATATATCAAAAAATGGCCATCAGCAGACTCGATGAACCTGTTCTAGCGTGATGATGGGCAATTGCACTACTGTACCCCGCACTATGAACTGAACTTTATACCCACTAGCTCCGGAGGATGGCGGCATGGAGGAAATGAGGGACGTCGATCAGTCAGGGGTTGCGATACAACACATGCCCAAGGGTCGGGATGACCGACGCAGGACAGGGATATGTCAACAAGATTCCCTATGTACTTTATACAACTAAAAAACTTGCAAAAGGCTGTGTATAGACACCCTAGCCATTGAGATTGCCAGAATTATTGACCTAATGATCTCGAGAAACACGGGCGGGCTATCCTTGCATACTGCTCTGTTGCGACATGTTGGATAGAAACGGTAATAGCGGAGTCCATAGCTGAGAAAGTAGTGTCATTTTTACTTTTTTTTAAAAGCGCTAGCCCTCGGTTAAACTGCACTAATACATTTTGTGACTAGATTTCAGCTCTTGTATGCAAGGGCGCCATGATAACAACTTCCAATCAAGAATACTATGTGAAGAGAAGGGAGAGGATATCAATTGCAAGACGAGTCAGACGCGGCTCCCTATCTTGTGTAGACTACATAATACTAGAGTGAGACCCTGTCTGGATATGCTTTCTAACCAATGATAGGGCCAACTGGTTTTCCAACCAGATCAGCAAGGGCCTCAATCAAAGCAGTAGACAGGGTTATTGAACCTCTAAGATCCAACAGGGAAGAAACCACATTACTGGTCTTGCACTGGCTTGGCCCCTTCCTGCCATTCATGATATCTTTCAACCACGCCAAAGCCTTTCCAGCTCCAATAATAGCGAGTGAGCCATGCTCCGAGAGCAAGTCTCTGTCATACTGAACCTTGGTACCGCCAGAGCAGTAGAACTTGATAAGGTCGTCGGTATCCTTGATAGGGCTGACTTGATCCTGAATCGACTTGTAAACAAACAGAGGAATGCTAGGACTGTGTTTGCCAAGAGCGTTCTCGTCTAGAATACTTTTGGCGGGTTCTTGTGTCAGGATGGCAGGGTCTTTCAGCATTCCAACCACGTCCTGTCCGAGGAACGAAACAATATCAGTCACAAAACATTGCTTTTCAACAGCGTCGAATTTGGCTTTATACTCTGGCTTGATAGCCGCGTCAAGTCCCAACTTTAGGAGAGGGTATTGTTTGGCCAGCCCAACCATGCCGGGAGGAATGATACCAGCCAAAGGTCCCTTATTGATACTCTTGATGACAGATGTGATGTTGGGCACAGTACCACCAAGAGCAGCGCCGGCGATGCGAAGCTCTGGTGCGTATGACTGCTGAAGCTCTGCCGCTGAAGCTGATGCAATGCTCCCACCAGAGTATCCCCACATTCCGACGGTAGGGCTCTTCGAGATGCCAGTGAAGTTGGCAGAGTTGATTGCAGCTCTGATTCCGTCAAGCGTGGCATATCCGGCGAGTTTGTTTGCCAGGTAAGCCGCGTCAGGACCTTCATGGTCTGGAGAAATGACGATCCATCCCTGCTCAAGAGCTGCTTCGATCAGCAAAAGCTCTGCCTGGGTGACAATGGTTCCAAGGGGTCCGCCAGTGGCAGAGGCGAATTGAAAGGCATAAGACGGAGCGCAGCCGGCATAAGAGGCATCCTCAGCGACCTGGTATGAGAGGACCTTCGTATAGTCGGCTTTGTACGGGACCAAGACAGTGAGGACGGTGGAGAGGGCCTTGCCGAAGTTGTCGTTGGTTCTATAGGAGATCTGCCAGGTGTCTTTCAAATTGGTAGGAGATATGCCAAATGCTGCAATTGGAGACGGTGGCTTGCGATAGTCGATGATGGTGCCAGGGGGGTAATCGTCGATGTTATCGGGGACCTTGTAGAAGGAATCTTCAGTAGGGAGTACAGGCTGCTGTCGCTCCTCGACAGGGGCAGACAAGCCCAGAGTCGAGAGTGCCGCCACTGACAACAGGATGAAACAAGGGAACATGGTTGACGTCACTAGGGTTTAGCAATTTAATAGCCAACAGCTCATCCAGATAAGTTTATGCAAGCGGCACGAGTATCTTAATATAAAGATCTCTTGCTTAATAAATCCATTATAATTAGCAGGGGATCAAGTGCAGTTAAGTATACAATCCAGTCCATGTCAATCAGCTACTATCCCCGACCAGTCTTCCATGAACCACGTGAATCCTCGGACATACCCATGTGAGACCCTCGGCCGGAGCGATTTAGCTTCAGCTGAGGAGATTAAATTACTTGAGTGCTCTGTAGAGTGACAGTTACCCTCCACCACAGCTAGCGAGGCGCTATTCTTGTCTCAGGGACGTGCACATGGCGATCACTTGCCGGGCTGCTACAAAGTCCGCGGCTTGCACGCGATTTGCAAATCCCGCTCTAGCGCCTACCGCCATAGCCATAGCCCCGAACATCACAAGGCTGGGATTGGGACAAAGACCATGCAGTAGACTCATTTAGGCAAGTAAGCCGAGACCTTTCCGGTAAAGTGCGATATGCGTTATACACACGATCCATCCGCTTCCCTTCCTACCCCGCAGCCAACCAACTCAATACAATTTACGGCACCCAGCAGCTTGTGGCCGAAGCGGCATTGGTCATTAATACAGGCATACAGCACCTAATTTTTCGTCCTCTTTTCGAATCGCCGAGAGCGGGCCCGTGCGGGCGAGTAAAGCAATGGCTGCCGCATTTGAGGCGAGCGCTGCTATCTCTGCCAGAAGATGCTGTTTATCCTAATTGTGAAGCGAGGGAGGGCTAAGCAAAGGAGCCAACTGAATAGTTGCCTCGGCGACGAGGTCGGCTTCATAGCCCCCTCCCTGAGAAACATCCATAAATGACAATAGCGTCCTATCGGCGTGCATTCGGACACTGATGAGGGCCGCCCCATAATGCAAAGCAGTTTCAAAACACTGAGCGGCTTTTTCGAGATCTGTAGGCACCTTCGTGTATAAAAATATCTGGTGCGGATTTTCTTGTAATCGCTTTGCTAGGTCGGGATCATCTTTCGGTGTCCCCTCAACTGCACTACGGCTTGCACATATTGCTTCCTCGATATCTTCCAAAGCTTTCGTGTAAAGATATCAAGATCGAAGCTGCACTTCAAGATTGGAAGACAGAGTTGCCCGGCGAGAGAGTTCTCGGGTTTCCTTAGTGATCCAAATAGACTCAAAGAGGTCGTCGAGGTTTCATATTCGTATATACCTGCTCCATGGTCGTATGCGGAGAATCTCCAGTGCCATGAATCTACTGAGATGGTCGTCCGAGATGGCTCCAATGGTCTGTTGGGCCATGCTGAAAGACTCATCGAAGTCAGCCGTTTCTTTGGTACGTCTATATCTCAAGCCAAGCCGAATGCTTGGATTAATCAACAGATCGGTCCTCTGTTCATTCTCTATTGGGGTGACTGCGACAGTCTTGCGGGTGACATCGATCGCTTCTTCGAGGTATTTCATAGATCCAACGCGCATGTATTGGTCTCTTGAAGAACGCTGAGGGCGGTGTACTTTCCAAACAGTGTAGGGTTACCGTTAGGAGTGACCGTCATGGAATCCCGAGCGACGCTGATGGCTTCCTCTAGGTCCTCAATTGTCCCTTTGCGCAGATACCGCGCGCCAAGTTGAGAGGCAAGACTGGCTGACCTGTCACCGCGTTCTGCGTCAAGGAGAAATTTCGGCGTGGCCTTGATAGCTTCTCAGGGCTGTGTGGACAGACTCCTCAAGGACTCCAGTATCCATGCTTGCCTCGTATTTACTTCTCAGATCCAGGGCCAAGCTGTGATAGCCTTGGAAAATTATGTTTACTTATTTCCCTGTTCTAAACCTCTAGCCTTTGTCTATAAATAAATCATCTATCAGGTAGTAGTCTTATAATTACGTTCATAGTGTTATAGACATAAGTACAGAGATTATTTAACTACTCTATGACACAAGTTAGAGAATCTTTAATGACTCATACAGTTACTTTTCTTAGTAATAATCTGCGACCGACCCGCATTACGCCTTTCCATTGACAAGTAAGTGTATCTAATCCCCAAGAAAGTCTCACACTCTGGGGCAACTGAGCGATCGCATCAGCTACAAAATGCTTTCTTCCACTGTAAATCCCATCGTCTTTGAGTCCTACCCCGACCGCGGGTTACAAGCGTATAGCGTCGTTTTGGGTGCGTGGTTGGCTCTGTTTCCAGCCTCCGGGCTCCTTAACTCAACTGGTATTTTCCAAGCATGGATCGTCGTCAATCAACTCCACAAATACTCAGAGCCTCAAATCGCGTGGATATTTAGCACTTTCGCCTTCCTTTTTTTCTTTGGGGGCATTCAGGCGGGTAAGCTCATCTATCCAGCATTTAATTCACACAACAATGTATCTCACATTTGTGTAGGTCCAATATTCGATAGATATGGACCTAAATACTTGTTCCCTACTGGGGCATGTGGCTTAGTCGTCGCGCTGTTATGTACGAGTTTCTGTACAGGTAAGAAAGACCGAATACCAATTCGCTAAGCACAGTCTAACGTCACTGTTGAGAAGAATACTATCAGTTCATGCTTGCATTTGGGTGTCTTGGTGGTCTCTCTTCTTCAATCATATGGACTACCAGCATCGCCACCCTTGGACATTGGTTCCTGCAAAATCGAGGACTGGCAACTGGTCTTGCGACCACCGCTGGAGGCATTGGGGGTCTTTGCTATCCTCTTGCCTTTTCACATCTTTCACGTCGAATTGGGTTTCCCTGGACATTGCGATGTTTTGCACTCATTACTCTGCTGTGCTTCTTAGCCAGTATACCCTTACTCAAGACACGGCTCCCTGCAAACCCAACTTCACGGGTTCTTCTTGACTGGAAGGGCTTCAAAGACACAAGGTTCACACTGACAATGATGGCCATATTTATTCTGGATTGGGCTGTTTTGGTGCCTCCAGCATACATCACCACATACACTTCCTCACATGGACTCAGTGATCTTTCTCCTAACATACTGGCCATTCTCAACTCGGCATCTACCTTGGGACGTTGTCTACCTGGGATTGTTGCCGACAGGGTCGGTCGGTTCAATGTTATGATCATTTGCGCGATTCTCTCCACCTTATCAATCTTTTGCTTATGGCTTCAAGCAGAGTCTAACGCTGCTGTTGTCATTTCCTTCGCTGTAACCTATGGCTTTTTCAGCGGAACCGCTTTCAGCTTGACGCCAGTATGTGTGGCTCAGCTCTGCAAAACAGAAGAATATGCCACAAGGTATGGAACGGCCTATGGCGTGGTGAGCTTTGCTACATTGGCTGGAGTTCCCCTCTCGGGACTCGTTTTAGGCACAAGTGACGGCAACCACTACACCGCCTTAGTTCTATTCTGTGGCACAGCATATGCAGTCTCAGCTCTTCTCTTTATTTGTGCCAAGGGAATGAGTAAAGATTGGAGGCTCTTGTCAATATTCTAGTCTTGATTAACAGCAAGCGGTATCAAATGCCAAGATAGGGATAGGACAAGCAAACCGTGGAGTAGCCTAACAGCATCAGTTTAGGCTTAAAATGCCCGACGTCATAGACTGCGAAACCATAGATTAAGAACACGACAATATCAGCATAAGCAATTCGCCCAATTTCTTGATATTTAGAAGCGTAAGTAAAGAAATAAAGTATAGATAGCAGCCACCTCTTGCCAGTCTTAAGCATCAGGCTTCTTTCCATAGATTGAACATCTGCCAATAGTCAGTGCCTGATACTCGTTCCAATTAGATATACTCACATTGGATTATAGGCATGAATACTCGGATTGTTCAGATCCTTCCTCACACCAATAAGAAACGCAATAACCTCTTTCCTCGACCATCCATGAGCCCTCGAAAATGACACCATGGTCAGAGACTCCAAAGCATTCGAAGCATTATAATTATTCCACGTTCCTAACTCTTTATACTTCTTATCTTGAGGCCAAAAATTGGTAGGCCACTTGAATCTTTTATCCACAACATCGGTGAAGTCAACTTCTTGCATAATGGCTTGGATCTAGTCGAACTCAATGGAGGTACTACCAAGCTTCATGAAGGCTTCACCGAGGAGGTTGCACCACTTTGAAAGAGCGTGATCTGGTGTAAGAGTCCCATCGTCGGAGAGAATCATACCACCGGTTTCTTGAAATTCAACGTAGCCTCCAGGCTTGAGATTACTACACAGGTTAGTCTTGCGGACGAGAGCGGGGATTGAAGACGTGCTTGAAGATCTTGCGGATGTAGTCCTCCCAGTTCTTAATACTAAATACCATCATTCTACTATGTATATAGTCAAATGGCTGACCATATTCCCAGTCTTCGTCAATATCATCAATAATGAAACGAAGGTTTGGCGGGACACTGGAGATGTTAGCGGAAAAGTATAACCCTAGGGCTACTCACAAAGCGTGTTGAATTGGTGAGAGGTCAACCCCAATAACCTATACTGTTAGAAAAAACCTTTTATAAGATTGGAAGGTAAGGGACATGCTTCAGCTTCCAGGTGCTCATCAGCGTAGTCAATTGCCCATATTCCGGTTCCCGTTCCCACGTCGAGTACACGTCCAGCCGTTGCAGCGGGGTCATTCGGTGGAGCAAGACCTAGTTCATCTCCGAATGTCAGGAGGAAAAGGTTGTGCTGAGTGTCTAGACTGCTAGCAGAATGCTTGAATACAGTATCAGTAACATACCTAGACGCTCATTTTCGACCTGGTCATTGGGGAGATGATATTCTAGTGAGGTCGTTAGGAATCGGCAGTTGGAGATGATAATGATTCTCACTTCCGTCTTTGTAGCGATGGTACGTTCTGCCGTTCTCATGCCGATAGTTCAAGATGGAGCTTGAGATGCTTGTCGTTGATGAAGCGGCATCCTGTTACTCGTCAGCCGAGTCTCTTAATATGGATGATTCACACGCGCACAGTCTCGATTGACGAGTCTCCATCATCGGTGATCTAGTATTATTCAGTATTGGACTTGTGTGAACCCAAGCTATGATTTCACCTGTTCATCAGGATGAAGAACTGGCTACATCTACCGTCGACATGGTGAAATTGATGGCCTGAAAATCGCTCCGGGCGGATAAATGAAGATGGAGGATTGTGTGTGCTGAAATTGCTGATGGTTGCGTAGAAAGAATCCATATTCTCTGTTAAGCGAAGAAAGAATGATCAATATCACTGGCTCCCGTAGATTTACAGTAGCCAACATGCAGATGCGTACGTGGCTACTGCATGGGTCAGTGGCCTGATATGATGTTGCCCTTCATCTTGGCTTCCAAGTCATTATACCTCAGCCGCCTCGATTACAAGAGGGATAAATATCCAATTGACGATAAAAATAAACAGTCGTCCATGTTCGGATATAGTCCATTGCGTGAGTGATAAACTTGAAACAGAGTGTATTGCTGGGTCCATCCATACAATCGATATTCAGTTCGATCGGAATCTAATCCTTAGCAAAGGCAATGGATGCTTAATCCGAATTTACTTGCCAAACAGTAAAGTATTTTGTGGTTAATGTAACTAAACTTTATCCTAAGATATTTAAGAAATAGTAAACTCACTACTCCTACCTGTAAACGCATTAATCTTGCCTGTGATAGGAGTCTTGCTATCTCCATAATAGCTCAGCCGATACGTGCCAGAACCAATGTCCTTCGCATCCTGCCAGCCAGTCTCCCAAGTGATAGAAACCTCACTCGACCCAAGCAACCCATCAAGTCTTTTCCACTCAAAGACAAGATCCCAGTCCTCGTCAGTCCGGACCTGAACCCACTTGGATCCGTCCTTCTTCTCAACTGCCGCATAAGTATCCTCTAGGTGAAGATTGTTCCTTGGATTGGCTCCCACGAATGTAGCGCTGATAGTATCTCCAGTTGCAAACTTTGACTTGCTCACGTCGTTGATGATGTCACCGAACTTGGTGCCAATCTTGGGGTTATCGTAAACAACGCCTGTAGTGAGAGAAATGGAGTTCTTTCGGTTATCAGGTGCAGCTGGACCAGTCGGTGGCTTTGAAGCGCCCTTTTCCTGTAGGAGGTATCCGAGATAGCTCGTAGTAAGGTTGATGTAAGCGTCCAGACTATGTCTGCCGTGGACAGTGGAGCCGCCTTCGTAGCGCTGCACATCATATTCTTCAGGCGTAGTACAGTAATGAGCGTAAGTGTTGCCAGGTCCACCAGCGACAACGATGGGGTCACTTCCAACGCCACCTCTATCCTTGATCTCATCACTGATGCTCTTGCGCCAACGTCGCGAAGACATGGTCGTCAGCTCAGGTGCTGAGACGATGATGAAGAAATTACCGACGCGTAGCATTTGGATATCCACAATATTGGGAGCCCAAGCATAAGGCAGTGTGATCTCACCAGCGTCGATGAGGATTGGCTTGGGTGACTGACATGCGACCTGCTCTTTGGTAGGGTCACGCAAGAACTTGGATACCAAAGCCCAGAAGGGACTGGCATCAGGCTCACCAGAGTCACCCTGCTTGAAGTCGAAGTACCCAGGGCCGTCGGTAGTTCCGGCAGCGAAAGAGTATCCGAAGGCAGCTGCACATGTCTTTGCTGACGTGCCATTGGGAAGTTGAAAGGTAAAGTCTGAGAAGTCCTTGAATGAGTGATATCCGAGAACACTCTTTCCCGTAACTGGAACACCAGTTCCACCTTGCATCTGGCTATACAGCTTGTCGGCCTGCTTAAAGACTCGACGACCGATCTCCCAGCATGACTTGGTTCCTCCGTCATTTAGTCCCCAGAAAGGACCTCGACCATGACAAGTGTCAATCTTGCCATTGCAGGTCGCATCTTTGAAGTCGCACTGCTGTCCTGAACCATCCTCACACCAGGCCCCTTCGACATTTGGCGTAGTGTCAGCGACAGCAGCTTGAGAGAAGCCAGCGACGAAGTCGTCAGTCGCTCCATTGGTACCGCGGACAGCCTGTTCGAGGAGATAGGCACTGACACCCTTATTATCGCCAGCGACAAGAGTGTTATTCATGTAAAGACTCGTGCCATGTACCGAGAACCACGTGAGCACCCCCGTGACTTTGTTGTCTGAGTCGCGAGTGAACTTGAGCATGGTCAGTTCCTTGTCGACCTCATCCTGGTACTTGTCCCGTTCTGACTTCGGATTCGCTTGGTAAGCATACAGACTTCGATTGATGTTGACGTCTTCAATGCGAATCTTGCCTACGCTGAGACGGCCCTTGGCAAGACTTTCATGCGCCCTCTTGACCGACAGAACAGCACCGTCAACGATGGCCTGATACGCTTGCTGATTGAATCCAAGAGCGGAGATCTGAGGCATGAGATAGTTGTTCCAACCTGCTGGCCCAGCGTGCGAATGCGTTCCGGTGACAGCGACATTATCCGACGTGTAGACGGAATACTCCGATCCAAGAGCCGCGATGCCCTCGAGGATACCTCTGCGAACAGCAGTATCACCAGACTGGGTATCCAATACCAAGTACACAAATCGCTCTTTGGGTTCATCTGGATTGCCCACGATGAAAGCCCGAGAGTATAGACGCTGGCGCAAGCCTGTTCCTATCTGCCCGAGGTCGGCATATCCCATGAGATTAAGCTCGACGACAGGACCAGTCACGTCAGCTTTGCCGACACCGAGCAAGTATACATCGCCAGAGTCATCAGCTCGCTTGGCGTTATTGTTGGGAGAGTCTTCAGGTGAAGGGACGGCGAGACATGATGCTGTCTGGAATAGGAAGGTGGTGAAGCTCAGGTATAACAGGAGCACATAAGAGAGATTGCGATAAGTTGCGGTGACCATCATGACCACGATAAAATTGGGTCAACGAATGTTTTGACTCTGCAATCATCCTAAAGAAATATGCGATATTCCGACGTATTTATAGTATTTACTCATCACTCGGTGGTGGCTCAAAGTGATGCGATAAGTGGCTTCCCAAGCGGTCTGCTCAATGCAGTCGCATACCTTTCAGCTATCACATTCACAAAAGCAAGTAAACTCATGGCTTTTCATTTACTTACATGTAGTTATATATACCAGAACCGAGGCAATTACCCAAATGAGCCAAGAATATGCATCTCTGCCCCTCTGACGATATCTCGCATACGGAAATCCTGCCGGTTCGAGATATCAGCCATTTAACCGATCTCGAGTGGGTTGCAGTGCAGGTTCTGTTTTAAGGACATAGCCCGGCAGGAGCAATTCACGTGGCAACCATCAGTGCTAGAAACAAGGCACGAGAGACATCCCCGCACCTTGAAGTACCGAATTATTTTGAATTGGTCAAGATAGTTTATAAGTAGTCAATTACCGCCTACAAGATTGAGCTTCAGGGTGACGACATAAGTCATAAGAACATAATATATACTTTTTCTTTAATATAAACTTCTACCTCAAAACCTTCCGCGATGACCAAAAAATCTTATTGCAGGCCTCAGGACTTTGCAAACGTGGTCAAGATAGGAAGCTGGATCTTTTGTTGAGATGGTGTGCGGGTGCTACGATACGTCACGCGAGGTTTCTTATCAGGAATAGGTCGATAACAGCCCATGCATGCCGATCTAATCTAGTAATTATCTCTGCGGTATCCGTAGACTATGCATTCTCGCCTTCTGCGATCCTCGCCATTTCTGCTCGCCCAATTGTTCCGTACCGCTGTGAGTCAAACATCCACCGAATAATCGTCTCTGTAGCCTGGAACATCTCGCGCTGGCTCTCCTCCAGGTCAGGCGCTTGTACCGCGCTCATGTTTGATAGGTCAATCGGCCTTTGCTCGAGGCTCATGTTAGCCATCTGCGATTGCATTGCCCATCCTTCGTCTCGCATCCGTAATATGTCTTCATGCCGCTTCTTGAGTGCCCCTCCACGTGTAAGCGCTTCGTCCGGATAGTCCGGAATAGACTCTAATTCATTTATCACACTTCGCATATCCTCCAGCATAGGATCTGGAACAGTCTCGCTCCATCCTTCAATAGCTACTTCATAGCAGCCCAGCGCGAGATTAATTGGTGTTCCATCGCCAAAGTATCGCTGTGCAGGTCCAAAGTCTTGATGGAATCTGATATTGGGATCAGCGCCGCTACGGAGTAACTTTCCGACAAGGAAATGATTTTGGAACAAAGCGGCTCGGCACAAGGCGGTGCCCATTTTGGGATGATCAAAGTTTATGCACTCTTTGGTCGCGAAGGGTGAGTTCTCGGACAGCATGCATTGGACTTGCGCCGTGTAGATCTCTGCTTCGACTACGTTCTTGCGGGCTGGTGGTGAAGAAGCCAGGATAGTCCATGCGCTCTGTTGTTCGGCAGGGTCACCGATGTGATCGACAATAAAGTCAAACTGCTCATTGTGATGTAGCAAAGGCCTTGAATCCGATGACATATGATTTGGTGTTAGGAGATATCGTAGGATGGATAGCGATGTCTCCGTTCTTTCCTCAAGGAGCTCCTTGAAGATGGATATCCTTGGAGTGTCGGGTCCCAATTGATAAGGGCTGCCAATTTGCGCTCCATGCCGAATCAGAAGATTCGCTAGGTCAAGGTATCCATGCAAGATAGCTTCAACGACAGGCGGTCTAGTCCCTGCCGGATGATCCGTAACGGAAACTCCAGACGCTATGAGCTCTTCCGCTATGACAATACCGGGGGGAGAAGAAGCCGGTCTCGCAGCCAAGTCATGGAGTAGAGTCTGTGGACACTCAGAATAACTTTCGATCTCACAGCCGTAGTCTCTCAACAGTCGAAACACCCTCTCGTCATTGAGCAATATTGCTTGGCGTATGGGCCGATTGTCAGGCGAGCCGGAGGGATTATGGCCCATTTTTAGCAAGGCTTCAACAACATCACGATTCCCAAGTCGAATCTGCATGCACAAGGCTTCTCCTGACGATCCACAGGAAGAAGCAGTGCCCAGTAGTTCTCTCTGCTCCTTGAAAATGGCGAGCGTTTCCTCGACATCTGAACGATATCTCGGGCCATTTCTGATGAGTCGGCTGAGCAAGGAAAACGTATCTCGGTTACCAGCCTTTTGCTCCTGCGTCGCCTTCAAGAGACTGAGATCGTCAAAACCATTGAATAACCCTGAAATCCTGGATTCGTCATGATCTTGATATAAGAATAGTCGAAGGAAATTCGGTAGCGCTAGCATGGCAGCAAGCTGGATGGGTGACTTTCCGTCAACTTGAATCATTGGGTCAGCTCCAAGTGCGATGAGGACTTGCGCGGCATGAATATTCTGGAAAAGAACACATCTCCCGAGAGGCGTCGTCTGGATAGACATAGTTCCCTCCCAGTCGGCATGCGCTTTAAGAACCTCGGCTCTCATGCCACCCGACGCAGCATCGATCAGACCTCCCGCGTTCAGCAGGCCTCTCGCCATTGGCATCATCTCGTCTTTCTCAAATCTCCAGAGCCAGTGGAGAGGGGTGTCTTGTCCCAGAGGATGACCTTTTGGATCCGCGCCGTGGCGAAGGAGCGCTAGAGAAGCGTCCAGGTGAGCATTCCGGCAAGCACAGACTAACGGCGTTTCTTCACAATCTTGATTGGGGAGGTCGATATTTAGCTTAAAGGTGTTGATGAGATGATCAATTGTCTTGGCTTGTCCGCGGGCTGCTGCCATGTGCAGGATTCCGTGTCCACGGCTGTTGACAAAGATCCTGTCGAAGTGAGTCACTTGCTGGCCATCCTCATTCATTACAGGTGAGCTCTTCAGTGACTGCTCATACGCTCCTCCAAGCTCCTCTCTCAGTTCTCGCTGAAGTTGTTCCACATTATCGACCGAAAATTCTTTTCTCAAGTGTCGAGGCAAGAATGCTAGTGAGCCAGGAACACCACTGAAGTAATTCGCAAGCCTCCTTGCGTTCTGGTATGTTTCAGTTGCGTTCCGTCTCTGCTCATCACTCAGCAGCGGCAAAGCGTCTTCGAGATCTTGGCCAGCCTGCCATCCTCCACGAAGAGTAGCCCACTGCAGACTAGACGGGAAGACGGCTAACAGCTCTGGTGGTGCTTGTCCCAGGGCTTGGCTCACGCGCCATACGCACGATGCTGCGAGATACTCGAACCCGCTTGAATCATCAGACCCGGTCACTGCGTCACTTGCCGCTCTTCGAAGTGCAGCACAAGCTTTCTCGGGGTCGAGGGAAGTGCCGAACTCGGCGATGTGGCATCGGAAGAGAAACCAGGCTGCAAAGAGTTTATGGAGCTCCACATCACGACTTTGGTCACCAGAGTCCGAGATGGCTTGAAGTGCTTCGAGAATATGTTCCTGCTGCTCCCATGACAAGATGTTCTTCAGCTTCTCAGGCTCAAAGACGAAGCCTGGGTTTACTGGAGCTTTGACTATGGGCCGAAAGCCGGGGCTGCAACAAGTGTTAGCATAAGTAAAGGTGCTTTTTAGCATATCTTACGTGTTGTTCTGAGGATCATAAGTAGCTCCAACAGTGCCTAAAAATAGGCCAGCGCCATCTGCACTAATTCCATGCTTTCCCTGATAGGATGTCAGCCCTGAGTGTGGAAGATTATCCGCCTCATGGTGGAGGATTGGAAGCGGAACTGTTTGAGGAGAAGAGGTCACTCACCGGAGGTTCATTGTCTTCAACTTCCTTCCACTTGCGATTCATTTTGTCGACGTTACTCAAGTATTCATCAACTGCCGAAAGACTAGGGTAGTAAGAGATCAGCTGGGTCGCACTTTGGTAGATCTGGGGGAGTTTTCACATACGGGATACCTCTCAGCGCAGCTTGTGCCTTGGCCAAAGACCTATCTACCAGATTCTTTTGGATCGTCTGTTCAAGGACATATAGAACCATCTCCGTACAATCCTGGTTGATCTCGCGCATATCAAAGTAGTCTTGGATCATTGATGTCGCTCTGTGTAAAAGTCGTCCCGACCGCTTTAATTGAGCCAGCGTTACCGAACCCGAAGGTTCTCGTCGAGGACCGAACTCATAATGCAGATTGGCCAAATTGCCATCTGCAAATGTTTCACAGACGAGTAAACCAAAAGAGTAGACGTCGCATAGTTTTGCGGCCTCTGCCGTGACTATGCCGTCGGTTTCCGGCGCCGCGTATCTCGGTGTCTTGCAGATGAGGCGATAAGAGTCATGCTTCTCAGAACCATAGACAGCGCCCCCGAAATCAGCCAATTTAGCTACATAAGCCCCATTTCTGGATTTATCTGAGAATATCAGCACGTTCTGACGCTTGATGTCGCCGTGAATAATGCTGCAAGCGTGAATGATAGATAAGCCTTTCCCCGCATCGTACAGCAGTTTTTGCTTGACAACGAACGAAAGTGGCGATTTCGAGTTACTCTGCAGATCCTCTAAGGTTCCGTGCTCTGCATGCTCGATGACAAGTTGAGGATAAACGCTTCCGGATGCTCCGTTAGGTCCCCAGCACAAACCGACGAGACGCACGATGTTGGGGTGGTAGCGAAGGGTCTCGTGGAGAAGAGCGCGAATTTCGAGCAAGACGTGATCCCAGCCTGCTTTGGGTAGATCATCTGATTGAGACTGGATTCGAACAGTTTTCAAGGCCACGATTCGGTTTTGACGGATGACTACAGGCGCAGAGCTGCTTGTTTGAGGGTTTGGGATTGCTTTGGCCCGTTCTACTGAGAATGTTGCCCCGCGGTCGATGAATGAGCGCTCGGTGAAGCCTTGGATATACTCATCAATGAAAACAGTTTCCGTGTTTCGACCTTTCTTTTCAAGGGATGAAACATGGGCCAAGAAAGTTGGGAATCTGTTTCCATTTCGAGTGAGCTGCTCTTTAATCTGTTCTTCGACAGATTGGAGCTGTACACTGCTCGCCGGCAGCGTTGAAGGAGCCTGCCATAGAATCTGGCTGAAAGGGTCAATAATTGTCTCCATGCTGAGTGTTTGACGCGATGAAAGGCTCAGGATGCGAAAAGAACGACGTTGAGAATGAAATCTGCCTTGGCTCTGTAATGTCTCGGACGCTGCGCCTGCATAGTATGATAACGCTGATGCTGTGATTGTGATTGGCTACCCTAAGCACCCAAGTTCAGCTCAGCCCAGCCCATTCAGTTCTAGGCCCTCTCGATGCATCTGCCACGTAAGAGTTCGATTTCAGGCTGCACTGGTTATGCCTTGATTAAAATTGCCTCATATGACTCGATATCAATTAAACAAACATCAAACATATCGGACCTAGCGGCTCACGATACCAGAATCCATCCGGCCAATCTCTATCCTAGCTAGCTCACACCACTAGCCCAGCAGCCCAGTACAATGCTTGATCCAGGGTCAATCATCGCTCTCACGCAAATCACATACGAGGGCGCCAAACGAGCTGTAGACCTAGTCCTCACAGCGATTCACTTTCCCAAAGAGTGCGAGGAGTTGTTTGTGCAGCTGAAGCTCGAGCAGTTCCGTCTGCAGTGCTGGGGTCGAAGTGCGGGGTTGGAGCAAGGCAGACTTATTGAGCCTCTGCATCCGATCTTTCCGGAAATACGAAACGCACTTGACTGTATAAGCGCTCTTTTCCAGGACTTGAATAAGTTACAGGCAAAGTTTGGCATCGTGTCTACGTCTGTGGAGGATGTAGGTCACAGGCAAAAAGAACTGGCGTACAAGTGGAATGAAGAGCTACACAAGCAGGGCCTGGCACTTTCTGGTAAACAGGTTGAAGATGGGGCGCCGTCCCTGATATCCAAAGAACAAAAGGCGTTTTTCCCGGTTGGGACCTTCAAGGTTAACCTACCAGCTCGTCTACGATGGGCATTGGGGAACAAGTCCAAGTTCCGCGAGTGCGTGGCTGAGTTGGAGAGGTACACCAACAAACTTAACCAACTTCTACCAGAGCGTCAGAGTCTTCAGTACAAACAAGACTGGACAAGAGTCAACATCATAATCGTCGGAAAGGCAGATGATGAGAACACTGTTTCCCTCCTGCGAAATGCCCTGGAAGGAAGTCCGGCGATGGAAGCTTCACTCCGAGGGTTGGTGGACAGAAAATCAGTCGCTGCAGCGCCGAGTACGACAAACTTCCTCCGAGGCAACCCACAGCTAGACATGAGTGCTTTCGCTATGCCGCCCGGAATCCGGGACAAGGACAGATTTATCACAACAAGTAAAACTACTGGTGAGCCGGTTGTCTTTGAAAAGAAGTCGTGGGATGATGAACGGTCCATGGCCAACCGCTCTAAACTCCAAATGCGGCTTGGTCGGCTCGTTGCGATGCTCCGTCCAGGCAGAAGTGACTGCATCTTAAAAGCTATCGGTTTCGCAGAAGATGAAGTTACTAAATGCTGGTGGATCGTATATGAGATGCCCTCATTCATATCAATGAATCCTAACCTTCGTGTCATGACGCTCCACGAGCGGTTGGGGCGTCAATCTTTCCACCTGGCTCCCCTCGAAGTCCGGATGAAACTCGCCTTCTCGCTTGCATCAGCATACTCAGAGCTTTTTAGCAGTGGCTGGGTTCACAAGGCTATTAGCAGTCACAGCATCGTGTACTTTGGTCCTTACACTGATATACTTCGTCCTTCTGTTGTCGGTTTCGAATTTTCCCGTCAAGATACCGAAGAGTCAAACGTCGATGCTGCCAAGACGCCAGCACAGGTCGAAAGAAGCGTCTACCGGCATCCAGACTATATCGGCAGTGAAGCAAAGAGATACAAGACACAATATGATATTTACTCGTTCGGCCTCGTGCTGATAGAGATTGCTTTCTGGCAGCCACTAAAAGATGTCTGTCCTTACGCCAAGGGGGAAGTCTTTGGGAAAGAAGAGGCGAAGAATGTACAGAAATGGGCAGTTCAGGTTGCAGACACGCAATTTGCATTCAGAGTTGGTACTGCGTATGCCAATGCTGTGAGCTGGTGTTTGAAGAGTGGTGCGAGAGTTAGCAAAGATCAAGAGGACTGGCATCCAGCTTTGGCATTCAATGACCATGTTGTTGTTCCACTTTCTAGAGCATAGCATTTGAACTCGAAGTTAAGCCGGTATACTAGGATTCCTAACAAAACGGCAACTACTACTTAGACAATAAAGATATCCTGCTTTTCTAACCTCCCCTCATCAACCATCTCCCCTGCCTCACCATCCATGAAACCATGCGCATAGGCTGAACACACAATCCTATAAACCTCTATATCATCCCCGCCTTGCCGATTCAACTCAGCCTTCCTTAGAATCATTGGGACTTTGGCGCCATCCAGAACCACCACAATATCGCCCTGCTGCACATGCGGTCGCACCAGCAGAAACACTCCATTATCTGTTATTGTGAACATGAGATCCCTGTTGTAAGGCGCGTAGCCAACATATGCTAACTGCATCTTATCTTCAGCCTCGGGATCATGACTAAACGCATATCTGGAAATTCGCCAGTTATCACGGATCTTATAGTTCTTCAAACCGCGGATGAATCGTTGGCTGGTATAGTCGCGATTGTGCACTTGAAGAGAGGCAATTTCTGAGTCGCGTAGGCGGCGTATCCGGGGCGGATGCGTACAGTCCCTGAAAAGGGTCCGCAAGAATGCGCAAAAGGCTGTTTCGCACATAGAATCGCGCGGACGCTGAGGTCGTACCGAGGAGCAATGAAACTTCGCCTCCGAAAGGACTTCCTCACTCCGACTGCCACCAACCTTCGGCTCATAGAGTCTACTGTCGGGGTTCCGTACGGCCTCCTTGCCCAAATACATCTCCATCAAGAATCCTGCTTCCCTTTCTTCACTTCTAATAAATCGGTTCCAACCTCCTTTTTTGAGGTGATTTCCAGTAAGTTTCTGCTTTCCTAGGCCGGGAGAAATAATAACACGTCTCTGGAGGATCGGCCCAACATTCCCTAGCTTCACGCCTCTCAGAGCCAGCATATTTTCACCCTGCCCCAGAACCCGACAAGGAGCCGTGTAGTGCTTACTTCCAGCTGCGAATATATTGCGCTGTGCAAAAAGGACTGGAACACAAGTCTCAGGTTTTGCATCAAACTCAGCAGCCCAGGAAGGGAGATTTCCCACGCTAGAATCTTCGAGCGCCCTAGGACCTCCCCAGAGTTCGAAAGGATTTTGGCAGATGATATCGAGATTCCCAGAATGGTTTATGAGTGAAAGAGTAGTTCTCTTATACACATCCACCAACGGCTGGGTGTAATTGACCTCAATACCAGGGTCTGGGGCTACTAGTCCAAGGAGTCCGTAGATCTTATCCCTCGGGTCTGTAGATTCCATGGCCCTAAAACGCGTCAGGACATCGAGGAAGTCTGAGGTAATATTGCCACGTTGACTCAATATCCGACGCTGATCTTCGATCCGCTTTGCTGGAAGAAAGACCTTGCTGAAGCTCCTATAGTAGGACCTCGAATGAGTCGGATAGTCTGTATGGAACGCACCGATATAGGGTTCATCTTTGAAAAAGTCGGTCAAGCAGGACTATTCGAGTTCAGCTCTGCCACAGATTAAAGTTACCCGCGGTGCTAGTGAAAGTTCCTGCATCACCCAGAGGCGACTCCACAGAGTTGGGCTTCCAAATAGCGCCACCAGTGCTTTCTGTACCTTTGTAAAAGTAGGGTTGACTGTATTCCGATATAAATCTTGAGTAGCTTTGAGCCTTTGACCATTCCGATTCAACGTTTTAATGAATTCCATTCCTTCTTTTACTCTTTTCTCTTCTTTTTCGATGGACTGTGAAGTGTAAGAGGTCTTGTCCTGTAACCTCACGGTAACCATTGGGTCTAGCCACGCTATATCTCTCTCACAACTCGAGTAGACATGCCTCATCAGAGCTACCTGCTCGCCACGCTCCTTATCATTCAGTTGGTTGATGCATATTGCATCTACCCAGAGGACCCTAGCCTTATGCCTTTGCCGGAGTGAGGTTAAAGCATATTTCAGACTGGGCGTAATAAAGAAGGGATGACTGTTGAGGAAAATTGGCTCTGAAAGGTCGGGATGCCCCCAGACGTAAGATAGCGCTTCATAGCTTGGCCGAGTTGAAGCAGCATTTGGACTCAGCTCTGCGTGTAGGAGGGTGCAACTAAGTGAGGCACCGGGGTCAATAGACGGGTGGACACGAAGCAGCCGAATTTCTTGACGGCTGTTGTTAAGATCCCTATAAATCGCCTTGGATACTTGCTCATTAATAGGGATAATAAAATATCCAGAGGATTTCATGGAGAATAGTCGGTTGGAATTTCGTACTCGATTTGCGGACACTATATGATATACCTGCTGATTTCTAGTACTCTCGCGGAGGTTGGTTAGGAAATGGTGCTGTGTTGTTAAGGCTGGCATTCCGAAATACCTTTTAATATATAAGGGTCGCATAGTTGTTGATTTCAATACATGTAATAAAGGACAGGTTCAAGCTTTGCATAGTATGTTAATTGAAGGATATCGAAGACTGTTTGCCGACTCTGATATTATTTCTAATTCTTAGTAATGCGGTAAATATCAGCTTGATAAGGCGGGGTAACAAAATAGCAAAGGATAATACATATAGATACAACAATTATAATTGAAGACGTATACCTATATTAGGCTCAAACCTCTATTGCTTTGTTCTTGTGTTTGTGCCTGTTGCAATTTACCTTAGTAGCTAATAAAACCTTTGACATTGGATGATGTTTAACGTTTCGCGCGTATCCCTATATCCGCCAGACCAATTAGAGACGGAAATGGCGCAACGCAGGAGGGCCTGATGGTTGTCTATAACGACACAAAACGAACATCGCTTCTATCTTTTGGCAGAACACTTATTCCAACCAAGGGATATGCGCTTCACTATGGCCGCTATCGGACAGCAATATTGAACATGCTTAAAGACATCAATAGTAACACGGTAATATCTTCTCCATAATTGGTAAATTTAGCTAGAACAATTACAATTGCTTTAGCAACCACAGCCATCACAATCGCAGCACCCGTCATCGTCGTCATCCTTCTTTGCGCCCTCTTTGCTGCCGTTTGCTTTCGTCATCGGCTCTTGCGATTGATACTGATGCTCATACGCCGATCCGGCCCCCGCGACTGTCGCGCCCGCAGTGCCGTACAAGACTGTGCGCATGTAAAACTGAAATGCCTTGATGTTTTCATCTGCGGCAATAAGCTGTAACTCATGATATGCCGTTTGAATATTCTTTTCGAACCATGGAAAGTCGAGGGCGCAGTCCTCGGGCTGTTTGATGATACGCTTTGCGAATTGCCGCAAGAAACTCTGACAGTCGTTGAAACCGAGGACGTATACGCCAAACGATTTGTGAGCGGCCTCGCATTCCTCGTCAACTCTCTTCTCCGACATCTTGGTCCAGCCGATCTGGCAGATATAGTAGTCTTGAGCATACGGCTTGCCCTCGCTGTCAAGGCTCTCTTGTCGAAGCCGCATCATCTCGTCTTGCATGGACCATGGCGCAATCTTGCTCTCGTAGCGAATCGACGGTACCAAAGACCCGACAAGATGTCCTTTTGGCAGGCTTTTGTACTTTTGTCGCGACGGGAGCCTCAGCTCGTATTTCTTGCCGTACACGAATAACGCCCAGTGGTATAAATGGCCGTCTTTAATCCGACGAGAGAACCACACATTTTCGCCTCTGCTTCTGTCCTGCTCCTGTGCCTTGCGTCGCTCGACCTCTTCCTCGAGTTTTTTCCTGTGCGCTTCGTCCTTTGCAAGGGCCTTGGCCTCGAGTGTATGGATAACCGTCATGATGGGTAGAGATGCCAATTGTCGAACTGGATCCTTCGACTAGATTCTTGCGGGCATAAAAGGGAATACGCTCTGCCCATCCACCTAGGCGATTATTGTATCACAGGTGCATTGCATATTCGTCTTTATAATTGATGCCCTAGCATGCTTACACCTGCCATTGCGGCACAGCTGGTAGATCAGCGGCCAATATGACCGCTTCTGGGTACTCTGTAGCCGAAGTGCTTATCAACCCCCCTGTTCTAGCATGACGCTAACTAATCAGGTGGTCGGAATGACTTGTGAACTGCACAGTGACGTTATGTTCCTTCGTCATGACCACCATGATGAAAAGCTTGATTTGTCGTTTAGGTGTGCGATAAGTGAGATTCAGTAACTGCTTCCCTTGCTCCCCCAATAATAGTCATAATTTAGCTGCCTCAACCATTCACAGCAAGGCCTATCGTGACGTCAGCTATCAGCTGCTGCATTCTGGTCTTGTGACCAACAGGTCGTTCGCAATCTTATGCCACCTTTTTTCCTACAATCAACGCGAACGAACCACTGTTGAGGAAACTCTGAAGACACAATACCCTTTATCGACAGACAATGCACGAAATCTCTCGACAACACACCCTGACTACGGTCAGACCAGTTCCATTCGATCAATCCGTATCACTCTTTGACATTCCCGACGGCACAAAAAGAATCGGACAATCTAAGCCGGGCACTCTCGTCCTGCCGGCCGTGTACACGAACCAAGGGAAGCTCCATCGACTCAGTTTTGACTATGGCGTCGGAAAATATCTACAAGTCGATCTAGACGTGTCTAGGCTGAATGAAATCCATAACCACCTCTGGATGGTCGGGAAGCCGATGCCTGGACGACCGCTACATCAACATCTTGTGTACGGTCGGAAGATAGTGTGTGCTGAGCAGGCAGACCTTCATCTCCTTTGGGATGACTATCGGCTGTTTGTAAAGCCATGCCCCGATTATTTATTGTCATTTGACTTTTGGGAGCGATATCTGTGCGGCGGCGATGACAGCTTATGGGCTATCGCTGCTGGTATGGTCCAGTCATACACATGGCTGATCCAAGACAAGTCCGACTGGAAGGTCGCGCAGGCAGAGGGTATTCTTTCAGACTCCATCACCTGGGAGCGCTGGACTGCCTTCGTCTCTTCTTTCACCGACCATCTTGAAGCAGAAGATCTCGATATCAATCCACGCTTTAAGTACGGCAACCTTCGGCTCCCACGGATCCAATGGATATGGCGGTTTCGCTCTCACACCGGGGGTGTACACGCATTCGTCAATGGATATCTGAACCCATACTCTAGTTACCGTCATTTCTTCAATCAGATGGTGGCGCCCATCACGGTGGCAACGGTTTATTTTGCGCTTATCTTGGCCGCGATGCAGGTCGGGCTGGCCACGACGATGCTGCGAGAGAGTGACGCATTCCAGAGCGCGTCGATGTGCTTTACTGTGTTGGCTATTGTTGGACCGATCGCAGTGGTTGTAGTTCTGGTGGCCGGGGTCATGGGTTATGTATTCATGTGGAACCTGTGTCACGCGGTGAGGTTAAGGAGGATGGAAAAGTTGGAATCCAAGATGTTAGGTAAACAGGAAGTGTAAATACAAATAGTAGTATATTATCTTGCCATAGTAATAGTGGTCCTAGCTATTATAAGTCGAGCAAAGAAAGCTGAAATTTCTTTAATAATTATGTCCATAGGCCTCTGGGAACTATTTTGACCAGGTCTGTCTGAAAGCCAACGTAATACCGAATCTCGTCCGTATCCCAGGGTATGGGGATAATACTAAGGTGATTCAAGAATGGCTGACCTCCGTTACGATAGTTTACAATGCTTATTTGGGTTTCTCGCCTCTTGTGTACATTTTTCTTAAGACTGTACACAGCTACGCCGTCTGTAAAGTGCCTAGGGTAGCCTCTATAGACTTCCCCCTCTGGCGATTGTAGGAACCGACAGTTCCTACCAAGAGCTTCACGTCGACTATATCCCGTGAGAGTTTGAAAGCTATCAGAGACGAATACTATGGGGCAGTCTTCAAGAGTGATGTCGCAGACGACAAAGGAACATGACATATCGACATGGCCGATTTTGAACTGGGGATCTTTCCGAGTAGCAACCAGCCAGAGCACTCTGGCGGCGTCTAATCCGCTTGTGCTATGAATCTCTTTCAATCCGAGTGTCGTCAAATCGTCATAGGCTGTAGGTATTTGGGCCTTTTCATTGTGATTCATGACCTCGCGGGAGAATTGGGGATAAGAAGCATTGTGCGTTGATGATTGATCTCCCCTACTGCCTCGATTTATGGTTGCACCTGGTGTCGTCAGACGAGCTTCGGTGTTGGAAGGACTCTCAGACTCTGAATCAATGAATGTATCTTTCGGTCCCGATATCAAATCTTCCATCCACTTTGGCATCCTTCCTTCAACCGTTAGTAAATCAGGGTTGAATGAATAGATACCAAGCGCGGGAGGGTTTGTTTCACTAAACAATCCCATATTTTTCTTTCCAGTGATTGGTACTGTGCTGTTGTTGTCGTTGACTTGGCGTGATACTGATGTATCTGGTAACGCTTGTTGTGTATCAAGCTCATCGCAGTCTTCGGACGAACGTTGAACTGGTGATCCAGGAAATGATGCTGGAGGTGAGTCACAGAGTGACTCGGTATACTCGAGGAAACGTTTCATTGCAAAATCGACTTCTGTCCCATACCATTCGGAGCCTTTGCACCCTGCCACACTAGCCAACTCGATACGATCATTATCCAAAGCCTGCAACCTAGATTTTATGTCTTTGAACTCCTCTTTAAAGTCTGTTTCGATGCTTTTGCTACGTTCATTCAATGACGCAATGGTGGAACTAAGGCCATAGATGTCAGAAAAGAGGATGACCACGGATATCATGGTGCACTTACAAGGTCATGGCACTCAGCGCCATATCCAACGATACTTTATATGTCGTAACCGTATCCCGAAAAAGCTGGATCTCCTTGTCTTTCAACGCCCAGGCCATTTGCTTCCAAATTCGAATTTGGATGGTCCCATCTCTTGAGGTCTGAGTGAAACCTTGTAGCAAGGCCGTGAACTCGTCGAATAGGTTCAAGCAATTCTCCAAAGGTGCTTTTAAGCTGGCACAGAGGGCGAGGTGACTGGATAACCTATCCTGGACATTCGTGATATGGGCAAGGATCTCATACAAGGCCCTCAAATCGGTCGATATAGCGGCGATGTCTTTTGGTGCATCTTGAAGGCTATCGATAAATTCGTAAAGTCGCTTAGAGCCGTGTAGTAGTGCACCTACAATGCCAACGACACTCGCTGTGAGAGAAAGCGGATCAGACATTGTGAAAATGAGTCCTTGCAATGTATTGGAGGAAATGCCAATGGCTGGCGGGGAAGATTTACCGACCGTTTATTGTTTCTATTTTCAGCCGCAGACATCGATTATTACGTATTTACTTTAGTAGCATAATTTGCCAAATGAAATGCAGCTATTTGACTTCCAATTGGCTGTTGGTCATGAGCGTCTCGCAGTCTGCCTTGCGGCAGCCCAGCGACCTGGGAGCCTCGCCGAGAGCCCTGTTAGGTTTTGATGCATAAGTGGCTGATTACAAGAATATCGTAATCTCACCGACAATTTCCTTTATCCTCTTTCAAACCCGCACAATCTCAACAAAATGGAAGTGACCGGCCTCGCCGTTGGTGTTGTCGGACTCGCTGGTCTCTTCAGCGTCTGCTTGGACTCACTGTCTCGCTTTCAAACTTACCGCGAATCAAATTCCGAGACCCATATCTTAGAAACCCGATTCCGAGCGGCTAGGGCCCGATTTGAACAGTGGGGTGTCAGCGTTGGCATCTCCAATGGTCGCCTCCAGTCAGATCACCATCTTGGACTCGATAACGAAGAGACGACACATCTGATTGAGAGCATCTTGCAAATCATAGCCAAGACTATCTGCGATGAGTCGATTCTCCAAAGAACTCGCACTGGACCTCGGTTCCAGAGCGGGCAGTTCGGAGGCCTGTCACAATCAAGAGGCAAGCGATTGAAATGGACCCTTGGTGGTAAGGAGAGCCGCCTTGAGCAAGTCGACATGTTCGAGAAGCTGGTGCAGCAGCTTTACAACTTGATTCAACCAGAGGACAAAAACCAAAGTTATGAAGGACTGGAGAGCACAGCGTGGGTAGAGGATATTCGCCAAATGCTGAGCAAGATTGAGGAGGGCATGAAGTGTAAGCCTTGTCACCCCACAGCGTATGGTATAGTTTAACTAACAGAAGAAAGTCGAAATGCAGCGCGATGTATTGTCATGGCTCGGAAAGTCCGCTCCCAACGACAAATACGAAGATTCCTTGGCCAAGCGAGTCAACACAACATGCGAATGGATATTAGAAAGACCTACATTCAAATCGTGGCTCTCACCAGTGGACTCAACTGAGCCACACGTGCTGTGGATAAACGGGCCTGCAGGTTTCGGAAAGACCGTCTTGTGTGCCCATATCGTTCACTATTTATCTGAGGCTCTCGATACGCCGGTGGCCCATTTCTTTTTCACATCTGATCATGAAAGTTGAGAAGATTCATTCTCGGCTCTGAGATCATGGCAGCGCCAAGTTGCCATTAACAGTAACGACGCATTTGAATGTATTCGTCGCGCCTGGGAAAATGACTCTTCTGAGCAGGCCTCCCGAAAGACACTTATCGATCTATTCAAGCAAATTATCGCAGCAGTACCAGGTTGCGTATTCATCGCAGACGGACTGGATGAGTGCTCTCAGTTGAGTAACGGAGACGCATCAGTTGCTAGGTTCCTACGAGACATCATGGGAGCCATAGCAAGTATCGATGTCAGTCTTCTGCTCGTCAGTCGAGACGAGCCGGAAATCAGAGAAGCCCTTGAAGAGCATAAAGAAACTTTGTCAGAATACAGGATCGGCACGAATGATGTTCAGGCCGATACGGCGGCCTTTTCCCAGTCTGTGGTAGATAGGAAACTATGGGGCAAAAGCGAGGATCTACGGTTAGCAATCTCAAAGTCTATGACCAATAAGTGCCAAGGACAGTTCTTGTGGATCAGAATGCAAGAGCAGTCTTTGCGGAACACAATGAGCTGGAAACGACTTCACGAAGTGGTGGATAATACACCTTCCGGCATTGATAGCCTTTATGACCAAAGCTGGAGTCGGATCATGAGAATGCTGGATCATGACCGAGATCGGACCTTCGCTCTTCTACGTTGGACTGCATTCAGAATCGAACCTCTTCCTATCTATGCAGTCGTCGAAGCTGTACTAATCGATCAGTTTGGAGAGCTGGACCCTAATGACTACCCCGAGAATATTGACGACGAGTACGTCGCGGGCGAAATACTAGGACTCTGTGGTCCCTTTGCGGAAATCCATGACGACGAGGGGGGACCATTACCAGCATATGCGACACTTCACGTACCGCATTTCTCCGTGCGCCAATACCTTATCAAGCATCTACCGGCACCCATGTGGATGCAGCCAAAAGACTTAATAAGTAAGGAAGGTGAAATAATTCACCATACAGCCATAGCACGGGCTTGCATTCTATATCTGAGCTTGCCGCAAGTCTGGGACGACAATGATGATCCTGATCTTTGTTTGAAAGCCTTCCTTCCCTATGCCGCGTACTTTTGGGCGCGGCACGCCAGGTTAGGCTTCATGGATCCATCGCTTCGAGATCTTTCGAAAGCTTTCTTGAAAATTAACAATATATGTTTCAAGTCGTTCACGAACTACCTTGCGTATGAGGGGGGCTCAAGGTCGGCTCCGGACCCAGCCTTTCACCCACAGCTTCGCCCTTTTGACCACGTATGCTATGAAGGATGGATTAACATGGCAGATTGTCTCATTGGCGACGTAGACGTAAACGACATTGGTTTTCTCGGGCGTTCAGCCATCTTTTTGGCACGCTCGTCCGGCTCCGCAGAATTAGTGAAATTGCTTATTCGACACGGTGCTAACTTGAGCATAACAGACGTCAGTGGATTTACATGCCTTCACGTTGCAGCCTATCATGGTTTCGAAGACATTGTCCGGATCTTGGTGCAGTCCAAAATCAACGTGTCACCACAGATCAAGAATTGCTTTACGCCACTACATCTTGCGGCCAGAGGGGGCAGCATCAAATGCTACCAGTATCTGCTGGAGCAAGGGGCTGATGCCAGTATTAGAGATCCGGAGGGCGGTAATATTCTACACCACGCATGTGCTACTGCTGGCCATGCTGATTTATTGAAATTCATCCTTCACAATGGGCCTGACGCCCTAGCAACGGACCATCTGTGCAACATAGGTTCACCGCTACTTATTACAGCTGAAACTGGTGACATCGAAATGGTCAAGGTTCTATTTGAGTTTGGGGCTGTGTCTTCCTTATTCATTCCATCCTGCGATGGGGAGTTGCCGCTTCAAGTTGCAGCAGCTTCAGGCCATATCGAACTAGTGGAGCTCTTCCTAGAGCACGGTGCAGAAAGCACACTGTCAATGCCGAATGCAGATGGCAGTACGGCACTTCATCTTGCGTGCTCTAAGACAGGGCGTGACAAAATCATCAATCTTCTTCTTCGCCCAGGCATCGAGGAATCAATACTGATAGAGAACGAAAAGGGAGACACACCACTACACGTGGCATCGGCATTGGGCTACGCCAGTTATGTCAAGTTGATACTCAAATACTCTGACCCAGAACACCAGCGCCTTCTGGAAATGCAGAACAAAAAGCTCGAGACGCCTTTGTACCTTGCATCTTCTTTGGGTAATGTCGCTGTCGTCCGCGAACTACTCAACTTTGGAGCTCAGATAATCCTTTCAGTTTCCAATGAAATGCGTAAAACGCCTTTGCTTATTGCAGCAGAGAGAGGTTATGTGGATGTCGTGAAGGCACTCCTTGCACACGGCGCAGAAAGTACTATACAAATCTTCGGCCTTGACAATAGTAGTCCATTATGGGCGGCGTCAGACGGAGGTTTCAGCGACATTGTAAAGGAACTGCTCTCCTGCGGAGCAGGAAGAACCATTACAGCTTCGAATTCAGAAGGCGAGACACCTTTACATGTCGCCGCGAGTCAGGACTATGTCGAAGTGATGAAGCTTCTTCTGGAAGTGCCCGGTGTCCCCGTGAGTCAGACGACTCTATATGGATTCTCGCCTCTGTTTATTGCCTCAAGAAATGGATATCTTAGCCTGGTAGAGTTACTGCTTTCCGCAGATTCAGTCGATAAGGACAGCGAAAACTGGCTGGGTCTGAGCCCCTTATTCTCAGCGGTGGCGAACGGGCATTTAGAGGTCACAACACTCCTCCTCTCCAAAGGATGCCACTTACAACATCGGGTCAGCATTGGTGGAGATTTGCTCTGGTGGGTCCAGCGCTCAAATGAACCCAACCTGATACAGCTACTGGAAACACAAGAAACCCTCCGAGGTACCCCTAACGGCTCATGCAGTCCTCCGTCTGGTCCGTTTACCATCGTGTAGCCTCTACCTCGCTACGCGGAGACTATAAACTGCGATCCCGCTCTTTTTTGGTGCTATGTTTGTACCCTGAGTTTACAGGATGACCATGCGTTCTCTTGCGTCGAGTGTGGCGATTCATCTATGTTTGTATGCTCAGAATGCTTTACTCGAGGATTTAAGCGTTGCCGGAGATCCCATGCTCTAGTTCCTTGGGAGTTCTATGAGTCGGACAGTTAGAGCAGTGCAGATAGTTCTGCAAAGGTCAGAGATTCATAGTTTACAACGTTGCTGGAGATGCAAAAGCTCTACTAGTTGTCGGTCTAGCATGAGGCCCTCGGGAAAGCCAATATCCAGTTGACAAGGGTAAAAAGCTACACTCTGCTCTACTATTAACAGATTCGATGCCTCTTTCTGGCGCTTTTCGAGTAATCCCAGAAGTCCAGCAAGAGAAATCTTAACAAGACCCTGCGCTTGTTGGTCAACTGTGTCTTTCACTTCCTCATCGATCGACTCGGCCTACACTGTCCACGTGAAAAACGTTTGGCCCGGCGCAATCGCATCGAGATGTTGCGTCCCCATAAAGACCAGTCGCTGGGAATGGCACAGGTTGCTTGAAACTGTAGCTAATGGTATGTGTATCGTGATCAAGAATCTCGAGCTTTTAGTTGAAGTGGCTGCCTGCGTCTGTTACAACAGATCTGATTGAACGCGGCCCTTCCCCTTCTGTGGTGCATTGAACAACCAATGGCGACCATGCGGCGACGGCATCGAATTTGGATATTATGGACTAGACTTCTTCAATGTCATAGTCCAGTTCCTGGGTGACTTGGTAAATCAGAGTTCGAGACATGATGGTGTAGAGAAGATAGGTAATATTCATTTGATTCTTGAGGGAGTAGGGTAATAGAGGGTAGGTAGAACACACTGTTGATAAATACGACCTGACAAGTTCTTACATATTCATCAGGCACAAGCTTATCAGGGCGCTCCGGGTTGAATTAGTCCGTGAAACAGAAGACGATAACAAAACAACGTCGAGGCTAGAGATTTTGCAGGCATTACATTGTAAATTCAGTCTGTCTCGCCCTACAACTTGCCCCCGAGACCCCGGCTTTCCGCCTCTAAGCAGATATAGTAGTTTGTCGACATGGTGCCGCTCCGCAAGTCCACCCACATGCTCTTTGTAGGTGTGTGATAATGTGGACTAATAGCATTGCATGAATTAACAACTTCCGTACCTCTATCCAACGTGATCGTGTTGAGAGCCTGATAATAATTATTTAATTTACCGTAAACGGTTTCTGTGAGGTCGTTCAACGTGCCACGGAGCGTGGCCTGATTCAGATTCTCTCAATGCGACCTAGAGCGGTGCCTTACATAACTGAAATATTTTATCAGGTAATGTAATCTATCCCCAACCATAACCCTTCCGATTTGCATCTATTGTTGGAATGTAAAGTTGCTTCGTTTTAGCAATTGATCTCCATAGCGGAAGAGAGACCAGGACCCAACAATATCAAGTTTGCTCAAACCTCCCAATAAACTAAAGCATTTTCCTGTCTCTAGACTCAGGTAGAGAGGCCTACCAAATAGAATGGCAGCTGCTGGAAACGAACTTCTCAAAGCATCATTGGCGGCGAAAAGACTAGCTGCGTAATGAGGATTTCCAGTGGGAGATGGATGAAGATACCCAAGCTCACAGCAAATGAAAAGCCGCAGTAAATAACAATACCCAGCGTTGACACCTCCCAGGGACATGACTGTCTCGCGTCCCAGCCAAATACCAATACGCCCATTGACGCACTAAAGACACGAAGCAGCCCAGGACGTAAAGGGTCTCGGGGACATCATATGACCCGAGTGCTTTGAATCTCTTTTCGATATATGTGCAATAGCAAGATGGGGCCATATGACGCCAATGATACATGCGATTAAAACGCACATACAAACAGCGATTATGTCTCCTAGGTTCACCTCATAGATCTGAGGATGAATAAGTGGGAAAACCTCAAAGAAAGAATAGTATATTCCATAAGTGAAGTGTCTATACGGAGGAGTTAGATATAAGACAGGCAACTTTGTCAAGGCAGCTTACGTAAATGTTCACAAACGCGATTGAACAATCCTTAAGAGAGATCTCAGATGGCTTAATTAGCGCCGCTTTAGTGGCTTCTCTCGGAGTCACCGTCCTCAACGCGATGGACGATGCGTCAATGTATTTATCCGACACGGTTTCTTCGCGTAGCAGTTTGGATCTGTGGTAGAGCAACATCGGTGTCGATGTCTCAGTTGAGAAGATAACCAGGAGCACGAAGACAAGGCCTGAGAGCCATAGCAGTTCCCACACTGACCACCGCCATCTATTGCTGATTAGAAGAGAACCAAATATTAAGGAACCAGGAGGAGCTCACCCTTTGACAACAACTGAGAAGCCAAGTGCTGGGCCGCAGTACATAGCGCCCAACCATGCCGCGAGACTGTATGGGATGTCCGTGACTGAAAACTGTTGGGCAGGCAGTTTATGGCTAGAGACTATGGTGACGCTGGAGAAAATCAGATACCACCATGCTAGTCTCGCTTTCATGTACTGTCAATGCTGAAGTCATGTGGCGGCGCTCTGCAAGATATGTCAATGTAATGTCTCACTCCTTACGTGTTCACGTATAAATGCCATAAGAGAATTCAATTGTCAAGAGTCAACAGTAAAAGGTACATAATGTATAACAGCTTGATGATTCTGAAGCCAGTGGATACTGGCGTAAACTACATGCTCTGTGAGAGCCTCGATGGTCTCTACTGGTGCACCAGTCTCTTGAGATAGCGCAAAATCCCTATCCATTCCAGCCGTCAACCAGCGAAGGCGGGTGTTTCCAACTGTGCCCTCATAGGCAGTAGCTGAGAGACTGTTGTAATAAGTTGTAGAAGATATAATTGAAAAAGTATAGTAGTGAACAAGAGAGCTAAGATAAGGTTGATAAGTACTGTTGGTATTGTCTAAGTGAGGATAAGTTTATAACCGCCGTTGCTATGCCCAGCTGTCAGTCTCTACAATATCAAACACGAGCCCACTTACAACACCAAATCGTCATGAATATCCGGCATGTTCTTCGATTGACTCCGCTTCACTGATTCGTCAAGACTCCTGGTTGGTCCACTGTCATGCAAACAGCCACAGCGCTTATCGCTTATCAGTGCTGGTATCCAGCCGTTTCATGAACCTTGCCCATCTGAGCACCTCCAATACCAGCTTCAGCTTCTCAGCAAACTTCCTTTCCCCAATAATACTAATACCCATCATTCTAAGAAACACCACTTCCAATCAGGCTACACTCAGAAATGTCTATGAATTCCGATATCACAGACGGGGGCGATTTTGTTGACTCAGATGATGAATTTGAGGTCGAAGAAGTTTCCGAAAACCCCCCAACGCTACCTAGAAGGATTCTACTACCCTATTTGTATCGGCGAAACCTTGGCTGATCGGTATCGAATCGAACACAAGCTGGGCCATGGAGGCTTCTTAACCGTCTGGATGGCATATAATACTTTGCATAAGAAAGATGTGGCGCCCAAGATTATGACGCCTGAAGAGTCAAATGAGCATGAATACAAGACGCATATAGACATCGCCAGAAGCATTCAGCACAACTCTTATCTTATACTTTATGAGAACATATTTCTTCTCCGTGGATCTCGCCGTGATCCCCGAGTTCTCGTCTTGCCTTTAAAAGGTCCCAATCTTCAAAATAATCTCCGTCAGAAGCCCAAAGCGATCCGGATGTCGGCTGCAAAGCAACTCTTGCAAGACATCAGCCATCTACATGACAGCGCAATTGTCCATAGAGGTCAGCTAACGTATTATACCAAATCTCAATAACGCTTAATCTAACTGACTCAATAGATTTGAATAGCGCGAACGTTATGTAGAGCCTTCGACCTATGAACAACAGCAGTGTTGCTACAAAGTATAAACAAATTGGGCGCCCTAAGAAGATCCGACTAGACCCTGACCTGTAGAAAGCGGGTAAACTATTCATGCCAATAAAAGCCTAATAGAGTCTGATTGGAGACGATATATCTCTTGGTGACTTTAGGCTTGCAATCAAATCGGGTACCCTAGTCTCACAAAAAATACAATCACCTGCAATTTATTGTGCCCCTGAAAGAGTCTATAATCAGGACCTGACCTTTGCCACCGATATATAGAGCTATATGTATATTTTGGCGGAGCTATATATAGGCTATACTCTTTTCTATGGATCCGGGAACTCTTATATAGTTTATGCTTTAGGACCCTCCCTATTTCGTGGAAGGGAACTTATAAGGCAGGTGGTGTGGATAACGATTGGTGGTACAATCAGGACCATGAGCTGGATCCTACGGCTTCACTCGAGGCCAAGGTAGCACGGCTACGACCAGAAGTTGATGCAGTAGAGAGAGAGCTTATGCTATCAGTGTTACGGAAGGGACTTTCGTATCAGCCCCAGGATCGGCTAACTGCGAGGGAGCTGTTGGAGGATGCCTCTTTCAAGGCGCTCATGGAGGTTGACGAAGTGTAGAGCCCTTCAAGCTCTTATTTGACGTACTAAAAGACATCTTTCATAGTATATGCGCATAACATCTGCTGTCCCTACTTGATATATCTGGTTACTACATTGATGTTGATTAGGAATAGGACAACGCTGCCTGACCTGCTTTAAACATTCTGCTACCATTCCGTCGTCACCTTTTAGCGCTCTGATCCTTGACATGACCCCTGGTAGGGTCAGTATGCCTAGAGGACAAAGCGGCGTTCAGACCCAACAGCGAAGTTCGGCGTTTACTTGTTTGGGTAACAACCTGGAGGTCCGCGAACGGGCTAACAGTGTTTCAACCCAGTCGCCGAAGGCAGAACATCAAAATCACAATAGCCAATAGAACTTTAATTTCTTGTAGATAAGACACTGAGTGATCATCTCCTAATCCTGCCATGGTATGCTCCTGGCAAATCGCATAACAGTCCACCAACGAAGCCTTTTTTT